CTCGTCGATATCAAACTTGAAGGATTAGTGAATTTCCGAAAACGGCTTCTCTCAGAGATTTTATTCTTATAGGAAAAATTTTAGACCTTGTAATATTGAAATTTTTTCGCCACTGAAAGCGGTGAGGAATCTATACTGGACTTGCTCGGTAGACTTTATTTTTAATACTCGCCTTATTTCACTTTTCTAGCTTTATGTTTTTTTTAGTTACAAGCTCTTGTATTAGTTTATAAATTTTGTCTTCGTTGTCGTCCAGATCCATTATAATCTTGTAGCTCATGAAACATTATCTTTCACTTTACACTTATGTGCCTTGTTCTCTGACGTGTGTTCAGATAATAAATCGATTAGTGTGTACTCTGCCTTTCTTTTATCTCGACATATCAATTTGCACTTTGATCTCGTTCATTTTCTATTCATCTTCAGTTTCCGTTTCACATTGTATTTTTACTTTCACTTACCTGCGGGGGGAGGGGGGGGGGGTTCATAATTGCGCGGCACTATTTTAGATATTTGTTCACTAACACAAAATAAACAAAAAAATTCGTATTAATATATATCTCAAACTCATTTATTAAAAAAATGTCAAAGGTTAAAGATTTATTATGCAGTTAGGAAACACCCTGTATATGTAATATATAGTAAGAGAAAGTACTGTTATCTTGAAAATTTTCGAGTCTGAGTTTTCAACAGAAATACGTATTTTGAAATCCCCTTAGTCCAAATAACCAAGTCCCGCAAAATGGTCTCGTGTGTATGGTCTCGTGTGGAGACTTTATAAATAATGGTTTTATTCATAATGTTACAAATGACATCAAGAGAATTAACTACATGAGTGGTTTGGTCTGAGGATCATGGGGGATATATGCTGGGGTATGGGGGGGGGGGATATAACGTGGGGGAAGAATCAATTCTGGTCGGTCTAGGAAGCGTGTGAATGAAGTTATAACTATTAAGAATTGATATCCTTATCTTTTAGAATTGATATGAAGTCTGTGAGAAAGTGCTCCTTTGCTGAAAACGGTTATTGTTCCCTAAGTCTTGATAAGTGTCTTCTGTCCAGTCAGTACATTCTAGATAACTATTTCTAAGCTATCAGAGATAGCTTGACCTGGCTATCTAGGGCTTTGTCCCTTAAAGCTTTGATAAAGGTCATGAGAAAGGTCAATGAATGATTAAATAAAAGTTAATATTAATAGTTGTTACGGATTAAGTCCATTACGTAACTTGTGAACAGTCTAGCCCCAAAACGAAATTTCGTGTTTGAGGTTTTGATGTGCCTGGGATGTTACAGCAACGTTTTCATCAAAATCGGCTTACCGGAAGTGGCACTTTATATCATTGATTTAACACATTTTTACGATTTCCTCAAAAACAGCCCTAACAATTTTGATTAAATTAAACTAGTAGGCCCGTGCGAAAAATTCGCACAGCATATTTTTTCAAATGCCAAATTAATAACAAAATAAAATAATGCAACGTATCAAAAGATAGAGAAATCAATTGTTACTTTATCGATAAATATAATCGACAAAGGAAACAAAAATTAATTTAAATCTTCATTAATGCTTGGAACCAACATGTTTACAAATTTCAATAAGCTGTATCTTGGTTGAAAATTGATGTCGATCGTCGATTCGTCGAAAATCGAAGATTTTTTTTTCTTTCCTTTTTCAGGGATTTAGTAATCTTTTATATAATCATGGGCATAACCAAGAGAAAAGTGTGTAATTTTTTAGTTATTCTCATATAAACTATGTTTTCTTTCATAACTTGTTTGCCTGAATTTTCGGGGTGATAAGACTATTTTGCCCACCTGAAGGAGGATTGGTGGCTCAATTTTGAGATTTGAGATTTGGTGAAGAATTGATGATGATATGGCTTCCCGATCAAAAACACCATCGATAAATAATATAAACTCCTCCTCTCTCGACCATAGTTGCCTCAAGTCGACGAAATAAGACATGTATTCATTGGCAGTACTACAATTAACGTAAAGTTGTGTGGATAATAGTACGTTGTCTCGAAAATAGTACGTTTTTGGGCTTAAAAACGCAGGATCCGATAGTTCCGGAGAAACTATCCGGGTCTTGCTGTACGCATCAAAATCTTCAAGGTACCGATCTACAGACCTACGACCGTTCCTGTATTGAAGCCTAGCAAAATGTTTGTATCGACTTTATTTATTTTAGAAAGAAAAATAAAAGTGGATAAAATAGGATTCTCTAACCCCCCGTAAAATTCTGAATCCAACGATACCCTATTCATGGTATTTGAGCATGACAGGAGCTTATATTCGGTACAAAACCGATTTCGAGCATTACTGTAATAATATATGTGGGGATTATTATATGATTAAGTCGTTTTGGTACTTTTCCGTTAGCCGGGAACAAATGTTGCCAATTGTGAACCAAACGCGAGCCAAGTCGCCAAGCGAAGCGAATGAAGCGAATCAGTCAACGGAATAAAAGTTTAACTAATGGGGTATAGAAAAAAATGACCGTTTTATCAAATTCAAGATATCAAAGGACTGTAAATATTTTAATCCTATTTAATACTTAATAATCCCTTTAAGAGCATTCTCTAAGCTTGTTTCACCAAATAACATACTATTGGAGGTAGTTAGTCTACATATCATGGGTGTTAAATATTCTGGACGCAGTCATTGTAAGGTTTTTATTAGTGCCGACGTTTCAACCCCAACATGTGGGCCATCACCAGGGCGTGGTTCGAGCACTGAAGATATTCAAGTAATAATATACAATACATACTAGAATTAAGTTATTTTTTCTACGAGTTTTCGATAAAAAACAGACTGTTTCGAAAAGATCCATTTCCCTCCACAATCATTAGTATTGTTTGACACTATACGCTGTCGTGATAGGAAATGGAAAGTGATGCATATATATAAATTTAACAGATTTGATGGCTGGGAAAAACATGTTCACCAGCTGTATATAGATTTTAAAAAGGCTTACGATTCTATTGACCGCCAGAAACTGTATACTATTCTAATCGAGCAGGGGATTCCTAAAAAATTAGTAAATCTAGTCAGGATGTGCTTGACGGAGACACTCAATAAAGTTAGAATCGGTAATAATCTGTCCGAAAAATTTGAGGTTCGTTCGGGTTTAAAACAGGGGGATCCCCTTTCGCCTGTCCTGTTCAATTTGGCATTAGAACATGCCATTAGGGAGGTAATGCGTACCGAGAAAGGGTTGGAGCTGGGTGGGATGATCTGGTACTGTTAAGCGAAGACCTTGAAACTATAAAACTAAATACGACAACGTTAATGAAAGCCGGTAAAGAACTAGGACTCGAAATAAACGTGGATAAAACAAAATATATGGTTAGCTGCAAAAATGGCGATACTACTGGTGATATCGATATAGATGGTAATATGTTTGAACAGGTAGATAAGTTTAGATATCTAGGTTCTACGATAACTAGAAAAAATGAAATTGAAGAAGAAATCAAGGTTAGACTGAAGGCGGGAAATGCTTGTTATTTTTCTGTGACAAAACTACTTAGTTCGCGCTTCTTGTCCCGAAACTTAAAAATTAGAATCTATAAAACAATTATCTTGCCTACAGTTCTTTATGGGTGCGAAACTTGGCCGCTTACATTAAGGGATCAGCAGCGGCTTAAGGTTTTTGAAAATAAAGTATTGCGTAGAATATTCGGACCGAAGAAGGATGAGTTAACCGGAGAGTTCAGACGGTTACACAACGCCGAATTGCGTGAACTGTATCCGAGTAATATAATTGAGATAATTTCATCGCGGCGAATCAAATGGGCTTGTAAAGTTGTTGGACTTAGTAACGAGAGAATTCCTAAAAGGTTAATATTTGCTGTGCCGAATAGTAAGTGTCCGAGGGGTAGACCGAAGCGAAGGTGGGAAGATTGCATTAAAGCCGATCTGAAGGGACTGGGTTTGGACGGCGGAAGGTGGAGAGAGGTGTATAATAAGCGATTGGTGGTGTCGGCATCGAACCTTCGGGTTCGCTAAGCCTTTTTATTATTATTATTATTATACCTATCTACTCTATATCAGACTGTAAGGATATCTTAATCAGATTCTCCTCATTATTTTGAACAAAATTTTTGCTTTAAACAATAATAATAATTATTATTGAGTAATACTTGTTTATATCAGAAATATAAATTTTTTTGTAATCTCTAAGATACATTTTTAGTCGGGAGTAGTAGGTGGAGAATATTGTTGTCAACTATTGTGAAAATTTTTAGCCCTACATGGGTGCTGCTACAAAAAAAAATTTGAGAAACTGTATTACAATCATACAAAGAAGGCAAAGAAATTTTTTCTTGAATCTATATCGAAATATTGGACTGGGGTAGCTCAGTAGGTAAGACATTGATATTCAATGCTCAAGGTCCTGGGTTTGAGTCCTGCTGATGGTAGGTAATTTTTATCTGTTACGTCATGGATTAACTTTGGGGTGCAGAGATCCTCCTTGGGCACACCCAGCCACTATAAAGTAGATACTCTTAATTAAACACTTAATTATAAGGAAAAATCTGGCGGCTGAGCGTGATCTCGTCATAATCATCTGCCTTTACAACTGTTGGGCTTGAAAAGGTATTTCTTAACAAAATACCGAAGCTCAAACCCTTTATGGTTGTAGTGGCAGAGGATATATCGAAATACCTATTTTTACCCCAAGCAAAGTGAACGTTACCTAATGTTTCCATCACTTCAGATTTTTAAGTATGTATTCTTAAAATATCTCTGTAATAATACCATTTACATTAAGATTGATAAGATCACCGAAATTAATCCTAATATTAGGTATATTATTAACTTTGAACAGTAATCACTACTAAAGTGTCTGATATACAACCTGACAAGAGCATTTGGACAGTTTCTCTGTTTACATTTTTATTTAATATGTAAAACTTTGTTTTTTTCATTAATATTTATTTTGTTTGTTTTTAGTTCAATACAAATTAATATGAATTATATGTGTTAATGTCGATAGAACAATGGTAGGAGTCATGAATGAAAAAGAAGTGGCTGTAGGAGATCGTGTGCAGGTGGGAGAAGATAGAGGAACCGTGCTTTACGTTGGCCCTGTTCCTCCTACAAAGGGCACTTGGCTGGGAATCGACTGGGATGATCCTCTGAGAGGGAAGCACGATGGAATCTATGATGGAACTCGCTATTTTCAAGCCAGGTAGTAGATAATATCACTATGCTTCTTTAAGGATCATACTGCTTTAGCCTATGCTATCTGTTACTTATTTTCTAACAATATTAAATCATATGGCAGGTATGAAACCTCTGGCTCACTAGTAAGGCTTGAAAAAGTTCAACATGGACAGAGTATTATTAATGCGATTCAAGAACGCTATGGCGGTAGCGGACAAATCATGGACTCAAAAGAACTGGAGGAAATTCAGCGAGCGATAAATGCACCTCTCTTTATGATGGTTGGATTTGACAAAGTTAGTGAAATGCAAAGGTATGATATGATAGTCAATTTATTTTAATACATACAATTACTTATTCTAATTTTTAATCTTTATATATTGTAATTTTCATCTTTAGCTAAAGTGGATCAAGTTCCCTTAATTAGGGAAAAAGTTTATCCATCAGCTATCACAATTATTGGTCTATAAACAGTTTTTCCTTTCAATGTACTTTTCTGCTTTATTATATTTATATGTAGGTAGATATGTCATATTCAGCTCCTCAGTTAATAATATAGGCATTTTCATTGACCAAATCCTCCTGGAATCGTCATCATATTACCAACATCTCTCGATATCGGCAATATGATTACACCAATATAAAAGTTAAAATTTGTCTATATAAGGAAAGTTAAACAAATACAAATACACTCAATGAAATATAAATAAATATAGCGAGTATCATTTTTACTTTGACTTCCTCTTTGTCTGAGAATACTTATTTCTGCTAACAAGAGGATGGCGAGTGAAAGTCGTGTGATGCCAGATTTTTATTTATAATAATAGTAAAGTAAAATAAATTTATTTTTCAGTTGAATAAAACTGTTCAAATACTTTTAATGAATATTTTTGTAAGAATACTTAAAAATTGCAAATTTTATTTCATTCCTTGAAAAAAAACTGGTTTTGGAAATATAAATATTTTCATTCTGCTTTTTGCTTCCTCACTATCGAAGATAAGAAAGCATTGTGTTCGTGCGAGAGATTAAAAAAAAAAATTTCTCAGAATCGAAAATTTTCACTCGCGTTTTACGTTTCAGACATCAAGGATCAAATTTGGTTCGGTGTCTGTCTGTCTGTCTGTCTGTAGTCAAATCGATGTGACGGGCATATCACATACCGTTAGTACCGTTCATCCTATCTTCATGAAATTTTCAGGGATTATGCTGATTTGTCGTTAGATGGTCCCATATCAATTTTATCAAATTCCATGCAGCACTTCCGCTTACGCACGCGCAAACGTATATTTTTAGATATGCCAATATTTCAGAAAGGGCTCGTTCGATTTGGCTCAAAGTTAGGTAAAAGGTAGATTTTGGTGAAAAAATAACGTAGTGTCAATTTTATTGAATTTTGTCCACCATTTTCTCTTATATATGCACTACTAGTCCGCTGTCCGCCGTCCGCGCAATTTTTCTGAAACTACTAGACCGATTTTTTTCGAATTTGAATATAAAATCAGAGGTCACCCGAGGATCATCCTCCTTCAACGACATTACTATTCGCCTTCTAGTTTCAACATGGCGGCCGAAAAACCTGCGTTGCTATAGACTGTAGTAGCGCCTAAACGAATGTACCGATTTTAATGAAACTTCGCTAAAGTCATTTTCTCTACGCCCTTTAAATTTATCTATATAACATACTTCAACGAAAAGAAGCTCAAAAAAAAGTTATGAGGGATGGTATTAAATTAAATTAAATTCCGAATAACTCAAGAAGTATACACATTATTGTGAATATTGTATATGGTTTTTTAAAAGTTTGCGAATTTCCTAAAAAAAAAAAAAAAAAAATCGTTAAAATCGGACAATTAGGAGCAAAGATATGGTCTCTAGTTTTTTTTTTAGACATGTTATTGCAAGAGGTTTATCTTTTGTTTTGATTTTTGAATGTGTTACTGAAGTAATGCTATTTTTTAGCATATTACTATTAAAAAAAAGTTTAGTCCAATAATTGGAATCACCTTTTATTTATAACTAGGAATTTAATGTTACTTTATATGTATAATTGTTTGGAAATAATATATCATAGTGAAATAATTTGCAGTGGATTTTTTAAAAATTAATTATCGTTATATATATAATCTTTCGGGCTGAAGCCTCTCCCGCAAAATTAAATCTGGATCCGGTAGTGTATATCACTATTATCAGAGCAAAAGTTCGAATGTAAAAATTTTCAACTTTAATTCTATGTGTATTAATGGTGACATTTTGTAGTCTGCAACTGATATAAGTAGTCTGCTACTATGGAAAATAGCAGATGACAATAAAATATGAAATTATTCTAATAAAGCATAAAGAAATAATGAGTTTTTATGCACTCTTGTAAAACAATAAATAAATTTTTACGTAAGACCTTTTGCACTAACAGTATTGAAATTCATGTTCAGTATGCATTTTTTTTTTTTTTTTATTAAGCATAATCAAGTATGGAATCTTCAAATACGACACTCTTTTGTTGAATGTTGAAGGGTAACTGTAATCGGCTATTCCGATTCTGCTTCTCTCAGAGATTTTATTCTCATACGAAAAATTGTATACCTTGTAATATACAACGGAAACGGTGAGGAAGCTATACTGACCTTACTTGGCAGACGTTTTTTGTAATATTTAGGTTTGTTAAAGAAAAAAAAAATTGCACAATCGGATTCATTGGGTGTTTTACCAATGGCAATTGATACTTATGTAAATTTCCACAAAAATTTATTAAGGTTCACTTTGGAAATAATTACCTCAGTTGTAGATAATTTTGTCATCTTTATTTAAGTATAGGATCACTTTTTGTGTAAAAATCATAGTATTAAGGGGTATTGTTCATTTGTTGCAGTTCATTTGATACCCTGACAGTTGTTGGATTGCGTGAGCATAGGATAAGTAATGCTGGTGATCCTGGACAACTGGAAAAGATGTGTAGTAACATTGTTGAACTGGATCTTTCCAGAAATCTTCTTAAGTCTTGGTTGAACATCTATGATATCTCATCACAGCTTCCAAAGTTAAAGTTCCTTGATGTGAGGTAAGTCATTTTGAAAAATGTTCTCTTTTAATATTTTTTTGGCTTGAAAACTGGGCTGGATTGACTCATGTTGAAAAGTAATGTTTTGTTCAATGTAACCAATAGGATAATCCATCCTTCTAACCCTAGTTGATCAACGTTATAACATTAAACCCTAATAAACGAAATAACTATATTCTTAAGCTACTTTAGATTCTGTATTTCAATTAAAGGGTACTGCCAGAAATGGTACTCCACTCTGTGGTACTCTTAAAACAGGGATGGATGGCTTTGTCGAATGTTTAATTATCAAACAAACTAACCAATGATTGATAATTAACCCTAGAACGACACACCCCACAACATTCATAATATTAATTTACTTATTTTTATATAAATAGCTCTTTGGCCAAGTTTTTTTCATGTAAATAAACATCATAGATAGCCAGGCTAATTACAATCATTAGCACTCTATTGTTGGGCTTATATCATTATTGGGAGTTATCGAAAGTCATTATGGGGTATCCCACACTCGTGTGCTGTCTGTGCAGCTGTTCTGTGGATTTCGTATCCCAGTACTTTCTTTGTTATTTTGAAATTTAGAATAATTCAGGTGTGGATTTCTAATGTTATATTTGGTAATTAGTGTTATTTTCAATTCAGACGGTAATGTATAGAAACTATTTTTGTAGTATGGCAACTACCAAAAAAATGTATTCTTCTGAAGAAATCCATAAATTGTTATGGAAGTTAGAAGATTAAGAAAATATGCATGGGGCATATTTAATAATGATGGCACAGTAACGTTTGATCAAATGTGTTGTGTGTGTTAACAACAAGAAAAAAAAGAGGCTATCTTTCCGATTTTTCTTTGGAATGTTGAACTATGCTGGTTTAAACAGTATGATATTATTTGGATTAGGCTTTTTGATACTTCGGCCCTGTTTGAAAAGTATACTACAAGTGGAGACACTCACACGAACGGTGTGTTACAACTTAAAAGAAATTTTGGGAATTAGAAAATAAACGACTACTGTTGGAAAAACGAGCCAAATATTTGTTTTTCGCTTGAAAAAAAGATATGAAGACAAAAATGGTTTGTCAGCAATGTGAGAGACCTATCTGCAATGAACACAGAGTGGCAGTTTGCTTGGATTTTTGTGAGCGAGTGGTCACATAAATGGCCCTCACTATAGATTTTATTATCTTTTTAAGTAAACAAATACTTTTTTCCTTTATTATGTATATATTTTACTTTCCAAATATCAAGTACCACACACCCCATAGTGTAAGAATTAGTTGAATTTTTAAAGTGTGTCGTTCTAGGGTTAAACATTTATTTAGAATTTTTATTGTTACATTTATTAACTTTATCATTTCTTTTTAGTGAAAATAGACTGACTTATAAGGACTGCAATCCGAGTGATTTAAAAGATGGGTTTAGCAATTTAGAATTTTTGGTCTTGAGTAAAATGGAGTATTCTTGGGAAGACATCTTGAATTGTGCTGTTATGTGGCCAAACATTCAGAGGTTCCAGGTTAATAAATAAATAGCACTTATATTTAAAAAATAAATTATTTTTTATTACTTCTATAATGTTTTTATTACTATATTTTTCCATAGATTTCGTTTAACAAAATAACTTCCTTATCAACACCACCTCCTGGCATTCTCCACAATTTGAAAATATTAAATATTGAAGGAAATAATATCTTACATTGGTCTGAAATAGAAAAATTGGGAACATTACCAAGGTAACATTGAATACAACCAATTAATTATTACTGAATATTATTGAAAATAAATATAAATAATTATTTTAATTAAAAATAATAATAATAGCTATAAATAAACAAAATTAATTAGATTTTTCTTTTAGATTGGAAATTCTAAATGCATCCAATACTGGTCTTACACATATTTCTCTACCGACTCCTAATACATTATTTACTTCCTTAAAATATGTTCTGATATCAGGAAATTTCATAAATAACGTAAGTCATAATTAAATATTTAATAATTTAATAAAACTAAGGTATAGTTACAATATAAATAAATAAGTTTGTAATGTACAAGGGTAATTTAAAAAAGTAAAAGTAAATTGAAAATGCAAAGTGATGCCTTTTAAAAGTTTACCACATATTTTTACCTCAATAAATATGCTGCCCACATATGCTGTCACTATTTATTGTTTGACCATTCGGTTTGAATTTAACCGTAATTGGATGTTCCATATTCTAGAATATTGTCATCATAACCTTTCCTGCAGACGTCTTGAGTTATGAACTTTCTGGCTGTGAGAGATGAAGGATGTTTGCACACCAAACTTTGTCATTTACTCCTCGCTGATTCAAAGTGATGATGGACCTATATCTCAGCAAGGGTTATAATTTTCATAAGAAATGAGGCTCCTTCTTTTTCGTATTATTTCAAATTCTTCTAGGAAAGTTTCAAATGATTTTCTTAGTGGATGCTGGTCAATTGATGTGGAACTCAGCAAGAAAAAAAAAAAAAGTTTAAAAAAGCTGTACCACTACAACCCATGAAGGGTCTTGGGTTCAGTACTATTTAGGGAAAGCACTGTTTCTCGGTCTACGGTTGTGCAAGGAAGTGATTTGGCCGTGATCACCCTCAACTTCCAGGTTTTTCCTCTTAATCAAATATTTTAATTAAACCCAGAACCTTGAGCATTGAATGTCAATGCCTTACCTACTGAGCTACCCCAATCCAATATTTCGATATAGATTCAAGAGAAAATTTTTTTGGTCTTCTTGGTTCCTCAATTTTTTTTTTTTTTTTTGTAGCAGCACCCATGTCGGGCTAAAAATGTTCACAATAGTTGACAACAATATTCTCCACCTACTACTCCCGACTCAAAATGTAACTTAATTTTAGTAAATATTATATATTATTAGGTTTATATTAGTAGATATCATCAAAATTTCGCATGAAAACCTTTTTAAAAATTATGGATAAGTATTATATAAAAATTAAACTGACAAGCTCTGTACAGAGGTGTATCGTGTATATGTCAAGAGAGACGATCGGCAAAGGTCTTTAAAGAGCCTGGGTATGCCCCAGAAGGATCTATCTATCCACGGTTGCACCACGGCCAATGAAACAAAATAAACAATATTTCTGCCGTGAGCTGGAACCTTCAGCATTCGAAACTCAGTACCCTACCACTGAATTATCCCACTCCTTTCACTTGCAATGACATCAACTGTAATTTGTCGATTATCGAGAATCAATTGTTTTACTGTTTCAATTTTGTGATTAGTCTTTGAAGTGGAAATTGTACCACTTTTTCAAGCAATCTATTCGTTCGTAGATCTTGCTTTCACTCAAACAATTTCCTCCATATTGCTTCTGTATTTGACAAAAATAATCTCTGCTGGTTTCACACCTTCTGAATTGAGGAAACGTATCACTACTCGCATTGTTTCCTTGAAGTAATCAGACAAAAGAGAACTCATTTTGAACAGACTTTTAAACACAATCACAAATAGCTGAGAATGAAACAGTATTTCAAGGAACAGTTGGTAAAAGTTATGAGTTACACCAGAACAATCAGTGCTGCCATACATGTGATCCGAATTTCCCTTTACTTTTACTGACTTATCCTAGTAGATTATTATTATAGAAAGGAGTGTAATATTTTCTCTTGTTTTTAAGTTCTAAGTCTTTTATCATTTTTCATAGCTTACTCATGAAAATTTCATCTTTCTTTTTATTGATGTTTTCTATATATACAGAACTACTAATACTTTAATTATAGTAAGGGGTCTGATGAATAATAACAAAATTTATGACTTTTGAAACCTCCACAATTTTTTTAATGAATTTTATTAAAAATCAATAAAAATTTATTGTTGTAGAAATATAAGTATCAAAATTAAGATTTGCACTTCATAAAATTCCGTTTCGTTCGATGCCACATTCATCAAAATCCTTCACTCTTGAGAGCTGGAATAGAGATGTAGGTACTACTTCACTAGCAGGCCGGGTCGAAACCTCACTTCTAATCTATGTTATCTAACGTCACGTCACATAACCTCCCTCTTCTTATCCCGCCAAACCTATCAGTTATTACAGTGTTTATTTTTCAGTTATTCCCTTATTACATTCACTTATTAAATTCTTTATTTTTAGCCCGTTTGTTTTTATTTTTCATTTTTTTTTTTAGTTTATTTTCGTCAAATTATGAATCTTGTTACATTCTGGGATTTACCGTCCTCAGAAGAACAGGCTATTGAATATTTTCAAAATGTTGGGATACTTGCAGACGTGAAATTGTGTGAACGAGGTCATCAAATGAAGTTAATCAGGAACGCCAAATGGAGATGCTATCGTAGCACTTGTGACATAAAACTTTCAATAAGGAAAGGAACATGGTTGGAGGGCTCGAAGATTTCATTTTTAACGGCTTTAAAATTGATTTATGGGTGGTCCCATAACTTAACAACGACGAAGTGGGGCAAAGAGCAGCTGAAACTATCCAACGGAGCTGTGGTAACGTGGAACAAATGTCTAAGAGAGGTTTTCGTGCCTATGACATTTAATAATAATACGAAGATAGGAATTATGAGAAGGCTTTTCACTGCCTTATCGGAATTGTCAGTGTTCAGGTTATAAACATTGGCGGATAGCAGTCAGTCCCTGCCTGCTAGTGAGGAAGTACCAAGATGTATATTATTTTTAATTTAATTGAAAAAATTCTTACCCTTCAAGAGCACATGATTTAACTTGATTTGGTTTATGCCTTAACATTATGCTAATCCTTAAATTATTCTGTTTATTAAACTTTTATTTTTATATAGTGGGAAAGTATCAGTGAATTAGATAAACTTCCACAATTGGAGGAGCTCCGTTTGAGGGACAATCCTGTACTGGACGGAATATCGAGGGAGACTGTTAGGCAGATCATCATAGCAAGGATCGCCAAGCTCAAGGTATGCTAAATGTTTGATTACAGAATCGTGTTTTTCTAATTTATTTTTTTTTTTTCCTTCTTTATTATCATATATTCATTTCAATTTATAGCATCTCAATTCCCAAATAATTTCGGATGAAGAAAGGAGAGGAGCTGAGATAGATTATCTGAAACACAACGGAAGGATGTGGTTGGAAACCGCTGTTGACCCTAAAGGACGGAGAGTATTCAATGCACAACATCCAAGATATAAGGCTTTAGTCCAAAGTGAGTGTTTGTTCAGTTTTTATTATACCTCAGTCATTTCTTATAGACAGTAAACCTTCAATTAACCTTCACCACCGTTCCAAGGACATGATTGCTAAGTGAAATGGCAGATGATAAAAATAACCTTTGAGGAATACCTTTCAAAAATACTTTAATCTATAGCAGAATTAAATAGCAATCAGTAGACTCTAAATGTAAATTAAATATTTTTGCAACTTAAAAACAATTATGAATGAATGAAGGAATTAAATTCACTTTTTATTAGGTATTTTATAACTGCATAACAATCAAAGCTCAGTAAAATTATTTACAGCTTCGTTTTATGGAAGTTTGCCCTTGCCAAAGATGTATTATTAATAATACACTAAATCCTACAATTTAACATACCATAATAGTTTGCAATATCATAGGAATTCCATAAGAAACCAAAATTTGTTTTTCTTGCCTAGGGAGAGAGAGAAGAAATACTTTATTTAAAGCAGTGCTACCCTACTGTATAGGGTTGCTCGATACACAGGATAATCATCAATCCTTTTTTCTTTGGACATAGCACTTAATTATACTTAATCACACACAAACAGATATATGTACAAATTCTTTTCCATATCACTCATCATATACAATATTAATACTGTAATATACCAACACAATTACAATTATACAATATAGAAATAATTCGGATATACACTAAAATACAACAAATTAATAACATAAATGTATAATATATAAATATAAATACACAATAAAATATAACTGCCACTTTATTACATTATTTTAGTACGTAAATATTTTTTCAAATTTTAAATGAATATGAAAATTTTGAATATAAGCTACAGCCTTGTTTGTTATGAACCGCTAAGTATTTCATTATTACTTTCATTTAGCTATATATGAAACATATAGTAAGGGACACTATTGTGATCATGAAAATTTTCAAATCTGAGTTTTCAACGGAAAAACATGTTTAGGAGACCTCCTTAGTCCAAATAACTAAGTCCCGCAAAATGGTCTGTATGTGCGTGTATCTGTATGTATGTGACAGGTCTAGCTCAAAAACGAAAAGTCATATGAAAATGAAATTGTATATTTAAGATTTGTATATACCTGAGATGTTACTGTAACTTTTTCGTCAAAATTGTCTAACCGGAAGTGGCACTTTATATCATCGATGAAACACATTTTTATTATTTTCTCGAAAACAGCTCCTGTTCGATTAAATTTATTATATCAGTGTAAAATTAAACAGTTTTTAGTAAGATGTAGGTTTTATTCTCATTGATGTTCTTTAACAGGGTGTAAATGGCTAATTTTCAATATTAGCTTCCTCTAAAGTACCTTTAATTTTTTTTTATTCGAAACAACCATATCACATTTATCTCTAATATAAAATATGAAAGAATTTGATGATTAACTAAAGGAGGAATAATAGATTGTAACAGGGAATAGTTGTAATGAAGGAACCAAAGGAATATGAGAGCTCGCCCGTAGATTAGAACAGGCTTCCATATTAACATAAGCTTAATATAATATGGACTCCGACTATATTAAGTACATATACATATGCGATTTTGCTAAATGTTTTCGTTGGTATTATTTAATATTTGATTGTATAGATTACAGCAATATAAATATTAAAATTTGTATATATATAAGGGTACTTAAATAAATAAAAATATCCACTTCCCAATTAATTTATCAGCAGATAAAAAATTGGAACACCAAATCATTATTCATTATCACCTTTATTTCACACATAAATTATTAATAATAAAAATTACAATTGAAAAATAATTACCTCGGCTGATATTTTTAGTTAATATTGTTTGATGCAATCCATTGGCTTGCAAGCACTCGTTCGACCGATCCATGGCTCTTCTTAAAAGAGCACGTATTAACCAGAAATATCAAACATGGTGTTGTATGGATAATTATTATGCTATTTATAGTAATTAAGAAACTAAATTACTTAAGAGAAACTAGATTAAAATAAGAATCGCCTTTAGCTCACTTTATTTTATAATAGAGGAAAGCAGAACTTTATATACGAAGTATCAACTTTTATCTTCTAACTGTTTATGAAAATAAAATAAAGGTGATAAAAATAAATACATAAAAACTTAATTTTATAAAATAAAAAATACTTATCAAGTTATTTAAAAGCTTGATTTTTTTTTTTTAAGAATTAATTTTTTGTAGCCAATTATCTTTCATGTATAATTAACAAATTTAGTTACAAATTATACATTTTTAATATATGTGTCCTCAGACATATTGGTCAGGGAAAAATATAAAATTAACAAAATTCCGAGAATTTTACTTTAACAGTTAGGTAGCCACCGTGTCATTTTATAAAATCAATGGAACTTACAAAGTTATTTTCTATATTAATTCATATTTAAATATGATGGCCGTAAAAACAGTTAATCATAGTATATATATAAGAATTTTCACAAATTTGAATATCCCAGTTTGTCAATTTATGTTGTTTTCTCTTTGTATAAAATATGTATATTTAATTTAATATTATCCATTTCAGAATATGGTGAAATGGAAGAGAGCGAGTTGACGAATGAGAAAGTAGCTCTCAAAGCTAATTTAGTTAGAATTAGGATCGAGAGTAAGGATAATGTTGCCATAGAGAAACAGTTACCTTTAGAAATGTCTTTACGCGCCTTCGTCTTCTTGGCACAGAGGCTTTTTCACACTGGCTCCGCTAAGCTCTTGCTTACATTAGTTAGTTCCAAGGTAATTGTATACATTTTAAACATTATTATTATATGTATAATTCATGTTTACTCCTTCATATTCTTAACGATTCAATGTTTTGTTTTGTTTTAAAAAAGTATTTTGTCTGATAATATATAATTTTTAAAAGACAAAAAGTTTCAGCCATTAAAGAATGATGTAAAAATTTGAGGATCAAAATAAATCCAAACAAAGCCATCATCACATTCACTCTTTGTTGTAAACCTACTGTATCCTTTCCTACAGTATTCTTTGAAAATATTCCACTTACCCCAGTTGAACAGACTGCAACGATAAGAGAATGCTCATAAATTCCGATAACTTCAACACTTGACAATGCTCTTAAGTTCCAGTATTATACAAAAAACTCCTGTACACTACCATCATCAGAGCCGTTTGGATATATGGAATTGAGCTTTAATAATACTTTATTTATTCTGGGACGAGTCCCTTTAGAATAATACGGAAGGAGAGAAACGTGGGCTAACGAGCTTCAGAGATACATGAAAAAAATGCTGACTAATGAAATAGTCATAGTAAAAAATTATAAGTTACTTTCTAACTTTAATAAATTAATAATAAAAAATTGAAAATAAAGTAAAAATAATGAGAAATGATCTAATAATTTATATACATATTTGCAGTGGTATCTATTTACAATTTTATGGGGACTGGATGGATAAGAAATGATTGAACAGGCAGGATTTAAAGGTAGGAAGGGTATTCGATTGACGGATGTGGGAAGGGATGGAGTTCCATAAGGATGAAGATCGGATAATGAACAATCCGTCGAAAGCAGCGGTTCGGTGGGCCCTTAAGTATAAATCAGAAGACCTGGAACGAGTATTGCGGTAGCGAACAGAGGATTTGAATTGGAGGAGCTCGGAGATGTATGAAGGTCGATGGGATTGGATGACTTGAAAGAGGAAGGATACCAGGAAATACTTGCGACGGTAGGAAGGGTAAAGCCACTTCAACTCTGCATAAAAACGGGAAACAGAGGCGTCCCTTGGGATCCCGAAGATGAATCGTACAAAGCAATTTATCAAACGTTTTAGTTTACCCTCGAGATCACCAGAGAAGCCCCCATATACCGTACAGCAATAGTGAAAGTGGGGAAAAATTAAGGAAGTGACCAGGAGTCTACGGGTTTCAAAGGGAAATGAGTGACGGAAGTAGTTTCGGCATTTTAAAGTGGAAATGGTACGGCGGGAGATGTTGGATACATGGTTTTTCCAGGAAAGTGTTTGATCAAAGGTTATTCCAAGGTTTTTGATAGAGGGATAAAATTTGATGGGATTATCATGTAGGAACAGAGTTGGAATATGTGGAACAGTTTTAAGGAGGTGATTGGAGCCTATTAAGATTGCCTTTAGGTTTCCTTATCCAATCCTTACAATCCAAAATCCTCTTTAGAATCCTTAAAGCTTCTTATTATGTGACAAATATAATTATCCGTAAATACTTCATTATTATTCCCTTTGTTGCCATTTTGCCCCGAATTAGATATTCTTCTTTTTCCGGACTTGTTGGTCACTCTAACTCTCTACTTCATAACCAAGTCGTGGATTTCTATGCAATTGCATATTTTGTTTGCATGCAGTGTTTAAACTGCTGATCAAAACCTATATGAATCAGTGTATCAAGATGCAATTGATCAAATTTTATATTGCATATTTTGATTGTTTCTAATAAAAAATAATACTAATCTCAGCTCTGACGAAGGCCTGAAATGTAGTCAGAAACGTTGGCATAAAATAAAATAAAAATTATTGATTCTTATTTGTATTTCTCTCTGAGTGCTATCTCCGTCTATTTTTTGAACCGTATTATCCACGATTTTTTCACCTTTATTCTCTCAAAATGTGTCTTAAAAGAATTATTACTATGTTCAAATAAATTTGTCTTTGTGATATCTGTATAATACATGACATAAGTTGCTATTTTTTTAAATTTACCAATACATATTCTTTATCAACGTACCTATCTAATTTATTTACCTTAAATATATAAATTTATCATTGATTTCTTAATTGATTTTAGAACCCATTGCTCAAGATACAACTTGACAACATGATGAAGACTTTGAGCTATTACTGCGTCGAAGATGGTGATATTGTGAAAGTTGAATGGTGATTGAGTGTTATTAGTCTGTAAGAATTAAGAGTCACTGTGACTGTTGCGAAGCTTGTTTTCATTGTCGAACCTGTATCATATGATGTATAGAGAAATATATTTTTCATAGATGGCTAGCTTTATTTATTTAAGCTATATGAAATAAATTTTTTATTGATTACCATTAAGTTTTAAGTTTTTTATAATATATTTTTTTAATATCTAACCAATGAATAATACATTTAAAATATTAATAGTTAATTTTTGCAATAAAACCATTTAAATCCATTTTATTTTTAAAGGTTTTTTTCAAACCAGAACTGCTAATAATAAACATTTTTTTAAATTTATTTAATAAATATATTTTTATTAAGTACTATTATATTTAACATGTAGTTATTACTCATTCGAAAGTCGTCAATTATTTTTAGGTTTGTTACTTAATATCCTCAGCTTATTTATTCATTAATAAAAATCGAAGAAGCAATTTTTTTTTCAATATTTTCTACTTCTGAGTGAATTTGTTCATTTAAAATAAATGATAAAAATATTGATTTATTAATATGATAACTTGCACCAAGAGCACATAATGTTGAATTATTCCAAGTAAATATTTTAATCGGAAAGGTTAATTTGAAGTTTAATACTGAAATATAAAAACTCTTCTTCCATATATATCAATTAATTCTTTCTTATTTATAGTCTTACATATAATCAATACTCATTAAATAATTCTAAAAATATAAATCAGCTGATTGAGGATGGTCGATTTTAATAATGTGTTAATTACATTTATACTGACTAAATTTTTTTACTATTTTTATCTATCATAATGTTTTTAATTTTGAATTCACAATTTAGATATCTTGGAACAGTGAATTCTTTTGTTTTAAAATAAAATATTGTATTTGGACACATTACTTTCACTTAATAAAGAAATTATAAATTGGGATTCAAATTCCCATAGTTTAGAAAATCATTGTTAAATCATATGCTTTGAAGTGGAGTTGTGTACAACATTTTCTATTATACTAAATTTTATCACCATTTCTAAAGCACTTTTTAGTAAATTTATCATCACATATCTGTCTTTAATTTATTTATAATAATGGATTTAATATACAATTGTTTATAAAATCATAATAAAATAATATTTTCATGAAAATATGTTCTTCTTATAAAACCTTGAATTTTCTATTCCAATGTTGAGATTTTTGAGACTGTATTATATTATATTAATTTGTTAACCATGGTGATTCAAATCCATGAATGTGTAAAAGAAAAAAAGACTGATAGTGTAACAACAAATAACGCAAAAAGTGTCATCCTGCTTAGAAAGTTTTCAGAAAATGAGACATGAATGCTGAATAACTTAGAATTAAAGTCAAGATTTTACTTTCATATTTAAAGGATTCATTAGTAAGTTTCTTTTTAGTAATTATACATACCAATAATGGTATTGAAATTAATTGCAGATTGGAATTTTAAAACTACGCAAAGACAAGACTAAAAAAGACGCATTTGCAAAAACTACAATTTTTTTAATCCAAAATTTGAAGTCTATTAAAAACAGCTGCTTGGTACATAAACAATAAATCTTTATACTCCTACTTACGGCATTCAACACATACATACTGTTTACTCCCGATTTCAAATCAAACTAAATTGACTTAAACGATTGACCTAAAAACAGAGTTGGATGTTAAGGTTTTGGGTGTTAAAATAAAAACTGAATAATAATACATTTAAAGTTTTCATTATACTTATCTATTAATATAAATGGATCCCACTACTCACTCACGGGTTTACATTTTCATCATCTTAAATTTAATCCTATATTATGAAAAAAAGTTTTAAAACACTAAACTGACAATAAATAAGACCAATAAATGGATGAATTTTGAATTGTGAACGATCGGATGAGGGATGCGCAACTTTTTCTAAACTTATGTTATTGAAATGCCCTTTCTTTTAAAAATATACGATCTTAACAGTCTGCCATTTGTATAGCAATCCACTTGGAAAAAGTACCTGCCAATGAAGAAACTAATACCATTAAAATACTGACATGTTTTAATTTACTGTGATTTGGGGCTTTTATCCTGGAAGCCATTAAATATTCTATAATTCAAATAATAATTCTATAATTCTGATTTACATGCATGTAAAAAAAAAAAAAAAATTGTATCACAAAAATTAATAAGGTTTACATATAATTAAAAATAGCATAAAATTTTAAAAAAGGAGGAAAAATTAATACGAAAACAATTTTTAATAATAAAAAAAAAAAGATTTATTACAAAATTGCTTTGAACATAAGCTTTCAATCGTCTTGACTGCTCATTTTAAAAATATTCAGTAAAACAAAGAAGAAAAAACTATAATAATATATCCACTTAAACGAATGGGAGTTCTGTTTGAGTAAAATAAAAGAAAGAATTATAATCAATTTTAACATATGTTTAATTCGGAAATTAGTTCATAAATGAATGACTAAATTTTTAGTCATTAGTCGTTTTAAAAAAAAACTATTTTTTTTTTTTTTATTTCTTTTATGTTAGCTGCAACTAATGAATAAGAAAAATTCATTAGTCATGAATTTTTTTTATGAATTAAATTTTATTCGTCATTAGTCATTCCGATATTTTTTCGCCTAACTCTGTCCGAAAATAACATGCTCATCTGGAGTCGACTGAAAAGAAACTGGATGACAGATCTTTCATGGATTTAAGAAATAAATAATAGGTAGAGAGGTACTGCTAGGTACTATCCTTCCTGATGCCTAAAATGCCATTTTCCTAATTCCACAACACCTCTGCTTATTGTCACATTCATGACAAAAGAAGATTAAGATTTAAAGAGAAATAAAACATAAAAAGGAGATATTTAATACATAAAGTATTTTTAAGAACAGCTACTGAAGGTTTCATTTATTAAAAAAAACAACTTGTTCTAAATCAATTCCTCTTCTACCGCTAGATCAGTGTAGAGGATCCTGTTTATAAAGCTTGATCCATTTATCTCGTTCTTGCACCAGTTTACTGAGTCTATTCCAATTCATACCTCTCCTATCGAAATCTTCCCTGACTGAACCTTCCCAGGTCTTTCTGGGCCTTCCTCTCGGCATTCTTCCTTCCACTTTTACTTCATATATAGTTTTGGCCATTCTTCCCTCCTGCATTCTTTTGACATGGCCAAACCAGCGTAGCCTGTATTCCTCAATTGTGTTTTCTGCTGGTTTTATTCCCAAATTGCTTCTTATCGTTGTATTCCTGATTCCCTCCTAGTTTTTCCCTCTATCCTCAGAAATCGCATTTCCATTGCTTTTATGTTTTGAGGTTATAGTCCAGGATTCACTGCCATAGGTCAGTATGGGGACAAATGTATTTTTATGCACCGTCTTCTTGACATTTTTTTTATACTTCTCTCTTTGCTAAGAAACCTGTTTTTAGTGAATGGGAGCATTTGCTGGCAAGTTTTATTTTTTCCCTGATTTCGCCACCTATCCAACCGTTCTCATTTAGATGGGCTCCCAGATACTTAAAATCTTTGACGTGCTCCAGTTCCTCCCCCTTCAATCGAAGTACTCGATCTCCCGTCTCTTCTCCCCTTCCTATCCTCATAATTTTTGTCTTGTGGCTGTTGAACAGTTCTAATTCTTCCAACAGGATTCGGAGGATGTATTGGAGGTTTCTTCCGTTGTTCCCGAATACCACATATCGTCGACATATGCCAGAAGGGTGAGATGAACTGGTTATAGCATGAAAAACACATTTTTAGCCATTGGTCTGCCTGTCTGTATGCCTTTTCGAAGATTTTCTCGGGAACTAGTGAACCGATTCTGTTGCTCCCTTTATTATTTTGTAGGATTTTGACTACTGATATATATAGCTGCTGCGCAGTAAATTAAAAACATGTTTTTCTATAGACTGTAGCGCGAAAATGGCTCTAACGTATTTGATGAAACTTTCCTATATTGTTTTAATAATTTTCCTTTCAATTTTCGTATATGGACTAAATTTCCGAGAAAATTCATGGAAAAAAGTTATAAAGAAAAGAAAAATGTTTTGGGGCCTAACTCGCTGAGTATAATGAATTATAACGAAACTTTTGAAAGGTAATTAAATTAACTACAAAACAAAAATAAAAAAAAAACTTTAGTTCATCAAAAAAATCGTACTCATATCTTTTCATTGATCAATTTTCAGGAAAATATATCTAGTTCAATTTTTTTTGTTTCTTGATGAATATATGTAAAGATATAAATACTTTTCTGAATTAGGTAGGAAAGTCGTGTGAGTGGATACACCAGATTTTTTTTTTAGAAGAGTTAAAACCAATTATTTCTTAATGTTTTATTGGTACAATATCGAATTTTATTCTCTCTGCTATTTTACGTAGTAGGAGATGAATTGCAGTTGCTAATGTCACCTACATATCAGACTTCGTTATGTCATCTTTAGTACAAATAGAATAAATATGGTAAATTGTTACATACCTCCTTCTTTACTAACAGTAGCAATATAGCACGATCTTTTGCATCAATACGAACTGATAGCAGATCGTCAGGACCGATTGCGTCCTTTGTGTCCAGCTTTGAGCTCTATCACCTCTTTGGATTTTCGCACTCTCTGTTTAACAGAGAAGGTTTCAAAGTAAACGTGTAGGTTCTGGGGTGAACAGTTCAAATTATGAGTACTGGGTTTAGCTGTTAGTTTTAACAATAAGTGTATATAATGAAGAAACATTTTGAAAAACTTAAATATTTTGATGCTTATTATAAACCTGTTGATGATTTGCAAGAGAGAACTTTTATTGGTGGCACAGGTAATTTATTTCTTCATTATTTATGCCTTACTAATCATGTTTTTGTTTATTTTTAAAAGTTGATTAATGCAATGTAATATAATTAATTTTAATTTTTTATGTATTTTTTCAGTTTCAATTTTGTGTTGGTTGACAATTATGTTTCTGTCAACTGTCAGGTGTTATGAATTCTTTACCAATTCGGAAACAGATGAGTCCATATATGTTGATACTTCAAGAAGTTCAAAGCTATGGATAAATTTAGATTTTATCATACCTAGGATATCTTGTGACTGTAAACTACAACATTAATAAGTTTTCATGTTATTTTAGGCTATAAAAATATTATTGTATAAATTTTGTGATTTATATTGCTATTAGATGTTGCGCTTGATGCAATGGATAGTTCCGGAGAACAGCATTTGCACTTAGAACACAATATTTTTAAGAGAAGATTAGATTTGAATGGTACTCCAATAGCTGAACCACAAAGTGAAAGTAACTATTCATTATCTGTATAATATATTAATTCATTTTTTATTTTTATTTTTGAAAATTATTTTCAATGTCTTCTGACTTATAAATATCTAGGGAGGTTGCTAGGCCAATAATTATAGTAATTTTGAATTTTTTTATCCTAACTTGATTCATTTTGATACTTGACTTTCCCATTTTCCTTGCCTGTTTTCATATTAAGTATATAGTTTTTCTAGATTAATGTAGACTGGGATAATACTGACTTCACAATTGTTATTCTAATATGGCAACTGGGCACAAAATTAAACAATATATGGGCTTTAGAAATTAGCCGATTCTGTCCTAAAAGAGATGACCAATCATCTGGTAGGGTCCTGACCCCTGAAAAACACCTGTCATGGATTTATTCACCTCTTTTGAGCATGCAGAACTCGATAAGTTGTGATCTATGATCTAATTAAAGCAAGGTTACACTGGTGATCGTGACTCAATATTTAATATTTTACAATTTTCATTATTCTATCTGCTGCATGGTCAATGTGATATTTGACCAATCCCCTAATGTTGAAATTATACTTGTGAAGTTTTATGAATTTAGTTACGAGAGATTAATTCATTTGAGTTTTATCTGAGTTCACATGTGTTCCACATGGATTATGCCTGGTTCACAATCATTTCGATCACACTTGTTCATGGAATCCCGAAAACAGCCGAATCTTTTATGACGTCAGCCCCCACCACACAATCCCTATTCATACAGTTTTGAAGAAAAAAAAAACATTCATGAAACTTCCTTATTAACAAATCATATATTTACTAATTTGTTAATTATTAATTTTTATTATAACGGTTATTACTCTGAAAGAAATTTTATGAATATACTCTGTCGTATTAGAAATTTTTCATTGGAGTTTTTGTATCTTTTTGGATTTCTTAGATATATGATTCCACTATTAAGTAGTCAAGGACGCTTATGTCTTATGGAAAAAATGTCAGATTAAAGATTGCGCGAGAATAGTGGAAAATATTAATAAATGAAGTGTATCTATTAATCGTTATATAGATAAATATTTATTCAAATAATATACAATCCCAACAGGATCCATAGATCTGCCAGTTAGTTGGACTATACTGTTAACTTTTTTTTTTTTTTTTTTTTTTTTTTATTTCAATGGAATTTACAACTGTATTACATAGAGAATACAATAAGTAAATGAGAAATTTGTAACATGGCATGTACAACATGAAGAGAAACTACCCATTGGTAGAACTCAAATACTGTTAACTTAAAATTTATTTTGGCATTTTAATCTGTATTATTTTTATTGAATGAATTAGCTGCATAATTGTTGTTATTCGTAGTTATTTTGCTTAGCCCAAAATGGAGACTTATTGTAGTCATTCGTAAAAAAATAAAAAAAACATTTTCGAATAAGAAATTAATGTGCTGGGGAAACAACTGACGAAGAATATCTGATTATTCCAAGATAATGGACATCTTCAATAAGAAAAATAATATCGTGAAATAGCATTTAGAGATATTATAATCAAAGGTTTTCCACAGCTGTATAATATATGTACTATTTGGAATAAGGTTACATGATGTAGTCTAAATTTCGAATATAAATCAGCTCCTGCTGTATAACTGAACATGGTTAAGGTTATTGAAGTTCTTAAATGGCAAAAAAGTTAATAGTGACTGACTCAAGAGATCGTTCGCCTTCTCTTTCGGATAAACCCGATCTCATTCGTCACACCATGAACAAGTGTGACTGAAGTGATTGTGAACTAAACGTAATCCGTGCGAAACTCATGTGAACTAGTACCAAGATTTTTTTACTTACTCATACACATGTGAAATATATTGAAGGGTAAGCATTGAGGTCATCTAAAATTTGAGATCTGAGTTTTCAATATTCAATATTGTTGTTGTTTTTTTTTCAATATTCAATTGTGTTTAAGAATGAGGACAATTTCAAAGTAGAATAAATATGTTTTGTATTTTTATTTTCAGTTCTTAAAATATTTAAAGGTTTTATTATAATTTGTTTGCACACAATATCTACTATTGCATAAAGTGTATCCGGTTCATATAATTGAGGTAATTACATTGCAGAGAATGAAATGGGCATGTAAAATTGTTGGGCTCAGTAACAAAAGAATTCTTAAAAGATTAATATGCATTGGTTACCGTCGAGGGGTAGATTGAAGTGAATGTGGGAAGATTGTGTTAAGGAGGAGAGAGGTGTATAGACGGTGATTCGTGCTATTGACATCAAATCTTCGTGTTCGTTAAACTTTTTATTATTATTCTTCCTGTTAGCTGTTAATCATTTAGCACCAATCTCAACAATATTGACATGAGGCTAAGTTATTTGGGAGTTAGCAGATTTGTTTTAAAAAATCAATTTCATTTAAAATATTTGATTATTTCAAGTAGAAATATTACATTTTGACCAGTTAAAGTTTGTTTAAAGTTAAAAATAAATGGAAAGTTGCTCACTTGAATTTATAAAAATAATACAAATTTTGTTGAATATTAAAAATTGATATGCTCTGTATATCCATCTATTAACTATTTTTTTCTTCTTTTTCAGAAATAGGTATGAAAACTTTTACAATAGAGGTGAAGTAGTATATTATTAGTTCATAAAAAAATAATTTAAGATTTGTAATCTTTAAAGTATAATTATATAATTAATAAAATATGTTACAGGAAACCAATAATACTGAATCAACTACAGCAAAACCCGTTTGTGGGAGTTGTTATGGAGCTGAAGATCCAATCCTAAATATCACGTATTTTTTTTTTTTTTTTTATCTAAAAGTAATGTAAAGTTCCTTACATCAACACCAACATTGTTATTCTACGTTTCCGTGGTATAATGTTTGTTCCTAGTATCAAATATCCATGAAGGCAAAGATTTGATTACTGGAAATTCCAAGATTTCTTTTATTTTATAGAACTGTGTCTATAGGTGATCTTGGATCTATAGATAACTGATAAGCTGTTTGGATCAAAAATTAATGGTCTGTTCTGAAAAAGTTTTTTTCTTAAGTTTTGACCTATGTTGTAGGTGTTTTTCAGGGCTATATAAGATACAAACAGTATATATTTGTTATTTAATTATATATAAACAATATATATATTAATTATGGAAAGTTACAGTATATGTAGATGACTGACATTCAATTTGGAAAAGTAATGGATTATCAGGATATCTGGAGTATATTTAGGGTATTAGGTATATTAAGAATAATAATAAAACCGTTCACCTTAAAAACGAGACCTCTTCCACCGATTTCCAATTCCACCTTAGCCCACATTTACAAATATTTGTTAATACCCACCTTCTTTAGATGTATTTAATAATTTAACTAATTACTTAGACCAATACACGCAACTACTACTTCAGTAACTTTAGCTATAATAGCATTTTCTTATCTCGCCCAAACTTTTTCGGCAACAAACAACTACTTTTAAAAACACCTGGTCCCTTTCTACCTGTCTGTTTTTTGTTACCTGATCTACATCAGACAGCCAGACGCCATTGGGCCTTCAACACTGCCTGACGGAATGGTATATTTTTAACTTTATTTTTATTTTTTTTATTGCTAATATACCTAATACCCTTAATATATCCTGATAATCAATTTACCTTTCCTAATTGAACTGAATATCAATAGTCGTCTATATATACTGTAACTTTCTATACGTAATATATATTGTTTATATATAAGTAAATAACAAATATATATTGTTTGTATCTTATATAGCCCTGAAGAAGACTTACAACGTAGGTCGAAACGTCGGAAAAAATGAAATAAAATATACTATAGTATTTTTTTTTACCGCACTCGGAATAACTTCTTCAGACAATAGAATTTTCATTTGTTGTAAGGTTCTTTTTTCAAGTAGTTGAATTTTTTATTTACTTCATATGCATTATTTTTAATAAATAGTTTAATAGGTGCTGTAATACATGTGAAGAAGTAAAAGAAGCATATAGAATAAGAAGGTGGCAGATACATGAAACTCATATTGAGCAATGCAAATCTTCTGCAACATCACAGCAGATAGAAAAAGCATTTAAAGAAGGGTGTCAGATTTATGGCTATATGGAAGTTAACAGGGTAAAGTTCAATATATGTCTATTAGTTTTAAATTATATTTTTTTTATTATGTTATTTATTTGAATTTAAATTGTTTATGTAATGCATAAATTTTCCATCTTTATTCGAGGGTGAATATTTGGTAATGTTAACAAAAACACAAAAATTTATGAATTTTTCTGAGGCATATTTGCAAAAAATATATGGGAAAGGAATTACTTCGCATGTATGGAGCCGGCTACATCGTGCCTTCTCAGTGCTTAGCTTCTACCGTTGGGTATCGTACTTCATAATTCTAGCTAATAATTCATTTTATTAGCTTTTGTAAATGCATGTTTATAAAGTAGGACTATAATTTTTTAATAGCATCGTGTTTGACACAAGTATTCATCATACCATAGAGGAGGAAGGCCAGACCTCCGGTACCTCCCTAGACATATTGTTATTTCAAGTTTTTAGCTAAATATAGAGCTATTTAATGGGAGAATTTCCGTATTAGATATGTTCTTAATTACTTGAATTCTCTTGCATATCAAATTTATGTGATTTTTTTTTTTTTTACCACCTTCACAATCATCTAGATATTAGTGACTGAAAAAAAAGATGTACAACCCCCTGATTTGCATTTGTTGAATTTCTACTCACCGCATTACTAAATCATCTATATGGCCATCCCTCGAGGGTGTCAGCAAAGGTTGCCCTAAATATGTCATCATTTGTGCAGGCATGAAATGCTTTATTTATTTATGGTTATCTTGAGACTGAGATAATCTAAAAAACTGAGTAACCTTGCCCCTCCAATTTAAAAAATCACGAAACCTCAACTGCGTTTGAAATAATGAAAAATTGTTAAGATCTTGATTTTATATATATATGTTGATCATTCAGAATTATGGTCACTGTTAGACCTTTTTTATACAAATGGATTTCGTGGATATTACTGAATAATATTCAGGCATTGACTATTGAATTATTGATTAAAACAATAATAATTTTAAGGAAAGAGCTGGTCTGGGGTGATGGTCGTAAAATAGTCAAAAACTATTTTATTTTAAACCCACGGCCAATGTCACCCTGGACCATCTCTTTCCTGGATATTATACTATGGTCAAACATTCAGTATTCAATAAAATAATAATTTTACAAAAACTTATGATATTAAAATATTTCCATTTTAACTATTGTTGTTAATAATTATTTTTATTGACAATTTACTGTATTGTCCAAAATATTTTATCTAAGCTATTTATTAAAATTAATTTGATCTTTAGGTTGCAGGTAGTTTTCACATAGCTCCTGGTCAGAGTTTTTCGATCAATTATGTCCATGGTGAGTATAAATTTATTATAAAATATAAAAGCAAATATGTCTGTTTATTTAGGAAATCTTTGCATCTCTGAATGAATTTATCTATATTTTCATTAAATCAAATCTGATTGTAAGCTACTATTGCCTTTTCTTGGAGATGTCAATGAAAAAGAAGTCATACAATTTTTTTCTGATCTGTAGGTTTAAATCTGTAAAACAATATGGTATGTATGTGGAACGCACTACTATATTAGCATTACTTTTTTTCAAAACTTTTATAAACCAAATTTGTTAAAAATTGGCAAAATAATTGTTTTTTTCTTTTCTCTTATCTCGAAGTGGACCTAGTTACAATAGAAGCTAAATGAGAAAAAAAGTAAAATAAAAGTCTCATGAATTTAATTCTGATTTTTATTTTAACTTATCTATATCTGTAATATATGCCTTGGAAGTTACAGCAACTTTTTTTATCAAAAATCGGCCAACCGGAAGCAGCATTTTATGTAATGATAAAACACATTTTTACAATTTTATCGAAAACGGCTCCAACAATTTTTGTTACACTCAGTATATCAGTATATTATTAAGTTGTTTTTAATATCAGCTAGGTCTTATCCACATAGATGTCACTTTACAGGACTTAAATGCCCAATGTTCATATACGGCTTCCCCTAAAGTACCTTTAATTTTGTTTATATTAAGAAATTAACTTTCTCTCTCTTATTGACAGTAACTATAAAAAATGGCTGAATATAAAGGATGAAAGAATTTGATAACTGGAAACGAGAAAAAAGGGAAAATTTTCATTTAGGTCGAAAATGAATCTCTGCAAATACTAGTCAGAAGGTATACGTATAATATATCATTGGAAAGCGGTGAATTTTAGAAAAAAAAACAACATCTAAAACATAAAGTCGTAGAAGGTAATGGAGAGTGACGAAAAAATTATAAATAATAATTTGTGAAAACTAATATTAATTAACGGAAATCATATATTTCCAAGGAAATCTAATGAAATGTATATACTAAATATAAAATTTTAATTTTTTTTTTTTAGTTTGAAAAAAAATATTTAAAATCCACTGAATGAAGCCAATGAGGTTGTTTTAAAAACTATTTTATTGTACTTGTGTGAAAAAAGAAGTGAAATATTAAAATATTTCATGGATGTGTATAACATATGCTTGATTATAAATAATTATTTACATTTACTGTAGTTTCATAAATCTAGATCTGCTGTTATATTTAAATAATTAGGTATACATCCTTGATTTATTGTTAATCTACTATTTAAAAAATTTCCCTTCGTGAAATCACAATGACTTTTGACCTAGCGATGCTATATTTAAAAGCAAATCACTGTATTTTGGTATGTTTTCCAAGGGTAAAAATTAAGAATTTAAAAAAGCGATAGAGATTTAGTAACTTTCATATCTCTCTTTAGTCTATAGAGCTCAGAGACGGGTGTTAAGTGATTCAAATATAATGATGCAATACATCTAAGATTTTTATAGGCTACAACCGATATTATAAATAGGGTTTATGTTATGGTGACAGTCTTAATGAGGTTTTGTATAGATAAATATGACCGAAATTCAAAAATGTATTATTTAAAGTTTAGCTGCATTAAAAATGTGCTTCAAAAATTTCTTGTAATAACCCAATTTTGCCAGACAAGAATTGCTTTTCAAAGTAGAGTGGTAAGCGAAAGTCGTGTGATGCACGCACCAGATTTTTATAATATTGTGAAAGGAAATGAATTCAAAATATTACATGGCTTTAGAATAATTTTTTATTTCTAATTATTGAAGTGTGAACTGAATTATAAGATTAATATTTTTATTATAATAAAGTACTGGAAGCGTATAATTGGAAGAGGATGGAAATAATCTGGAGGTAGTATAAAACGAAGATAATAAAGATTAAATAAAGGTTAAGTAATAATGGAGAATATTTGAAATTAATATGTATTTTTATATATAAAATATATATTAATTTCAAATATTCTCAATTATTGCTTAACTTTTATTTAATCTTTATTATCTCCGTTTTATAATATCTCCAGATTATTTCCATCCTCTTTCAATTAAACTATCATTTAATGATTCATAATTTTTATTATAATAGTTATTATTTACAGAATATAGTAAAATATTTGGGAATGCAATCACCAGTTATTGGGATGGCGGTTGGCTAGGATTCAAGTATTTAAATATCACTGAGGTCGATTACATTAAACATACTCAATGATAACAAAATTTTAAGTCATGTTATACTCTGAAAAGCCTTTGGTTTAATTTATATGATTCTCTTTTATCAAAATATACATTCTACATTTGAGAAATATTTCCTTTTGTGTTGTACTGATCAATTTTGATATTTTTTTAACATAATTATAAAATACTTTATGTTTATGATTCGTTTGTTTTCATTAAATATGACCACTTTTCTGTTGTAAATTTAAAACTATAATTAGTACTTATAATTCTGAGATAATACATATAATATTCAATATACCTTCTGTAATACACAAAGCAGAATTGCTCATGGTTTTATCTTGGCTTAGCTTACAAACTGTTGTAATCAAGATTTACTAGTATACTACTAAAGTTATAAAAATAAGAGTTTGCGAAGAATTCCTTAAAACATATTTGCTGTTATCTGTTTTTTATTTTAAAATAATTTAATTAACTATTGTTTTAACAGTACATGATGTCCAGCCATTTTCATCTGGTCAGTTTAATACTAGTCACATTATTCGACATCTGTCCTTCTCAAGAACAAAAGTTATTGGGCATTTAAACAACCCATTGGATGGTTCAGAATCATATGCAACTGAAGGTAATCTATTCAATGCATTTAATTTAAGAAATATACAAAACATTATTTACATATTGATAAACATAACAGTAAAGTACATACATCATTATCCACGAATATCTGCAATTGAATATATGCCTTTGGTCATGACTTAAAAGAAGTTTTATTTCATTTATGACTAATTCGGCATACAATTTTTACATTTCAACTATAACCAATAAAACCTATTTCCATAGTGCTGTTCTTTGATAAGGTTTTTAGCAACGGATTCCTGTACCGATTGCCATGAAAGTTCCAAACGTTCCTCCACCTTGAATCATTGTTTTACCAACGTTGTTAACCAAATCCCTTCCCCTGAGGCCGATCCTTTAAAGAAAAATTAATATTAAAAAAAATATGTTTAAATTGCATCACTTAATTTTTATATATATTTTAAGCATAAATATGTACCTGAGCGCTCCAAAGCCACCGAACAATGCACCTGAAGCCAATCCCACACAGAACCCTATCATAAAACCTATTCTCATTCTTTCCCAACAAGTTGGTCCAGTTGTTTGATATCCTCCTGCTGGAAGTGGCATTGTCAATGTGCCTGGAAATTGGGGTAAAATTTAGAAAAATTAATAGAATTTACAACAATGATAAGGAGGTTTCTTGAATTGAAATGTTTGTCACATTACGTTTAATTTATCAAGAACAGCACTAATGCTACTTTAGCGGAACCTACTACAGTGGTTATATACCATGATGGTTAGGAAAATCATGTGTTTTCAATGCCAGAATGATATGTAAATACTAGAGGCAGGTGAGTTATTTATATTAAATATGATTTTTTTATTCCATTTTTAATAATTCTTTTTTCATTTTTTGTTGTTTTAATTTTTGTCATTATGGTTTCTTCTTTAAGTCTTATCTGTCTGTTTTGTTTCTGTACCGATCCGTTTTCACTTCCGTAGGTTCATAAGCTTCGTTCACTCTGGTTTGGTTCTCCAGAGAATGATTTTATTTTATTATTGAATATTAAAATTATTTAATTTTAATTTATTCTTGTTAATCCCGTGCCAGATTAAATTAAAATAGGTAATAACTAGAGATATGTTATTGCACATTTTATTCACTTACGTGTAAAAACCCCGGACCCGAATATTTGTCCGTTTCAGGATCTGTTGAATAACATATTTGAATTTTATATTGCACGTTTTGCTATCTTTGGCTTAACTTACACGATTTTAATTTATTTTTTTTGCATTAAATTAAAGGGAAGAATTTTTTTAAACTTTTTACTTTTACTCACGTATATATGTAATATATAAGTAAGGGTAAGTATTGCGATCGTGAAAATTTTCGAATCTCAGTTTTTAACGAAAATACATGTTTTGAGTCCAAATAACTAAGTGTCGCAAAATGGTCTGTGTGTGTGTTAACAGTCTAGCTCATAAACTAAAAGTCGTACGAAACTGATATTAAGTATATAGCACGGCGGATCTACGGGGGGGGGGGGGGGGGGGAGAGGGAGGCTTTCGGGCTGAAGCCCCTCCCCCCCAAAATGGAAAAATATAACCATGTTTTATGGGAAAAAAAATTTTAAAAATACCTCTTAAAGTATTATTGTTCGTGTTATTACGTTTAAAAATACTTAAGGAATAACTTAAACACCATTTCATATAGGTAGTTAGTTTCTTTCTGTTTTTCCAAAGTATTATCGTTATTTTTATGAAAAAAAAAAGGTTTCGGGCTGAAGCCCCCCCCCCCAAAATGAAATCCTGGATCCGCTAGTGGTATATAGGGGTTTTCTATAAGTCGGATGTGACAGTAACGTTTTCGTTAAAATCGGTTAACCGGATTTTTCTCAAAAACGGCTCTAACGATTTTGATTAAACTCGGTGTATCATTGTATAATTAAGTGGTCTTTAATATCGTTTAGGTGTTATCCCCGTTGATGTCACTCTACAGGGCTTAAATGCCCAATGTTCATATATGTCTTCTTCTAAAGTAATTTAATATGTTTTATTTTAAAAAGTTAATCATTTTTCATTATTCAGAGTTACGAAAAAAATGCTACATATAGCTTTAGAAAGAATTTTATAAGTTAATAAAGGAGAAAAAAAAATAAAAATGCAGAAAAACCTACGTTGCTATAGACTGTAGCGCCTAACTAACTATGACTAACTCCAATTTCAACATTCTTTATTATTAATTTTAGTGATGTTTCTAGTGGCAAAACTTATACCTTTATTCACAGTTTTATATTTCAACACTGCAATCACCTGCTCTGTGAATGAACTTACTCACTGTTCGTATAGTTATAACTTTTCAAACTAGAAATATCACTAAAATGACATTACTCAAAAATGTTGAAATTGTAATAAGTTATTCTGTCAGCTGAAAGGCTCAGAGATTGAAGTTATATAGCTCATAAAAATAGATTTTTATTGCCTACCTTCGATATATTAAATAGACATTTTGTAATTATAATGGTCTTAATGACTTTTTATCTGTAAGCTTTAAGCTTTAACTCCGTTTAAAATGTACTTCAAAAATTTTTATAATAGTTCAACATTGCCAGAAAATAATTTCTTTACAAAGTAGAGCGGTAAGTGAAACGCACCAGATTTTTTTTTTCAAGACGCAGCGAAGTAGAGTAATGATAAATTCGGCCAATTAAAAGCCACTTTGATTTTATTTTTTCTGAGGAATCATCCTAAAAGAGAATACCTCGCTTCTCCTTAATGACACTTTTTTAGGAGCCCATGTGGAGCAGTGACCTCTTTGTACCCGTTCCAATTCTGACTATTTAGCTTTGAGGTCCCCTGAGTCGAAATAACCAAGTCCCACAAAATCGTCTCTGTGAGTGTGTGTTTTAACAGTCGAGCTCAAAAACTAAAAGTCTTACGAAAGTGAAATTGTATATTTAAGGTTTTTATATGCGTGGGATGTTACGGAAACTTTTTCGTCAAAATCGGATAACCGGAAGTGGCACTTCATACCTTGGACTTAACATATTTTTACGATTTTCTCTAAAACAGCTCTAACGATTTTGATTAAATTCATTATATCAGTGTAAAATTAAGTTAAATGGCTAATTTTCAATATTAGCTTCCTCTAAAGTACCTTTATTTTTTTTTATTTGAAACAATTGACCATTTCACATTAATCTATAATACAAAATATAGTTATATATGAAATATGAAACAATTTGGTAATTAACTAAAGGAGATATTAGAGATCGTAACGGAGATTAGTTGTAATTCAGGAACCTCAGGAATAAGATACACACGTGCTGGCTGGAAAGATTAGAACTCGCTTCCATGCATGACATGAGCTTAATATAATACCAACTGCAACAATATTATGTAAATATACACATGCTGTTTTCATAAAAAAAAATATTTAAAACTATCTCTTAAACTATTATTGTTCGTGTAATTACATTTAATAGGACTTCAAGAATCACTAAGAGAACATGTCATATGGTTAGTTAGTTTCTTTCTTTTTTTTTTTCAAATTAATTACCGTTAAATATATGAAAAAAAAATCCTTTGGGCTGAAGCACCCCCCAACATTAAATCCTAGATCCGCTAGTGAATGCTATTGTTGGTATTATTTAATATTTAAATAATGATACTTATACAAATAAAAATACCCACAATGAAATATAAATAAATATAGCGTTTATAATTTTTACTTCCACTTTCTTTTTTTCTGAAAATACTTGATTCTGTTAAGAAGAGGGTGGTAAGTTAAATTTGTGTGATGTGCTCACCGCACCAGATTTTTATTTTTATTTTTAAAATTTAATATGAAAATTAAGAATTGACATATTGTAATGTGAATAATTGTTTTCAGGTGGAACAATGTTTCATTATTATTTAAAAATTGTTCCAACACTTTATGTATTAAAGCATGGAGAAACATTGGAAACGAATCAGTTTTCAGTAACGAAATATGAAAAGGTAAATAGAAGTTAATTATATTTAATTTTAATGAAAAAAATATGTTTTTTTAATTTAATAAATTAATTACTATTTTTTTTTATTAAACATAATTCATTGTATCATACATTTCAGGTGATGACACCTATGAGCGCAGAATCAGGAATGCCTGGTATATTTTTCAGCTATGAATTGTCAGCATTGATGGTCAAAGTTACCGATAAAGATGTGTAAGTAATTTTATATATGTGCGTGTTTAAATTATGAATACATTTTCTGAGAGCATATTATTGCAAAAAGAAACTCGCAAAGTATACTTTTGATGGATCATAACTTTTCAAGTACATAGTTTTTAATTTCTATCATATTTATTCATACAAAAAAGAGGTTGTTAAATTTTTGAATTTTTCGGTCGATCACAATGGTTGATTATTGAAAATAATAAACCAAAAATATGTAAAAGCCGCGATATCTCTACTAGTAGTGCTTTGATTTTGATGAAACTTCCTTTATTTTTTAGAAAATACCTTTGAAACATCTTATCACAATATCAAAGAAAAAGTATAAACTTTTCAAGTTATTTGAAATTTAATTTTACCATCCCTCGTAACTTTTTTTCCAGCTTCTTTTCGTTGAAGTATGTTATCTAGATAAATTTAAAGGGAGTCGAGAAAATGACTTTAGTGAAGTTTCATTGAAATCTGTACATTCGTTTAGGAGCTACTGTCTATAGCAACGCAGGTTTTTCGGCCGCCATTTTGAAAGTAAAAGGCGAATAGTAATGTCGATGAAGGAGGATCATCCTCGGGTGACCTCTGATTTTATATCAAAATTTGAAAAAAATCGGTCCAGTAGTTTCGGAGAAAATGCGCAGACGGCAGATGGCGGACGGACAAAAAGAATTGTATTCGTTTTTCGAATTCTACGCATCCTGAAACGTGAAACCTCAAATTTTGAGGGGGGTTAAGTTTTTGAATTTTTTGGCCGATCACAATGGTTGATTATTGAAAATCATAAACCAAAAAAGTGCCTCAAAATAACTACACTGTATGGTATGCAGGTATAATTTCTTTCAATATTGGACTTATATGTATAACAAAATTGTACCAACTGGCACAGCAATGTATGAGTAAATATTTTTTTAAGGTGAAACAAGGTTGTTATTCATTTTCTGCACCTCGAGTAAAACTTAAATACTAATTTTTATTGCAATCAAATAACAAAAGTTTTTGCCTAAGTTGGTTGATGGGCCTTCCAATTTTTTAGAATTGGTGGCCTCTCCTTGTAAATGCAAAATGTTTTAATTTCAGAGAAGAAAAAAATCATCTAATTACTTAGTTAATTTACCATGTTAATGACTTTATGCAAATAAACTAATTTATGTATTGTAATGATTTTCATTATATTTAATGACACTTATTAATTTTAAAGTAACAACAATAATTTACTGAGTTTATTGAATTGTAATGTTTATAAAATTAAGGGTGATAAATATTCAGGACGCAGTCTTACAAATTTTTTTTTTAAATTGTGCCGACGATTCAACCCAAACATATGTGGGTCATCATCAGGACGTGGTTTGAGCACTGAAGGCTTTCCTCCTTAAGTACTCCTTGAGTACCTGAAAGCCCATGTTTGTAGAACAGTCGACTAGCAATTTATAAAATCTCCTTCAATAATTTATAAAATGATAACCCACATGTTTGGATTGAAACGTCAGCACAAATAAAAAATTTTTTATAAGACTGTCCTGAATATTTATCACCCATGATATGTAGAACAGTCGACTAGCAATTAATAAAATCTCCTCCAATAATTTATAAAATTAAATTTTATTGTACAATATGGTTTTGGATATAAAAATAAAAGGTATTAAAAAAAAAGTGTAGATGATACTGAATGAATCATGTTCATTCTCAAGCAAATCCAGAAATGTGAATGAAACGTGCGATTGGGTCAAATTTTCATTTGAATTATCATTTCTCTATATTTTGTAAACTGACTTTGTCCCTGTCATGATTTGATCATTAATAATAAACTTATGGGTGTTACTATATAAAATTTGATTGCTTTTACCTGAGTAATACCTGATTTTAAAAGTAAGTAAAAAGTTAGAAATTGTCTTAGGAATGCAAAAAAAAAAAAAAAAATAATTTCATCTACTGAATATTTTTAATTTTTCTCTGACAGGCTTTTGCAGTGTTTGGCGATATATATATATATATATATATCTACCCTTTAAATTGTTTAATTTTATTTTATTTATCATTTGTTTTTATCAATGTGTTTCAGGCCTATTTCACATTTGGTAACAGACTTATGCAGTATCGTTGGTGGAGTCTGGATCGTTGCAATGTTCATCGATTCGATATGTTATAGATCTGCAAAACTTTTAGAAAAAATTGATCTAGGAAAAGCTAGCTGATTCCGTCACACATTTAAGAGACTGATTTATATGTATACATCACACTGTGTTAATTTTTAAGGTAGACAAATTTTCATATGTGTTATATAATAATGATGAAGTAAAAAAAAACAAGATCTAACAAAGAAAGATGTATTGTTTGCCAATAACTTATATGGGTATAAATTAACTATTTAATGATACATTTCTATGCTGAATTTAACTAGAGGGAATTATTCTTTTTCAAATCTAATCTGCCTTCAAATTTCTTAATATTTTATGGAATAACCCTTAGTGGGTTATTCTATAAAAAACCAAGAAATTATAATAAATAGTAAAATCTGAATATTACTAAGTAAAATTTTGTTCTATTTATTTTTTTATTTATCCTTTACTTATTAATTATAAGTTTTTTTATGAAGTCATTGATATTTTTTACCAGATTAAAATTAGGTAGGTTATAATTGAAGACCGGGTTTTCATACAGTTGATAATTTTAAATATGTAAAATCATGAAGTAAAAAAACAAATTGTATAAAATTGGGTTTATTAATATATAAATTGTAAGCTTATCTAATCTGGTGCTAGAATTACAGGCTTTGAATTAAAATTATGTTTATGTGACATATATTTCTGTTAAAAAAAAAAAAACCTAATTGCAATTTAAAAATGACTTACGTTTAAACTAAATTTAGGTCGGAAAGCTATTTATCATTAGATACTTCATTAAGGTTAGGAAGTGATACTGGAGGCTGAATATTTTTTGATATAAAATAACCTTAACAAAGTTAAGAATAGAAAATAGTGGAAGTTAAGATATATAAGGCAGTGGAAATGTTTATTTCATAAGTTCCTTATTTTGTTACCATTATCTTATATATTCCAACTTCTGCTACTTTCTATTCCCAAATTTGTTTGGGTTATTATATATTTTATTTATTTATTTATCATATATTTGCCTTTTCACATATTTATTAATGTTATGTTTATTTTACCTACATGTTATTAGACTATACCTTTCACCTACATATTATTACTTTTACCGTCTACTAGTTTTTCGTTTTTCGTGTCTTTTATTGTATGTTATCTCGTTTTTTCTTAGTCCTGATGAAGGCCCGAACTTTGGGCTGAAATGTTCGCAAAAATAAAATAAAATATAATTTTTACTTTTTGACTGAACACTCCAACAAATTTCTCTTCAATATATACACTATATGTAGTCAATATTAATCCACTATTACCTTATTAATTATTTATATGTAGTAAATTTGGTTTAGATATTTAATTAAAATTGAAATTTATTTCTAAAAGTGCAAAATATGCAAAAATCAATATCTTGTTAGTAAAAAAAAAAAAAAAAATACAAATAAAATAAATAACCAATAACAAATGTGTTATTTGAAAATTGAATTAATTGTTCAATAATATAGAAATTGGGTGTCCATTAATAATTATAGATATAATGGATTAATTCAAAACTTGTTTTTTTTTTTTTTTTTTTTTGTTTTTTCTTTCTTACTTTTATTTAACACAAATAAATTCTAAAAAAAAATGAATTCTTATTTTTTAGGTTTTATTAGTTCCTGCGATCTCCTGTTGTAACTGATATGATATGGTTTATAGCTGTTTCAAAAGTTTGTTTTCGGTGATAGGTATAAAATATGGTATTTTTTTATATAATTGCACAGAAATAGTTATAATGAAATATTTATTTAAAAGTTTTTTTTTCATAAGCAAAAAATATTTATAATCATCTTTATGCAATTAATATTTTTCTATGTGGTACTGTTATGATTCACATTAATGATTGCACAAATATTATTTTATTATTTTTTTTTTTTTGTATTTATCTTTAACTTGAAAACTTGCATTATTTTTACAATAAGGAGCCAGGGTTACTATGACAGTTCTATTTAGTTTACAGATCTGTAATATATTGTTATAAAAATTGTTTTTGAGGTAATATCGAGCTATATTTCAATTGACCTGAAGAAAACGGCAATAATTAATTCATTGAAGTGTCTATCATGAAAAAGGACTAAAATTGTGCCAATAAAATCTTCACATTAATGTACTATTTCGCTGGTACTGCCCACAGAAGCGACTGCCATTCCATACTGCCTTCTTTTAATGCTTGTCTGTTTCGATGAAACTGCTCACCATTGCTGTCAAATCCTCTCTGTTTAGCATCCTAGTTTGAAATAATTTAAACTAAATTGTTAGCCATTAATTTAATGGTCATTTGTATCGGAAGGACTGCAATACATATGATGGTGGAGTTTCAATGTTATTTAATTAATATTCTCCATTTTTTCTGATAGTTAAAGTTGAATAATAAAGTTTAATTATGTATACTATAAAATGTTAACAATTATCTACATATTAATGCCCATCTTCTACAGAATGGTGGTTTCTTATAATATTTTTAATGAAAAGAAGATGACAAAATATTTTAATAATATTGAGGATGTCTCACTGATTTTAAATTCATTACTTATTATTAGTATGATCATTTCAGTAATAAATATCATATATTTGTAATGAAATAACAGTAATGTTTTACCATTGTATCAACAGTTAATCAATAAATCAGCACTTTAATTAAAAAAAGACAAAATATTTAGATTTTAAATTTTTTTTCTTTCTTCTTCTTATCTCTCACTATCTCCTGTGTGCTGCTAAGCGTGAATTAGCTGCCTCTGCCTCTTGTCCAACGGTCCCTGTCCTGCGTAAGCCTTCTCATCTCCGGCATGGTGCTTCCTCTCGCTGCGCCAATTCTCTCTATCAAGTCTGCATACATAAACCTTGGTCTGCCTTGAGGTCGCCTTCCTCCCAGTCTTGCTTCTAGAAGCCACCTGGCCTTACGGTCATCTCCCATTCTATTGACATGACCACATACCACTTCAACTGCCTTTCTTCAATCGTCTCTAGGACGGATCTAACTCCTAGTTCATCTCGCACCCTTTCATTCCTTATTCGATCACTCCTGGTTTTCCCCAATATTTTCTGTAGAAATCTCATTTCTGCAGAGACAATCTTGCTGGCATGGCGGTCCAAGAGTGTCCAGCTCTCCGATCCGTATAGCAGCACTGGGAGAAAGACTGATTTGAATAGCAGAATATTCACTTTTCTGCTCAACTCCTGCTTTCCAATGGGTGTCATGGATATTTGGTAGTATATTCCAAAACGATTTTTCAATGTCTGGATTTGAGTATTTTCCTCAGGTTAATTTTTTTTTAATCATTTAATTTATTTAATGTCATTTGGATTTAGGTATATTTAAATACCTCCTTAAAATACATTTTGTGTAATAAATAATCTTGTATCTTCAACCTTTATAAAAAGATTTATAGGTTTTTCGAATTTTATACAATTTTTCCTGAATAGAAAAAATAAGAAAATGAAACGTATGAAGGTGATTTTTATCATCAAAACAATTCTCCGATATGATATCAGAACCTGGAACCGCTGTACTACCAACAACTTCACGAGCAGTGCTTAACTGCTACTAGTCTGTTGCCTTGTACCAGCGAAATAGTACTTTTACCTCTACCTGTTATCAGTTGCTTGAAAATAACTTAAATTTCTCATTTGTTTTACATTATTATTGATGTCTCTTCAATGCAAATCTTGCCCTTCACTAATGATTTTTTTTTAATTGTACAAAAGTATAACTTGAATATTTGTATTTAAATTAATTCAAATACTTACTTTTCCATCAAAATGTCAAACTGATAGAAATAAACTATTATTTTCAAATATTAAACAATGGCTGATAATATGGTAAAAAAAAAATACTAGAAACTTGAAATATCTAAAATATAATATTATTACTAAACAGAATGATACAATACCATATTTTGTTTTATTATTTGAGAATTGTTACGTTAAAAAAAAAAATCATTTGATTTCTTTATGATTGATTCTTAGAATGAAAGGTAATGGTAAGTGTTTTTGTACGAAAACATTTGACTTTAATTATTGTGTTTTTTTCAGTACTTGTTCACATTATGAAGTTTAAAGTTAATGATTGTATACAAAAACTTTACAGTTTTGTGAATCTGATAGAATAGAATAGAATCTGATGCAATTTAAAGTGATCAAAATTAAATTATTTTAGTTTTCATAATTATAACACTAATTAAAAAATAAATTAATTATTACATTTCTTAATTTAAAAAAAAATCATAGAATTATTTATAAGATTCAATTTCATGTATAATTATTATTTAATGACTTTATAAAATAAAATTTATTTAAATCTTCTTTTTTGATTATATAGAACTATATTATATTTTTATCTTTATCATCTCGTCTTCCATAAGAGTTATTTAAGAAACTCTTAATAAGAAGTAAGAGATTGGTATGCATTTATATTTTTTAAAAAATTTGTAAAAGTATAAAGTACTTTGGCCATAAGTACTTTGGCTCAAAAAAACATCACAACAATAGACATCACATAGATATGTTAGCAGTTAATAAAATGGAAACTTTTGTTGATTGTTTTATTTAATATATTTTTTTTATGAACCCACTCTTCCATAATCACAATACCATACAATAAATTAAAGATCAATCTGATTTAGTTGGCACTGAACTACAATATATTTCAACTTCATATACAATTTATTTCATTTAGTTTATTATTTTATGGGCGTCAAATTGAAGAAAATTGTATAAATGTGTTCAATACATCTTAGAAATTTTATAATTGTATGCATCTTACATTTATTTAACAATAATTTCTTGAATACCTTGAAAATATAAATGTACAACACTTGTTTTGATTTTATTTAATATTTATTTTATGAAATTAATGGATTAGTTATTTTTATAAGTTATTTATTGAACAATAATAAACACTAGCTACATTAGCTAATTGATAAAAACTTGATGTCTTAGGACTCAAGATTTCTCTAAAGAGGGTGTAAATTTATATATCTGTGGTCTGTTGCAATTACTAGTTAGTCAAAAAATGGTCCTCACGTGTTCTGTAAATCGAGATCATCTTTCAAGCATTCTAAACACCGTGAAGAAGTTAATAAATTCACAGTTCTTGTCTAGACCTCTAAAATTTCTAGTTCGGTGAGTTACCAACTTCTTCACGGTGTTTAGAACACTTGAAAGATAATCTCAATTTACAGAACCCGAAGATCATTTTTCAACTTCACTAATTATGGTCAGGGACCATAAATATACTAATAAATGTTCACATTCCTGCCTACGAATATAGAGATGAGTAAGTTTGTTTGCTGTTGCTTCTCAGAGATCGATTGTACTTTTTAATTTGTTTTTAAAAATATTTTTGTATTAATCATTTCTGGCTTCCAAATACCATCCTTGTAAAAATCCCTCACCCAACTTATACAGTGAACTCGCTAATCTGAACTCATTAAAACCAAAGGGGTTTAGATTAACAAACAATTCAGATTACCGAACGTAATTTTCTTCTTAAAACTCGTAGTCAATTTTTTTTCAATAGTGTAAACTACTGTTGTATTAACAATACAATTTTGCACTGGAGCTTAATTAAATGTAAATGTTATTTCTTTCCCCCGATAAAGAAATTGAGAAATTAAATACGCTTCCAAATTTTGATATGTACATAGCTTGGTTGTTATTTTTAACTATATTATTTAAGGGTCAGCACTTATGGTGTTGATAATTCAGTTTTATTAAAAGTTTGTATATGTGAACTACATGCAGAAAATCTATCATTCTTTACTTTCACTTTCCTATATATGAAATAGGAAAGTAAGGGTAAGTATTGCGATCATGAAAATTTTTGAATCTCAGTTTTCAACTGAAATACACGTTTTGAGGTCTCCTGAGTCCAAATAACCAAGTTCTGCAAAATGGTCTGTGTGTTAACAGTCTAGCTCAAAAACGAAAAGTCGTATGAAAATGAAATTTCATATTTAAGGTTTTTATATGCTAGGGATGTTACCGTAACTTTTTCCTCAGAATTGACTAACTGAAAGTGGCATTTTATATAATGGACTAAACACATTTTTACAATATTCTCGGAAATGACTCTAATGATTTTGATTAAATTCATTATTTCAGTGTAAAATTAAGCAGTTTTAAATAAAATGTAATTTTTATTCTGATTGATGTTCCCTAAGAGGGCTTGAATGGCTAATTTTCAATATTAGCTTCCTCTAAAGTTCCTTTAATTTTTTTTATTTGAAACAATTGACTATTTCACATTAATTTCTAATATAGAAGATAGTTAAATATAAAATATGAAAGAATTTGATAATTAACTAGAGGAAAATTAAAAAATCGTTACGGAGAATAGTTGTAATTGATCACACCCGAGCTCGCCCAAAAGATTATTAAGGCTTCCATACGTAACATGAGCTTAATATAATACGGATTCCGACAATATTATATAAATGCTATTGTTGGTATTATATAATATTTAATTGTATAAATTACACTGATATAAATATTAAAATTTGTATATGTAAGGATACTTTTAAAAATAAAAATACCTATAATGAAATATAAATAATTATAGCGTCTATAATTTTCACTTTCTCTTCTGCTTTATCTGAAAATACTTATTTCTGCTAAGAAGAGGGTGGTAAGTGCAAGTTGTGTGATGCGCGCGCCGCACCAGATTTTTTTTTTAATGGGTTTAAAAAATTATGAAATGGTCCAGATTAACTATAGTCAACTGTATCTTTTCCAGATCACATTCTTGCCCCACCATTTGTCAATAACAAAAAAACCTTTCACTTACGTTAGAAGACAGGTTTCTTTTTTATCAATCTCTATGCAAATTATTTTTCATTTTAAAAAAACTAAAGGAGCACTTCCCTTTTTCAAGTGTTTAGAATCTGATGCATTATTTTTCTTCCGCCATTGGTAAAAAATAAAAGAAGTAAAATCCATCTCTGAAATTTTGCTTCTGTTATCTTTCTTTCCTCACCATATAAGTGATCGTCAGATTTGGTTTAAATTTTAATTTATTATTATATGTTTTTAAATTTTAATGACATGTAAAATGAATCGCATTAATATAAGTAATTTAATGTTACTGTGTATAAGAGTGATTTTATAATTCCAATTTCTCCATTGTATAAATTGTTTTAACCGCAAAAATTAATATTATTGTTCATTGTATATTTATTCGACTGTTATTTATATACAGTTTTCAATTTTTATTTTTTTTTATACTTTTTAAAACTCTGGAATGAGAACTATAACTCATCCCAGAATATGACAGCAGGAACTGAGACAAGTTCATCTCAGGAGAAGAAATTTTTCCTCTTCTACAAATTAAAGTGATCTGAAAAATTGAACTATAAATGAAATGTGATATTGTCCTTGGTCTGACATATTCTTAATGACGAGACTTTATTTAACGCTTTAATGACCAAAGCCAGGGTATACACCCGCTCACTGATTCACCTACATCCAATATACCTGCAAAAGTAATTTTCGCTGGATATAAATTTAAAGTAGTAGTGGTTATATACAGTGTCTAAGTATAAGTATATTTTTTTGCAATAATGCGGCTCTTTTTTGTTTAAATTTTCATAAATAATCTAAATATGATTATATACATGTAAGAAATAACTACCAAGGGTAAAAATAAGGAAATACAAATTAAATTAATATCCTTATGGACAATAGTCGGTGTATATACCCACTCCTTATTTTCTAAAAAGTATATTACAATTTTTGAGAGAAAAAAAAATTGATCCACGGAGAAAGATTCACTCGAATGGCTTGATCATTAATGTGTTAAAGTCTAAATAATCTATTATATGATCAATAAATGTGTGACTTAGTAGTTATTTTGTTTATAATTCTTTACCTTTTTCCTAATTTGATATATAATTAATTAATAATTATTATTGGTTGATACAAATTATAGAAGATTTTGTAAAATATATGATTGTAAATGGCATCAAGTTATTTATGTATCAAGCATGTATATCTTGTCAGATGTTGACTTTAATTTATTAATCAATTTTGCTCTGATCGTATGTTATCAGAATATAATAAAGAACAGTAACTGATTTATAAGTTTTGTTTATGATAAAATTTGTTTCCATAATGCTTAATCACCTAGGTGCTAATGGGTTTTCTTTTTGACAATTTTTGTTTTTCCTAAAGCCCTTGCTTCTGGAGTTTAAATATAGACCATTGTTATTATCTCTTTAATTTTTCTTTCTACCCCTACTATACTCTGAATGGGAACCAGGATACCACAAGTTAATGACTAATTAAGAATTAATGAAATAATAATTTTAATCTGGGATAAAAGTCTCCTAAGAATAATTGGAATATTGAAACTTTATATGTAATTGAGGGAGTATGATAGCTCAGTGGTAGTGCACTGAACTTCCAATGCTTGAGATCCCAGATTCGAATCCCGACTCATAGCTGGTAAATTATTTATTCTGTTTCATCGGCCACAGAGAGATGCTTGTGGGGCACACCCAGCCTCTATAAAGTAGGTATCCTTAATTAAAATGATTGATTGAGCGTGATCCTGGCCCAATCTTTTCCCTGCACAACTATTGGCCTTGAAACAGTATTTTCACTGAATAGTACTGACCCCAAGACCCTTCATGGGTTGTAGCAGTACAGAATTTCTTTCTTTATTTTTCTTTATTTTTTTTATACGTAATTGCCTAGCTTAATGTTTACAAAAGCTCACTTATCTAATAGAAATTCTTGAAATAGAAATAGAGCTTACATTGAAAATAAAAATCTATTAAGAATTTTAAAAGATTACAAAAATAAAGAATTTACTGAAAGAAGGAGTTTTATAATTTATAAATGAAGGAGATACAAATTGCCTGGTTAGATACAATGGATGAAATACAATTCAAATATTACTTGCTATGATCCAACTTACGAAATAAAATCAAGTTTTTTGGAAGGATATGACATCATTGCACAGAGTTCCAAATGTCTAAGGGCAACTGGTACTGATGTAGAGTGATGAGTTCTAAGATGTAGAGAGGTTTTTTGGTTGTAAGCCCTCGGGTCGCCTGGTTCAAGATGTGTGTGTTTCCTACATGGTGTCCATCTAATAGGCCCATAAAGTTATTTTTTCTTTTATCCCTATATTTAAATTTATCCGATTGTTCTTAGTTTTTCTCTAACTCTCTTCATCATTGTTCTCGACTGCATCGTGAGATGCTACGCTTGGGTTTCGAAGACATGGAATCCAGTGGAGTCTAAGAGAGAGGCTTGAAGATCTCGAATACACCAACAATCTGTTTTCTTGAATAGCGGCTCATTAATCTACAGGACAAATTAGATGCATTAAGCCGAATTGCCAACTGACTTGGGCTGCGAATCAACATTGATAAAACAAAGGAAGAGTGAGTAGAATAATTCATCTATTTGGGAACATGATCACTAAAGAAGGGGCCTTGTTGGAAAATGTTAAAAACCAAATCATAAAAGCTAATGGGGTGTTTGTTTAACTCTATCCAATATAGAAGAACAAGAAACTCCAATACGAAAAAAATGTTGTTTAACACCAATATAAAATCAGTCCTGCTCTAAAGCAGTGAAACATGTACGGTAACTGAAACCATTACTCCTTCAGACCTATATCAACTGTTGCTTACAAAGAATCCTGGGAATTTGGTGACATGAGAGGATCTCTAAACTAAGAGCTCTGGAGTAGGACTGACCAGCTTTCTATCCATCTCGAAATAAGGAAAAAGAAATGGAAATGGATTGGATAAGGAAAGCAGATAGTGGCATAGATAGAATATCTCTTCAATACAATCCTCCAAAAATATGAAAAAGAGGAAAACCAGGAGGAATCTGGTGAATATCTGTACAAAATGTCCTGAGCCCAGCTGGCAAGACATGCTCCACCAGGAGTCAACAGTGATAATAATAATAAATAAAAAAAATCTGGTGCGCGCAACACATAACTTTCACTTACAGCTCAATTCTGGATAGAAATTATTTTTTGGCTATGTTGGGCTATTATAAAATGTTTGAATTGCATTTTTAACCATAATAACTAACAAATCATAAATACCATTAAAATTACAAAAGGCCTATTTATTATATCACTGATTGACTTTGGATTGTACGACTATTAGTTATTAAACTGTTATTTTCGATTGTGAAGTTTACTAAAATGGAATTAAGAGATTTGCATTGTCTGTCATAAACATGTCAAATAAGTGCCACACTAATTTAAGTGGATACTGTTGGAATATCACAAAGGAAAAATTCATCAAATTATTCACTAATTTAATTTTTTAAAAGGTTACATGATGATTTTTTGGAATAAACTGACAATAGATACCTTTAAATATAATAACAGATCTAGTTATTAAACTACAGTAAATATATTTAAGGGTTTAAACATATTCATGAAATATTTTTATATTTCAGTTCTTCTTTCACACAAGTACAATGAAATAGTTTTTTAAACAATTTCATTGAAAACGTGTGATTATGTTAAATAATATAAGTTCAAAAATTATTATTTTTAATTTTTTCACCACTCTCCATTAACTTGTACAACTTTCTAGATTGTTTTTTCTAAAATTCTCCGATTTCCAATGATATATTATACGTATACCTTCTGACTAGTATTTCCGGAGTTTCATTTTCGACCTAGGTAAGCATTTTTTTGGAACTATTAATAATGAGAGATTGTTAATTATTTAAAATAAACCATATTAAAGGAGTTTATCGGGGGGGTGCGTTAAAATAGTATTTATTTTATTTTATTAATAGTATTTATTTAGGAGTTGATCGGCGGGTGCGGTAAAATAAATACTAAATTTTAAAAAATAGTATTATTTTTTAAAATTTAGTATTTATTTTACCGCACCCGCCGATCAACTCCTTCTCATATTATATCACGGTCAACCATCTCTACATCATATTAAAGGTACTTTAAAGGAAGAAGAACATAGGTCATTTAAGCCCTGTTAAGTGACATCAATGGGGACCTAAATGATATTAAATACCACTTAATTATACAATGATACACCAAGTTTAATCAAAATCATTAGAGCCGTTTTTCAAAAAATTGTAAAAATGTGTTTCACTATTGATATAAAGTGGCACTTCCGGCTAGCCGATTTTTACAAAAAAGTTGCTGTAACATCTCAAGTATATACAAACCTTAAATATGAAATTTCACTTTTGTACGACTTTTCGTTTTTGAGCTAGACTGTTTACATACATACATAAACACAGACCATTTTGGGGGACGAGGTTATTTGGACTCAGGCAACCTCAAAACATTTATTTCCGTTGAAAACTCAGAAAATTTTCATGATCGCAATACTGTCCCTTAATATATATTTTATATATAGGTAAGTGAGAGTAATAATTGTTGTTGGTGGATTAAAAAATATTAACATAAAGGTTTGTAGAGTAACTTTAAAATTATGTTAGATAAAACAACTATAAATTTATCAATGTTTATTAAAGAGCATATACATATTTACAACCATATGAGTACATAAATTTACAATATATACATTATACATTAACATAATGTCTTCAGAAATCTGTTATAAGTTTCAACAGATGTTTTAGCAACTTTGGTACAGAAATATTGATCTGTCCCAGCGACTACCGATAGTGGAGAGATATATCCAGGTTTGGTAGGATCAAAGATGTCTTTACCAATGCTTTTTAGGAACTCGTGCCTCTCTTTGAGCTTGCTTTGTCGGCAAAGAAGTGTACCTGGCTGTGAAATTAATTGACTATGAGGGATACCCATTGTGTTATGCAAATAGTCGAATCTTGCAACGAGATTACTTCTGTCTGTAAAGAAATATTATTTTTTAGCTGATTTTATATAAGTTAAATAAATTTGAATTTTTTATTTATATACCATAGCCAACTGTGTTTTTGTATTATTTTTTATTTGAAGATGAACTATTAAATTTTAACTCAATGTTAAAGTATTGATAGAAGAGGTTTATATAAAACAAAAATTAAAAGTTCTTACTTATGGTGTAAATTTTAGGTTTTTGTAATAAGAGTTCTTTTACTTCTCCAGATTCAAAACCCATTTCTTCTTTCACAGCGAAATAGTTTTCCTATTGAAATGTTATAATTAAAATTAAATATATATTTATGTTTCCACTATATTGTTCATTATCAATTCTTACAGAAAGCATTTTAACAAAAGTTAATAATCAATATTTTATAATTCAATAGAACCTTAATTATCCAAATCAATTGGAGCTAGAGAGACCTCGACCAATAGGGTATGCCATGAGAAAACCATTGAGGTTCAATTCCTGATTTCATTTATCTCTGTTTAAGCTGATTTGGAGCCACGGCTACTTTAAAGAAATATTTTAATTTGTTTTAAATAATAAAATAATGTTACATCAACTTCTCAAATGAATTATCAAATCTAAAATAAACTATTTCCCATATTTACTACCAATCTGCTAAACATCCTCTATTATGCTGTTGAATTGTTTAAAAATTTACCTCAATTATAATGGAACTAGGATAATCAAGGTTATACTATAATTGAAATGATAGAGATAAAACACCTAATATTGAAACATCTAGGATAAAAAAATAAAAAAACTGCTCTGAAATCAAATTTCTTAGACCTATTAACAGAAGTTGAGTAATTGGAATAATATCTCATCAACAAGGTTTTTAATTTAGATAAGAGAAAACTCATTAATAATATTCATTGCAAAAGTATTAACTGTTCAAATTTGAAAAATATACAATATTTTTTTAAATATTGATTGGCATTAAATATTTAAAATATTGAAAAGCAATTGCTCATTGCCAGCTAAAAATAAACAAAATCCTTTCATGAAATAAAAATCAGAATAAATAATGGAGAGAAAAGTTAGTCCACCAGTCATTTCTGGCATCAATGTTTTAGTCATAACGGAAATTTCCATAGACCAAGATGGGTGGTACTGTTACTCTCAAATTGCGTATTTATTAAATACTGGATTGATAATTTCCTCACTGATTTCAAGTTCCTTTTTGACTTTTACTGGCTTAAAAGGGATAAATAAACTGATAACAACTGCTTTTCAGTTAACATCAGGACCTTACTATACTTATTAATGAAGGGTTAGCTCATTTCCATTTAATTGCAAAATACCGTCAAAAGAATGATCATGAACTTGTGTACTAGTTCACAAGAGTTCCGCACGGATTACGCGTGGTTCACAATCACTTCGATCACACTTGTTCATGGAATCCCGAAAACAGCCTAATGTTGTCGTCTTTTATGACGTCAGCTATTGCCCCATCACACAATCCCTTTCATGCATTTTTGAAGAAAAAAAAACCAACGTATTTCCTTCATGGAACTTCCTTATTAACAATTTATTAACGAATTGTGTATTTACTAATTAGTCAATAATTAATTTTTATTATAACGGTTATCACTGTGAAAGAAAAAAAAAAATACATAAAATAATGTTTGAGTCGTTTCTTCAAGGCCTATTAAAAAAAAAGTTCTTTTAGAAATAACATTTTTATTGGCACATGCTTACATGTAGTGGCTGTAAATACGCATATACTGTATATTATCTTTTATAACTGTGTATAAAAGATTTTTTTATCATTTGGATAGTAAATAATTTGAAGTAATCTTTTTATTTGTTATTCGAGTTTTTCAATAGAAGTTGGAATAATTGCATTTATAATTTATTTTAGCAAGTCTTTTTTTAGTTTGTTAATTTAGTTTATGTAATTTTTTGGATTTCTAATAATACGAGCATCCACTATTTCCTAGTGGGGAAGGGCGCGGAGGGGGGGAGTCCACTATTAAGTTGTCTAGGATGCTTTTTATGAAAATAATGTCAGACTAAAGATTTATGAATATACTGATAATTCCAAGATAATGAATAATTAAAATCATCAATAAGAAAAATAATGTCGTGAAATAGCATTCAGAGAAGTAATAATTAAAGATTTTAATCTATTACTATTTCTTTTTTACAGATCTATAATATATGTATGTACAAGTTCAATTCAGGTTTCATGATGTGTAGCCTAAATTTCGAATGTAAATCTGCTCCTGCTATATAACTGAACACGGTTAAGGCTATAGAAGTACTTAAATGGCGGGAAAGTTAATATTAACTGGCCCAAGAGATCGGTCGCCTTTGTTCTCTTTCGGATAAACCCGAACGCATTCGGGATTCTAGGAACAAGTGTGACCGAAGTGATTGTGAACCATGTGTAATCCGTGCGGAACTCTTGTGAACTAGTGCCTGAACTTGTGCCCACTGATCAGAGAGAATTAACACTTGTGAAGTACTATTGAGTATTATGGTAAGCCATACTTGAGTTTACACAACCTATATTTCTGTTTTTAAAACTCAACCAGTACTTCATTGTTGAAGTACTTACTCAGTTTTCTTTGTGCAACAATGTAATTGCTATACATTTAAAAGAATTATGTAAAATTTTATCTAAGAATTTTCTTCATTACCTCAATGTGTCGTTGCTTGTAAGTAACAATTTTTGGCATCCTGACAGCAACATGTCTGACTTCTGGACCTATCAATTTAAATTTGGACTGAAAGTAGCCCAGTCTTTCATCAATACTTTGAGTCCTTAAAAAAAAAAAAAAATCATAATACACCATTAAAATTTAGGAGGGAGAACAAAATGGTTGTCAACATTAAGTATTAAAACTGAGATGGTTTCATGGATAAAAGAGTACCAGTGATATATTTTAATTTGAGCTGTTTTTTAAATACATCATTAATGATATAGTTATTAATGTATTGAAAGTAAAATCTACATATTAATCAAAAACTATAACATTAAAATGATTAATAGAAAAAAAAAATTATTTGCAACTATATATAATAAAATTGAAAACTTACTTAAACAAAAGCCATCGAGGATTTTTTGTCAAAATTCTTGTAATATTTTCTGGGGTAAATGCCATAGATTCAAGGTAATTTATACGAACTTGTAAATCATCTAAATCTTCTTTAAAAATAAAAGGATTCCTTGTTATAAATGATCCTAACTCATCAGCGGGAACTCCAACATCATGGAGAAACCTAACAATAATTTTGAAAAATGTCAATCTAATTAACAAAAATACAACCAGCCATAATAACTTAATGATTCAATGAGCTTCATTTAAATTTGAAACAAAAGTATTTCACGTCTTTACTGAGTATTTAACCATGATGGATTTATTAAACACTCACGTTAGATATTTCTTGACATCCCTGTCAAAATTCAATTTCAAAATTAGCTCTTGTGCTCCTCTTGTAAGTTCAATAATATGCAAGTTGACACCAAGTTTGACGAATTCCTGGAGAGTGGTGCTTTTGTTGACATATGCAGCAAAGTTTATAAGTGGTAGATAATTCTTTTTTGGCTTTATATATTTATTTAAAACATCTTCCCTCAGAGCTGGGACATAAGTATCACTTTGTATTTGTGTTTCTGATTGTTGCTGAGTAGCAGATTGGAGGTCCAATCCAGGTTCATTTTCTGGTAATACTAAGGACTTAGAGCTGACAGATGATGATAAACATTTGAGAACTAATTTATTTTGAAATGGGCAACCGATAATTTTTCTGGCACAAATTACTCTGGTAAAAATCTGCAAAATCATTTTGCCTGAGCATCACAATCCCAATTTAAAGTTGTAAATTCAAACCTTGTATTTAAAACCTAAAAATAACCTCATAGAAAAACTCAAAGCCGGTTCTTCTTGAACTATCACTGATATGACCAAGGAGGTCTCTTAGAAAACAGTAGACTTTGGAAAGTGAATCTTGATTGATAAACTGGAACCTCAGTTATCCTTTCTCCAATTTACCATATCTTTTTAATTTTATGATTTAAAAAACACCGAAATATATTCCATAATGTTTTATTATTTCTCAATAGTTTATATATATATATATATATATATATATATATATATATATATATATATATATATATATATATATACATGATATCCTTAACCACTCAGGGTACAATGTAATATGTATTTGGTTGGTAAGTTCTTTCGATTTTTATGTCACTATGATACACTTATTATCTGATGAATCAATCCCTAAGATTGATTGTTTACCCTGTTTGTAATATGTCAACAACTATATCTGTTAACTTTTGTCGAAACTAGCTTAGTATTGTGTTTGTTGTTGCACTGTGAATATGAAAGAAAATATCATTCATTATTGACATATTTTGTTGTATTATTTTAAAAAATGTAAGCGTGCTGCAGAAGCTCTTAAACAAATTTGCAGTGTTTATGGGGATGATGCCATAACCGAACGCACTTGTCAAAATGGATTTGCAAATTTCATTCAGGAAATTTTGACATCAATGTTGCTCAACGGTCTGGTCGGCTATGGAATTGAAACGTGCAATGTTAAGGCCATTGTTCACCAAATTGCCACCCAATCAGTGTGAGAGACTGCTATGGACCTAAATGTGCCACATACAAGCGTAGAGAAAACCAATTGCGCAAGCTCGGCTATGTTTCTAGGCTATATTTATGGATCCCTCACATGATTATTTTCCGAAAATTACAAAAAAAATGTTATAACTTTAATACGGCTTTAGCTATCTACAAGAAATTTGTCAGGGATTTAGGGCCACTTAAACTACACGAAATGGCATCAACAGGACCTTCGTAAAAAAATTACAAATGGAGATAAAAAATAAAAACCTATAAGGAGTTTTTGTTTATTTATTCCTTATGTAGTCATTAAATTAAAAAACATTCATACGGTTTTGAAGAGAAATAATTCACCTTTCCAACCGATATTGTAACATCGAATTTGGAGAACATCCTGATGAGTTATGAATGATCGGGAGGGTGTTGTATTCCACCAAGACAAGGCTAGGCCCCACACCTTATTGGTCTTTCGCAATAAATTATTGAGCCTCGGATGGGACCTTTTGCCCCACCCTCCCTATTCACCAGATCTAGCTCCAAGTGACTACCACTTATCCCGGTCTCTGTAGAACTCCATGAATGTAAAGAAATTCCAAAAGGAAGAGGACATCAAAAACCACTTCGATCAGTTTTTTAACAATAAATTCCAGACATTCAATGAACATGGCATTATGCAGTTAGTGGAAAGATGGGAAAAAATCATATTAAATAATAGTCAATATATTGTAGATTAAAATAAATGTTATGTCTATAGTACATTAAGTTTTATTTCACACTGAAAAAACAAAAGGGTTTATTTGCCAACCCAATATATACATTAATATTGGTCTTTTTAAGAATTTTTTATGTTTAGCTTTCTAGATATTTAATTATTTTTCATACCGTCGATACAAATGCTATCGGATATGAAATATTGCGATTTTCAATCATAGCGATTGTAATTAAATATTTTTAAACAGTAAATACAAAATCTTTGTTCATAAAAGCACATACCTATTAGTGTGGAGTTAAAGTATGTTTCTTGTTTGGGCTGAATTCATAATGATATTACAATTTATTTTTGTTCATTTCCTGAAAAGTAGTGATTTTCATATTCGATAGCTAGCATTTATATCGAAGATATGATTAACCATAGTATATGTACCTTTTTAGTAACCATCATTGAATGTATGGTCGTTTGCTAATCCTATTTCTCTCCCTCCTCACGCTCTCTACCTTTTTTTGTTTTTCTCCTTCCCTATCTTTTTAGGCTATACATGGTTTCATCGAGTCAGAGAAGAGGGCGGAAAAATTATGGAACAGTTAAAAGTCCCCCCGTCACCGGAATTTGAACTCATAATCTTTAGTTCATCATTTGGACAACGCGTATTTTACACACGTGTCAGCTCGCTGCGCCACACAACACTCCGTCAGTTTACGCTCTCTATTTTACCAACCAACAGGTTGCACTTTAGGGCTGAAAATATCTGGTCAGGTTACCCATGAGTATCTTGAGCAGATATTTTCAGCCCTAAAGCGAGATAGCCTATTTTCTAATTGGAATGGGGTTGGGTAAAAATGCTAATGTTAAAATATTGCTAATAAGTTTTTAATTCTTCGAAACAATTTCGACAACAATAGCTGTACATCCTCAATTTTTCGGATTTGTTCATGTAACTCATTTGATAAAAACTATATGGTCCGGACTTCATATATATTTTTTACTTAACTGGTTTTTAACATAACTCGTTATTAATGGAATGGTGTGGAATGCCTAGGATTGAAAAGGAATCTTCGTTAAAAAAGAGTCACAGAGAGAATATGCGATCTCTATGTGTATGAGAATCCCGTAAGCATGTCTTACACACTCCATTTTATTGAATGGATAATATTAAAGCAATTTTATTGAACATGGTAGCGTGAATGCCGTGGTATTTAGATTTTAATTTTTTTTTCATAAAGATTTTAAAACGAGCTTCATAGCAATTGTAGAAACATATTATAAGAAATCTCTTTGAATGAATATTTCCTTTTAAACCATATTTTGTTTGTTGTTGAGAAAAATCTTTAATAATTCCTGGGTTTAGAAATTGGATATATGTGGGTATTTGGAATTTGGAACAATAAAATTTTTCTGATGCTTATTTTTCTTCTAAAAAATTACCTCCTGCTAAATTGCTCTCTTAATTCATTTAATGAAAAAGTACAATTTACTTCTAACTTCATCATTTTGTGTGGAAAATTTTATATTTTATCTTTTATAACTCGTCATACGATTTAGAATAAAAGAAATAAAAAGTTTGAATTATCAGATCCAATAACTTTAGCCGTTCTGTTAAAGGTAAGGTCGATAATATACTCGTTGCTCTTTGGATCTCGTTATATCTCGTATCTACCGGGGGGCTCGAATATAGAGAAAAATTAGAATCTAATCTGGGACTGTCTTTTAACTAAATCTCTTAATTTACAACCGTTATTCCTATCTGATTTAAAAATTAGAACACGCCATTGATTGTACATGACGTCCAGAGATAAAAAAAGGTCCTGATATGAAATCTTTCAAAATTTCCTTTTTTTAAATTGTGATAATAAGAGCAGTTCTACGAGTGTTCCAAAATGAAGAATGAATACGAGCAAATAATGGACAAATTCGCCGCTATAAATGAAAGACCTGTTGATAATATTTCGATGGAACTCTTTTACAAACCTCGGACTATCAGTTTATTTATAGTTTCATTTTTTTCTCTTATGTATTTTAGTTTCATAAGGTCAGTAATATCTTTTATAGTGAAGTAGTAAATTATGTGTTCATTGCTTTATTAGTTTATGCATGTTTTTTTTTTCATTAATTTGATTTTTGTATAGTTTAATTTAGTAAAGTAGTTTTTGTCCCTGATATTTTATTAGTAATATTCAAAGCTTCAGTGTTGAATGTTTGATTTACTTACTACCAACAATTAATTTTTTATAGAAAAATATTTAAAGTTTTTTATTGCTAGTAATAGTTTATTTTATTTCTAGGAATGAAGATAATGCCGATGATAATATATGGGCTGGAGCATGCTGTGTTGTTTTCTTTTTTGTAATTATATCAATTTTAGCCTTTCCAAATGGTCCTTTTACCAGACCTCACCCAGCAGTTTGGAGAATAGTTTTTGGTTTGAGCGTTCTTTACCTTCTTTGCTTAATTTTTCTTCTTTTCCAAAGCTATAAAACTGTCAGACAAATACTGGTTTGGATTGACCCAGGTCTTGAACATTTCCATATCGACATGGACAAGGTGCTTTTACAGTTTTTAGTATAATTGCTTTATTGATTAAGATTGACGATTTATTACTTATACTTATTTTTGTATTTATTTGTTTTTAAATTTAGGAATATGGTGTGAACTGTTCTGATGTTAATCTTGAGAAGATTTGGGACCATCTTGATGCATTTGCTTTAGCTCATTTTCTTGGTTGGGCTTTTAAGGCAATTTTAGTGAGGCATTATGGAATTTGTTGGACTGTTAGTGTCATGTGGGAAATAACTGAGGTAATCTTAGCATGTTATTTGTTAATTTAAAATGAACTGGAGTATTGATTTTTTATTAATATTAAATACATGGTATCTACTGGACATGGTATTTTATGAAAAACCAATGAAAGTTAGGGAATTTTACCTAATAAATGATAATAAATCAAGTTTGATTGTCATTAGTATGTAAAATTTTGAATACTGTACTAATTATATAGAATTATTATTCATAAATATTAGTTCATAAAAATTTAATATTTTGATGACCTGAAATTCTTCGAAAAATGACTGAGAAATTTGAGATAATTACGTGTATAGATTTTGGGTGGCAGACTGTTTAATGAATTGAGAACTATATATATATTTTTAATTATCTGTGTTTTATACTTTTATACTTAAAATTTAGTATATATTGTTTTGAGATTGATTTAACTTTCTGTGGTTTTGTTATCAGTTTACTATTAATCAATCACAGTAGTGGACCAAGGTTTTAATAGAGATAATTGAACATTATTTAATAATGTCGGGAACAAGAGAGAGTGTGTACATTGATAAGATTTGAAGGTTGATGTACCACTAATTAATTGATTTGTGATAATATAACAATATTTAAATAATGAAGTTTAAGGAGACTATTTTTTGTATTGATTATATTTTATTTTGATTTCATGGTGTCTGTAATATCTACTTGATATTTTTTACCAGTGACCAAAAAATTATTCTATCATATCATACATTAGATTTAGTTTCAAACAATTACTGATTTGCTTGTACCTTTTACACTTACTTTTACCAACTTAGTGTTTTCTAAGTTAAAGGAAAAGTGGTGCCCCTAAATAAGTTATTTTAACACTAGCAGGCCAGTGCGAAAAATTCGCACAGTATATTGTTCAGTGATCAACTGACAAATTAATAAGAAAATGTTTACAAATTTCAATAAGTTGTACTTTCATTAATGATTTTCTTATTTTGAAGATTTTGTTTCCTTTTGTAGGGAATTTGGTAATATTTTATATAATCACGAACATAACCAAGGGAAAAGTGTGTAATTTTTGAGTTATTCGCAAAAAAAGTTTATTTTCTTCCATAACTTTTTTGACTGAATTTTCAGGGTGATTGATCTATTTTTTCTGTCTGAAGGAGAAACATTCAAAATTGGTGGCTCAATCTCGGGATTTGATGAAAAATTAATGTTCATATGGCTTACCGACATAAAAACTCCTTTGATTAACAATATAAACTTCTCCTCTCTTGATTATAGGGTCCTCATGTTGATGAAATGAAACATGTATTCCATAACAGTACTAAAATTAACTTAAGTTTGGGTGGATGCGAACCCTTTACCTTGTATTATCTCGAAAATAGTACATTTTTAGGCTTAAGAACGTAGGGTTCTAGAACTATCCGGGTTTGTCGTAAGCGTTAAAATCTTCAAAGTCTAATTTGTCGCGTATCGATCTACAGACTTACCACCGTTCCAGAATTAAAGCCTAGCAAAATGTTTGTATCGACTTTATTTATTTTAGAAAGAAAAACAAAAGCGAAGAGTACAATTCGCTAATCTCTCTTGAAATTCTGAATCCAACGGTACCCCATTCATGGTATTTGATCATGATAGGAGCTTATATTTAGTACAACACCGATTTTGAGCCTTACTGTAATAATATATATGCGGATAAGGAACATTTATTAAAAATCAGTTTGATCAATACTTTCAATTTCTCTTAGCAGTATTGACTCTCGGACATGTCCTGAGATTTATTTATGTTTATCTAAAATTTATATTTAATGTTTTTAAAGTATGTTAATTCTATTTTTTATTTTTAAAAAATTCAACATATTTGTATGTTAATATGATCTTATGACATTGTAAATATTTCAACAAATTCAGATAATTTTTCTCTGAGAAAATGTTCTTTAATCTCTCTAAATATAAGCTTCTGGAAAAAAAGAAAGTATGAAATTAAAAAAATCAGGTTTATAATATCAAAATAAAAATGTTTGCCTAAGGGCTACAAATCATTAAATTAATTTTACGCTCTTTATTTCAATTGATTTTTTTTCTTAATTAACAACCATATTCTATTATAGGTACAAAGATTTTGGTCGCTAAGATTTTTAACAATATTATAACAAGTAGAAGATAGCTGCTTAAGATGTGTTTCTGACAAAACTTAAAAATACTGAGTTTCAGAATTTTGTATTATTACTTCTAAATGTGGGGTTTTATTCAATAAGTTAACAAAATCCTTTAAAAATAATTAAAATTAAAAAAAAAGTTATATGTAATTTAGGGTTTGTTCAATCATGTTTTTTTGTTTAACTTTCATGATTTTTTTTCAGGTGGCTTTTGCTCACTTGTTGCCTAACTTTACTGAATGTTGGTGGGATGCTCTTATTTTAGACGTGATGCTTTGTAACGCCCTAGGAATCTGTCTTGGTTTACAAGTTTGTAAAATGCTTGAAATGAGAGACTACAATTGGGTCGGGATCAAGTGAGTATTTATTTATTGTTGTGGGTTGATGGTTGACGGTAGTGAATAATTGAAGAGAAGGATAGTTGGGGTGATCAGTCAAAATAAAAATTTGCAAAAGTAAATAATAATATTTATTTTTACATTTGCCGACGTTTCGGCCCGAAGTTCAGGCCTTCATCAGGGCTAAGAAAAGAACCAGATAACAATAGGTATGAGAAACTATAAACATTGAATAATAAAGAATTAAAATTAAAAAGGTGAAAGGTATAGACTAAAAAATGTAGGTAGAAAAAACTTAAAGTAAAATGAAGTAGATAGAGTGAACATTAAAGTAAAATAAAGTAGGTAGAATAATAACAATAACAGAGAACTAAGAAATAAATAATAATGACGGCAACAAAGTTTGGACTAATGAAATAAACATAATCAAAATAAGGTGACATAACAAATAAAAATGGTAATCTTAAAATAAAATGTAAAACAGAGAAAAGGAATATGAAGTTATATAAGGAAATAATAGATATAAATAGAAAATTGAGATATTGTAAAATCTATCAAAATATACTGACTAGGTATAAGAGAATAAAAAATTAAAATAATGTAAAAAAGATATCCATCTCTATTTTGTATGCATTGATACATTTGCTCATTTATCTTTTTTACATTATTTTAACTTTTTATTCTCTCATACCTATTGTTATCTGGTTCTTTTATTAGCCCTGATGAAGGCCTGAACTTCGGTCCGAAACGTCGGCAAATGTAAAAATAAATATTACTTTTTACTTTTGCTATTTTTTAATTTTGACTGATCGCCCCAACCATCCTTCTCTTCAAGTATTTGTTTATTTTTATGATAATAAACCTATTATTGGTGTTATAGTGTTTCGGTTGTAAACATGTATATTTTAGCTGCGTTGTTTATTTCTTTTTATTTCGGATCAAAATTTATTTGTTTGTTTAAAATAGGAGATTATTAATCTCGACAGTATTAATAAATACTGTCTTACATTATATTCTTATATCACAGGAATTAAAAGAACAGGTGTAAACTCTCCTTCAATTCTGGGCCTTGGCCCAGTCTGACAGCTGTTTCATTGCAGTTTATATTGTTATTGTTTTACATTTTATAGAACCTTCTGGCTTTGAATTTAAATGCCTCAGTGATTTAAATAAGTAATTATTTTATGAATCAAATTTGTTTGTATATTGCTAATGTTAGTGCAAAAGGTCATATGTAAAAATTGAGTGTTTTTAATAGAAGAGGATACCGGTTAATTCTTTATGATTTATTAATATAATTTCATATTTTATTTTCCTCTGCTATTTTACTGTTTAACAGGCTATTTACAGCAGTTGCAGACCACAAAATGGCACCTATAGGACAAACAGAATAAACATATTAAATTTTTACATATGACCTTTTGCACTAACACTAATTATATATTTAAAAAAAAAAATGTATGTATTAGATTCAGCTCATCATTCTTAAATATGTATTATTATATTTTATACTATATTTGTGCTTAGGGTATTAGGAATGATTGTTAGTTATTAGGAATTCTTACAACCAGAAAAATAACTTTACCTATCAAAATTTTATTTTCATGAAGTTTTGGCTGTTGACCATTTTGAGTTGATTTAGTGATGTTTAAAGGAAGCTATCTTTAACAAGTCATGTTAATTTTTCATTATTACGATAATAATGTCTTACTGATTTTTTATTATTAATATAATGACTTTTTATTGCTATTACATTAAATTTGTTCAGTTTTACAAATATATACAATTTCAAGTATTAAATACTGCTCATATTTCCAAAAAATTACCCAAAAAAAAAAAAAAAAATAGAAATGTGGTTTGGTTTTCATACACCAGTGGCATTTGTTTCTTTTTTCAATTCATCGCTGTTATAATAAATAAAATAATTTGTATCTATTATGTTTTATAAAATAATGTACTTATTATTTTCATTTGCACAAAAAAAAAAAAAAAAAAATAATAAATAAATAAAAATACACTTCATAAAATGATTTATTTATAGTATTCAAGAATTACATATTAATATGACCAGGGATTCAGTCACTACAACATAAAAAAAAAAAAAGTTATTTTCTATTTAGAGCTAGTGTTTGCTTCTAAATTTCAAATATATTATAGGAGAGATCATGATGGCCGAGGGCCCTTAATAACCTCTAGTTGAGCGGTTCTGGTTCGAATCCACCCCTGGCTTGTTGAAATTAAATTAGTGATAAACCCATGGAATGAATCTAATCTTTCCCAGAAATATAATGAAGGATATAGATAATATTATATTCCGTTAAGTCTTTTTATTTCCTTGTTCATTAGGTCATCCGGTTTTCTGATTGTTAATTTTGTAATTTAAAAAAAAAAAAGTACAGGATGTTCTTAACAAGCCGAACACTTAGATTGCATGTCCTATTTGGATCATCAAAATGTTAGGATTATCAAAGATTAAATTTCACAAGATAACAAAAACATGTATTATCAGTTGAACATAGACACATTGCAAATAGATACAAATACTTTATTTCTGAAAATGATAAAATATAGTCTTTAATCTTGTTGATAAAGAAAACAACTGATGTTGAAATTTCTTAAAAGTATTAGCTTTCAGTAGTCGACATTGTATCTATTTGCCCACTCCAAGCAAGTATTAAATGCCTTTATGGAGTTTCTATGTTGTTTATATAGTGAAAATAAAATGAGTGTAAAAAAAGTTTCCAGTGGAATAAAAAAATCTTTAATTAATAATACAAAAACCTTAAATTTACTGAGGTCAATGATAAAAGAGACTAATATATATCTAAAATGGCCGCTGTACTGCTGCTGTCACAGTACTAATACACGAGTAGCATATCTTTGTACAGCGCCAATATTAGACCTCCTAAAAGTCCCTTTTAGTAAATTTAATCACTGTTTTCTCAAAAAAATTGTGTCTACTTTATAATGGTGTACTTCAAATTTAATTATCTGGAATAGTTTTTGAGCAATTTCTTCTTCAATAAAAAACGTAACCACAAAAAACTTAGTTTTTTTTCTATTCGGAATCGGCTCATGCATTAAATGAACTTTTTTGTTCAATATTTTGTCTAGAATCACCCCCCCCCCCCATAATTCGCCATTAAGAACCGTGACATCCTGTATATTAAGATATTGAAAGTATTGCGATTGTGAACATTTTTCAATCTGAGTATTCAACGGAAATACACGTTTTGAGGTTTCCTGAGTCCAAATAACCAAGTCCCACAAAATGGTCTGTGCGTTTTGTTACAGTCCAGCTCAAGAACAAAAATTCAAACGAAACTGAAAGTAAATATATAAGTTAAGTATATTCCTGGGATGTTACAGCAACTTTTTCCTTAAAATAGGCTAACCTGAAGTCACACTTTATATCATTGATTTTACTAATTTTTACAATTTTATCAAAAACAGTTTTAATGATTTTTATTAAATTCAGTGTATCAACGTAGAAATAAATGGTTTTGCGTATCATTTAGATCTTACCCTTATTAAATAATAGATAGAGGAACAAGGAGAATAGTTATATATTTTCATATATATGTATATATAGAGATGGTTATATATTTTTGTTGAAATTTTAAATTTTATTGTTACAGTGAAATTCAAACGACAACTGGCAAGATTAAGCGAGCTGTTCTGCAATTCACACCTAGCTCTTGGACACATGTTCGATGGCTTGATCCAAATTGTACTTACATGAGATTCTGGGCAATATGTCAGTTAGTAATATTTTGGCAAGTTCTTGAGCTGAATACCTTCTTTCTTAAACATATATTTGAAATGCCTCCTACTCATCCTATTGTGATCTGGAGGTTGGGCTTTGTCGGAATCATAGTAGCTCCGTCAGTTAGGTAAGTAATATATTATTCTATTTGTTTTTATAATTTAAGTATTCAATTTGTTAATTTTAAAATTAGTTGAATATAAGTATATACATTTTTTTAAGTCCATCAATTAAGACTTGTGGTGGTTCGGGTACTGTACTGAAAAAAAAAATGCTGCAAATTATTTCACAATGGTTTATTATGTCCAAACAACTATACATCTAAAGTAACATTACCTTCCTAGTTACAAAGAAAAATAAATAAAAGGTGATTCCAATTATTGGACTAAACTTTTTTTGGAAAAAAAATATCTATTTTACTAATATAAACTAATACTTCTGTGTATTTATATATAAATTCATTTATTGCCCTAAGGATTGAAGAGTATGCTGTGTATATAGCAACCCAATATAATTGGGCAGCAATCTTTTATACTTTATATTTTTATGAAAATAAAGTGTTTCTCTCTCTCTAGTAATATGCTAAAAAAAATATCATTGCTTCAGTTACACTTTCAAAATTTAAAAACCAAACAGAGGATATAACATTTGGAGTAGAATATATAACAAAAAAATGGAGACCATATATTTGCTCTCCTAATTGTCCAATTTTAACGATTTTTTTATTTTTATTTTAGGAAATTCCATAAACTTTTAAAAAACCATATACAATATCGACAAAAAAGTGTATACTTTTTGAGTTATTTGGAATTAAATTTTACCATCCCTTGTAACTTTTTTTCCAGCTTCTTTTCGTTGAAGTATGTTATATAGATAAATTGAAAGGGCGTCAAGAAAATGACATTAGCGAAGTTTCATTGAAATCTGTAAATTCATTTAGGAGCTACAGTCTATAGCAACTCAGGTTTTTTGGCCGCTATTTTAAAAGTAAAAGGCGGATAAAAATACCGATGAAGGTTCATCCTCAGGTGACCTCTGATTTTATATCCAAATTTGAAAAAAAAAATCGGTCCAGTAGTTTTAGAGAAAATGCCCGGACGGACAGAAAAATGTTTATTCGTTTTTCGAATTCTACGCATTTTGAAACATGAAATCTCAAATTTTGAGAGGGGGTTAAATTTTTGAATTTTTTGGTTGATCACAATGGTTGATTATTGAAAATAATTAACCAAAATAATACTCCAGAAAATAAAATAGCTTAAAAAATAAAGTTGTTGATTTTTTTTATATTGCAATAATTATTTGATATTTTCATTAAAATAACTCATTATTTTTTATTTTAAATATCCGTTAATTATTCAATACACCTTTTATTTTTCATTTCTTGTCGTTTTAGACTTGAAGAAGGCCCATAACATTGGCTAAAAAAAGCAACGCATATAAACATTACAGAAATATGAGCTGCCTGTTTTACTTTTGACATCACCTGACCGTTTTGATTGAACTGAACATTACTTTTGACATTTCCTCGATTTCATCAATGGTTAATTATACCTCTATAAATATTTATAGAATATAATAATAAAATATATGAGTGGGATAGCTCAGTGAGTAAGGCACTGACTTCTAATGCCCAAGGTCCTGGGTTTGAGTCCAGATGTGGCAGGTAATTATTTACTCCGTTATATCAGCCATGGACTGACCCTCTTGGACCTAGTCCCTATAATTGGGTACTCTTAATGAAGTAAATAAATCTGGCGATGGACCGTGATCTTGGCCCAATTACCTTCCTACACAACTGTTGGCCTTGAAACTGTACTTCTTTACTTTCTACTGAACTCCTCAAGCCCTGCATGGGTTATATTGGTACAGATTTTTTTTTTTTTAAATTATAGAACATTTCCAATAATATATTTTTAAATTGTTTTATTTTTTTTTATCTGAAAAATTCACTAAGTTTAAATTTTTAGGCAATATTATATGTATGTGACTGATCCTGGGTGTAAACGTGTTGGAACGCAATGCTGGGTGTATGGCGCGATCATGGCTTCTGAAGCTCTGTTATGTATTAAAAATGGCAAAGAATTGTTTTCTCACACCCAGGCTACTAACATTATCGTCTGGCTTCTGATACAGTTTCTGATGTCGGTTATATGTGTTTCTGGATGCGTGATGTGGACAATATATTTTCAGGTAATTATTAGAATACGATATAATTGAATTAGTTAGAATAAATTAGCAAATCTGTCCAATTAGATGCTAACTTCTATTAGTCAGTGCAAAGAATAAAAAAATTTGAATTTATAAAACTTAAATATAGTATTTTTTTTTTACAATATTTATTTGTCAGGTGTCAAGAAAGTTTCCACAGTTAATTATAAGATACATATAATTTGAAACTTATTGTTGGTATATTGAATATATGAAATGAAGTATTTATTATAAATTTATAATTTTATATAACTGTTTTAGAAACTTTATTAGTTCAAATAAAGAATGAAAAATATAAAGTACTATTGAAATATAATAATTTATAATTAATATATGGTAGAATAGGATTAATAATACAGAGAATAAAGATAATAATATTAATCCGGCAAAGTTAGCATTTGTCAAAACAGCGAAGTTTCTGTATGGTCCAATTATTTCCCCGTTATTCCTATCTTCTGGCACTCTCTCCTCTCTGCAGTGCTATCTCCACCCATTTCACAAGTGATTCTCGGTGTTCGAAAGTTCTCACAATAGGCAAATCTGATTGTTTTATTATTTAGTTGAGACAACACCGCCTAAATGACGTTAACTCTATCGTTTAAAATAATTCATTTATTTTTCTTACAGAAATAGTACCTTTTTTTTGGCTTATATACTGTACATACTTATTTATTGTAATACATGCTCCGTTCTTGCTGCTTTGTAAAAAATAAAAAATTAGAAAAATCTATGATGAATATATATCGTTCCTTTACCTTGAAGATATCACAATAATCATTGCTCTGATGTTGACCCACATGCTCGAGTCGGAAAGTCGTTAAGTCTTATAAACAACTTAACCCGGCAAAGGTATCTATTTGAGCTACGCTGAAGGTATCGCTTCTTCAAATGGATGAAGCAGTTCCATCTTAGTGGTTCTTTTGATTTACAGTTCCTATAGAGCTATTTATTAACCATTTTATGATATATTTAGCTAAACTAATCGAAACAATGGCGACAATATCCGCAACAGCTTAATTAATAAAAGAATATTAGTCAGTTTGCAAAAATGCATTCAGAAAAAATTTATATGGAACTATTGGAACGAAATTTAATGTTAATATACAAATTATTTATTTTATGCAAAATTAAAAACAAAATAAACATAGTTAATAAAATGAAAGCTGTTTGAAACAATCAATTGGCTCAAACACGTCTCTGCATTTTTATGTTAACAGTGTTGATACTGGGAAGTTTTCCTGCAGTTGGTGAGGATCGTTCTCCTCTCAAATAAATTTTCCCTTTTATGATGCCGTTCTGGTTAGGCAATTCAATGCAAAGGGGAGCTACAGGTTTATCATAGGTTTTTCAAATTTTTTAAAAAATGTTTTAATATTTTTTATTATATATTTTCTAACAATTTTTTTTTGACTAATTCGTTTTCATCTGGAAAAGAGCTTGGGTCATCATGTGAGTCATCAAATTTAGATTGGTAGTTGTCGGTCTCTAGAATATCTTTTTCACCTACCTCTAACAAAATTTTGTAAATTTGCTCCTTATTTATCTGCAACAATGATAAGTGGAAAAATGGCTAAATCTATCATTTATTTCATCACATAAGATATTGGTAGATTTTATTATATATTAGCTACATATATTTTTTTTATATTTATATATAGAACAGTAATTAAGCAAAAAAGCTAGTGTTTGTCTGTAAGACCAATTGAATGAATGTAAACGGTAGAGTTTGTCGCTACAATGAAGTAGAATTGATGATCAAAGGTATTGCTTTTGTCATTTTCGACATCGACATCGAGGCGATGTTGCCTCAACTAAATAATAAAAACAACCAGGCTCGCCTGTTGTGAGAAGTTTCCACTGTCGATCTTCACTTATAGGTGTAGATAGTACTACTGAGAGGAGGGAATGGTAGAAAATGAGAATACCGGTTAACTAATTGAATTATCGAGAAACTATCGTTTTGATGGATTTAAGACTGCATGTCCTGATTATTTGTCATCTCCATTATTAAAATCATCCTGTTTTAAATTAATTATATCAAATATTTCATGTTTTAGTTTTTGAAATCATAAAAAAAAAAAAAAATCAGTCCACTTTGATGTTAATTATATTCAGTATTTTCATAAATTAAATTTGTCAAATCACTAAATTTTTAATTATAAATATATAGTAGATGGCCTCTACCTACTGTTTTAAGTGACATTGAGTCAGGAATGATAAGAAATATATAGGGATGGAATGAGTGCACTATGAATTGGATTCAATTGTACACTGGACAGGTTGTTTTGTGTGACATGAGAGATGTCCACTCTATAGGAGAAGGTCAAGTCTAATGTTATAGGACTTTTAAATCATTCAGTATTTACAGTTCGCCAAAATAAATTAGTTATATTGGTCAGAAGTGAATGTCTTACCTTTTATTTAGTTCTCCTGTATGCCTCAACATCTGACCATTGATGAAGGTTGACAAACTAGTTGAGTCAATTCATTTTAAGTGTATTTGCTTATTCCAATATTTCATATGTACTTATAATTTCTTGCTACTCAATGTCACAAAAGAATCAGGTTCCTGAATTTCCAACGGCAATTAACACCCTCATAAGTTTATCCTTTGGTGGAGTTTTGTTTTAAAATTAAATTTAACTTATGGGTGTTAATAACTAAGATCCCCGTACAAACGAAAGGTTATTTACAAATTTAATTACCATACCACAAATTAATTTAGGTTAGGGTAATTATATTGCTTCAATCCAAGACTTTTTTTTTTTGAACTGGGAGGAAACATAAAGTTCATATAGATTTGTGAAGGCTTAACAGCTTTCAAAATATAGCACTGATTACAGTAAACATTATGGTAATGGCCAACTCTTTCGATAACTGTAAGAGATTCAATTGTTAAGAAGGTTTTCTGATGTTTCAATTTCTACCTCACTGTAACCAATTTTCTCCAAATGTTGTTCTATCCTAATTTCCCATTTTAACTTATTTTCTTCCAGTTGCTGTTATGGCTATGTTAAAGATTGTACAAACATAGGACATGTCTTTTTTATTCACCGATTGGTAGATATAAACCAGAAACTATTAAGTGTGGATCTTACTAGTATGACCAGATTAACAATAATAGTTAATATAATTATGTTGTCATATGCTAGATATAAAAAGAGGAATATATAATATTAAAAAAATTAAATATAGTATAAGAAACTTGCACCACAAACAAAATAAAATACTCCTTTAATATTTACTTAATTATAAACAGAATAGGTACATGAGTATTATAAACAAGAAGATATATAAAAAAAAGGAAAAATAATTAATAGCAATAATTTTAACCTAAGTCCAGTTCAGCAGTCGAGATATAATTGGATATTATATCTCGAATTACTCGTGTTGTAAAACAATTTAGATATCGATCTCTCTACTCCGACGTCTAGGTGGTAGAGGATGGTGGTGAACTAGGGAATATCCAAAATTATCTCTGGTAGAGTGAACTAGGTCCAAAATATGAGATTATCCCGGTACTAAAAAATAATTAAATATATCACTATAATTTTCCCTTTTGTTAATAATTGGAGTATTAAATAAAAATGAATCCTCATAGATACGACAGAAAGCCTTTCCTTGGATTTCTTAAGCGATTTTCTTTGGTATTCCCAATCGCATTACATCATCACAAAATAGGTACGTTATGTGAGAACAAAGGCAATTTTCTCTACACAGTCACCTATTGCATAAATAACCGTAACCATGGGTTGCCATGTTACACCAGAAACTAAACAAATTATTAAATAATTGTTCACTTTTCTGAGGGAAGTCAAAAGATGGAATCTTTTTTGGTTACATAATAATAATAATGGAATATAAATTAAATTAATGATGTGTTACTTACATTCATTAAGTTTTACACAATAATGACCAAAATTACTAAATGCAAACTTCAGATTATGTCATGTTCCATTTGGACATAAAAGTGGTCTCTAATCGTAGAAATAGTGAATAATTTTGAAATTTTTTCAAGCCATGAAAACAAAACAATAATTTTTGTTACATAGTAAAAATGAAGCAACTTATTTAATTAGGAAAACATTAATTATCCATTTATTCAGGTTTAATTAAAAATGGAAATTAAATTCAAAATAATGAATATTTTTCCAGCAATTTCGGAGAAAGTGTGTGTCTTCTGTTAAGTATTTTTTCAAACTCAAAAGTTGCTGAATGGTCGAACTTCATGGACTTAGTTGACTTATTAAAGGTGATACAATAATAATTATAAGAACACTAATAATAAAATATGGAAACTGTTTGTTATTGGGATTGATTCATAACAATTAATGCTGTGTTGTCGTGTTTTTCTTTAAAGTTTTTTGTATTAACCTGTTTTGTATATTTGATGTTTGCATGAAATATGCTTTACAGGGGGATAAATCGAAAGCACATGTTTCTTCACCTGAGAAGCTTTCAAAGCAGAATTCTCTGTCATCTGCAGACGAGGGTAAGTTCTTACAGAACAAATTTTAACATTTCTTTCTGGATTTACTAATAATTTTAATAATTCTTTAAAAAAAAATTATTTAAAAGTTTTCATTCCCAGGTGCAATCATCCCTCTATAACTCGAACCTCAGTAAGTGAGATTCTTTGGTATAACACAATTTAACTATTTTTTTTTTTTTGGAACTCATTTGTTTAATGTTTTCATCATTTGATTTCAGTATTGGGTTGGCTAATAAGTCCTTTCGGTTTTTCTGTTCATTTTTATGTCACTATGATTGATACATTTCTTTTCTGATAAATTAATCCCTAAGGTGGATTGTTTATCCTGTTTGTAATATGTCAACAACTATATCTGTTAACTCTTGTTAAAACTAGCTTAGTATTGTGTTTGCTATTGCACTGTTAATATGGAAGAAAATATCATTCATTATTGCCATATTTTGTTGTATTATTTTAAAAAAGGTAAGCATGCTGCAGAAGTTCATAGAAAAATGTGCAGTGTTTATGGGGACGATGCCTTAACCCAACGCACCTGTCAAAATTGGTTTGCTAAATTTCATTCAGGAAATGTTGACATCAATGTTGCTCAACGGTCTGGTCGCCCTCATGAAATTGAAACATGCAATGCTAAGAGCATCGTTGATCGAAATCCTTCCCAATCAGTGGGAGAGATTTCTATGGCCCTAAATGTGTCGCAGACAAGCATAGAAAATCATTTGCACAATCTTGGCTATGTTTCCAGGCTTAATGTTTGGGTCACTCACTTTCTAACCGAAGTCAACTTGGCAACACGCATTTCTGTTTGTAATTTACTACGGAAACGGCAATGTCAAAACCTGGATTGAATCTAAAAAGATAATGCTTTCCATATCGTAGGATTTCAAGGGTGTTATTTTCTATCAGCTATTTACATCAGAACATACAACTGATTCAACTCTATACTGCTCACAATTAACAAAATTGGATCAAACAATTAAAAATAAAAACCCAGAACTGGCAAATCGGAAGGGTGTTATGTTCCACCAAGACAATGCTAGGCCCCACACCTCATTGGTCACTTGCAATAAATTATTGAGCCTTGGATGGGACATTTTGCCCCACCCTCCCTATTCACCAGTCCTTGCTCCAAGTGACTACCACTTATTTTCCAGTCTCTGCAGAACTCCATGAATGGAGAAGAAATTATAAAAGGAAGAGGACATCAAAAACCACTTGGATCAGTTTTTTAACAATAAACTCCAGACATTCTTAGAACATGGCATTGTGTAGTTTGTTCAATATTGGGGGGCCCGGTACATGCCATATGACCGGGAGCCCTTTTCTTGAGATATACAAAATAAAGAAATGTTCTATAGAGGAATACTTGTGAATATATATAAAATAGTTTACGTACAGTTTGATGAAGGGGCCGGTCTCGCGCCTTCTCTCTCTCTCTCTCTCTCTCTCTCTCTCTCCGCCGTTCTAGGTCCAGGAAATAGCCGAAGGGCTGTAGCTCTGGTCAGGAGGTAGGTCATAAACCGTGTTCCCTTTACTCCCTTCGCTCGCTAGCATCTGTCCTTTGGCCGTAGATAAGGCCGTCTAAGGGAGGGGGTAGTGCAGGATGAGACAAGGCCCCCCAAGTTATTCACACAGGTCAAATCATAGCATAGTAAAACAATAAAATTTTGGATGTAAATCCAACATAATTAGTGGAAAGATGGGAAAAAGTCATATTAAATAATTGCCAATTTTTTTTTTTTTTTTTTTCTGTTGGCATTACAGATCATATAGATCTTTATCTGGCTCAGAAGCAGGTATCTATCGAAAAGATAACAAAGAAAAAGATTCAATACCTCTTGGCAAATACGCTTTGGTATTTCTATCCGAGATATTAGCAATTTACCATTGCATTCAAAATCTACTGCGAAACAAAGTGGCTGGGAAAAAGGTTATAATCTATACTGACAGTCAGGCAGCAATGGGTGCTCTAAGTACTTATTATGTATACCCAAAGGTTGCTAAAGAATGCAGCATAGCACTTAATGATCTGAATGAGCTTAATAGACTTACTATAGAGCGAGTGCCTGCTCACTTGTGCATTCTAGGCAACGAAGAGGCAGGCAAACTAGCCAGGGAAGGCTCAGATACTATTCCCAGATATTAGTACTGCCAAAAGTAGGATTAGGGAGATATATGGTGACAAATTTAAAAAACACTGGACTGAGAAGAAACGACGACATTCGGAGCTGTTCCTTAAAGGTCCATGTGATAAAAGAAGTAAACTGCTACTGAGTTTGGACAGAGCAGCTCTTAGAAAGCTTCCAGCGATCTACACTGGCCACTGTACATTAAATTATCACATGTTCAATCTCCGAGTGACGACGGACCCGCTATGTAGATTCTGTCAGGAGAAGAATGGAATTAGATCTAGAATAGAATAAGACTGGAGCTATTTGGAGAAGAACGGATGGATCGTCCCTGTAGCTATGAGACTGTCAATCCATCAAGCCTATTAAAATATGTGGAAGCGCCCAAACTAACGTTTTAAGATATGGAACGGACTGCATGATGGTGCACAATAGACATCTATGAACGTTTAAATTTGGTAAAGTAGTGAGGTGTCTCTTACTTAATGAAACTCATGGCTAGAGACCAGATTTTCATGCAGTAAAAAACCAAAAAACGTGCAGTAAAAAACTGAAAAACATGCAGTATAAAACTCAAAATCGTGCAGTAAAAACCCCAAAACTGTAAAATTGTATATATATAACAAACAATACAAGACTAAAATATCTTTTGATCCCAGAATGAAAACTTGGTAATGTTATTTTGAATAAAAAAATTGAGAACAAAAAATTAAAAACTACGGTCTCTTCTCATGACTCTTTTGGATGTTAACAGATGCATAGGACAAAATCTAAATGACAGGTTCCATTAATACGTGGTGGAAGGCAATCAATTACTACACTGATTTTAAATTTATCTTTATAAAATGTATATTTATCACATTTGATCATAAACTTACAGAAAATATAATTTGAACCCAACAAAAAATTGAGAATACTTAAAATGTTATAAAATATATATTTTTCTCTTGGTATTTTGAGCTCTGTTTTAAAACATTCACCATATCTCACATAGAACTATTAAACTTAAAATCGGTCGAGCTGTTCACTAAAAAAATTATTACGTACCTTTTAACAGACAAATTAAACACATTTTATACAATTATATGTCTATCGAAACACTCAATTGATCTCACTGAATAATTCGAGCCATCAAATTTAAAAATCTGTTTGCTTGAAAAATCTTTCGATATTTTATTTTATATAATATTCTGTCAGTTGTTTGTAATCTGAATTGTTCTAAAACAATAGAGCGATCCACAAGTCCATATGTAAACAAATCGTTACTTACTTTTTAATTGAGAACCTAAATACATTTCCGTCTATGTGACTTCCTTAGTTGGGTAAAAATTAATTTATGTAAGATGCTGAACTTAATGGTAATCTTAGGCGCATTTCATACCAAGATAGTTAATTTGAATCATATAAATCTGAATCATCAATAATTAACCTATACCAAAATATCAGATGCTCCAGGTTTGAACTTACAGCTTTAATGTTCGATTGGATTTTATGCACAATTATTCAAATGGTATAGTATTTGTCCTGCATGATATTGATATATAAGATTTATGAAGTGAATTAAATATTAATTTTTTATACTAACATTTGTAGATGTGAAAAATTTTGAAATGACTAATCTCCTCGTGCTTATAGTTCATTTTGTATTTTTATGTAATTTCTTGTATTTGAAATTTCTGGTGATCAGGATGTGATAATTTTGCTATCTGTGTGAATTATGTTCTAATAATATTTTTGTTTGAGTACATTTTTCATATATTTAAATTTTTTTTTTTGTTCTCTCCATCCTTACTTTTTAGGCTACATGGGCTTTTCCCAGACTGGAGGAGAGGACGGGAGTATTATGCTGGGTTAAAAGTCCCATCGGGCAACGGGATTTGAACTCGTAATTATTTTTCATATTCTGACTTCGGTTATCAGGTTGCTGGGAAACGCATAATTTATTTAATAAATCATCTATTTCTATGGTGGAGTGTAATGTGATTACTTTAATGCATATTACATTTATACCAATCTTTCCATTTATTCACTCACCATCTCAAGGTCACCCTGATCTGCATGTTCTCTCCATTTCATCCTCCATGTTTTCTAGTGAACCTAAAGTTACCCTTAAACAATTTATTCAAGAATATAGCGAAACATCAAATTGCCTTGATTTGCTGCTGCTAGAGTTTGGCAAAAATTATCTGGTTGGCGATTAAATTTATTCATTCCTGACCCAACTTGGTAGATTTTTTCACTGCTACTAGGTAAGGAAAGTATTGTAATCTGGTAAAATTTCTGATGTGCAGTTTTCAATGAATCTTTATGTTTCTGAGCCTCCTGAGTCCGAAAAACACGTTTTCAGCCATTGGTCTGGTTTTCTGTGCCAAGAATATTTCAGGAACGATTTTTTTGCTTCTTTTTTTATGTTGTAAGATTTTGACTACTGATATATGAGGAATAAATTGGGTACTCCTTGCGAAATAAGAGAAAAACATGTTTTTCCATTGATTGTAGCTCAAAAACGGCTCTAACAATTTTGATGAAACTTTCCTATAATCTTCTACTTTTATTTATCTTCTTATTTATCTTCTACTTAAAGTCGTTTCAATTTTTGTACATTTCTCAAAAAAATTCAGGAAAAATTTATATAGAAAAGTTTAAGAAGAAAGAAAAAAGTCTTACTCGCAAAGTATACATTTTATGGTAAAATTTATGGAGAATCTTTAGAAAGGTAATTAAATTCGGTATTAAAAGAAATCAAAAAAGAAAAGAACCTGTACTACTACAACCCATGAAGGGTCTTGGGTTCAGTACTATTTAGGGAAAAGCACTGTTTTTTAGTCAACGGTTTTGCAAGGAGGTGATTTGACCGAGATCACGCTGAACTACCAGGTTTTTCTCCCTTAATTAATTATTTAATTACGGGTACCCACTTTATAGAGGCTGGTTGTGCCCTAGGAGGATCTCCTGACCACAGGATTGCCCCACAGCTAATAAACAGAATAAATAATTTTTTTAATGAACCTATTCAAGGTTGTATAAATTCGTTTGAAATCAGTCGGAAAGTTGTGTGAGTGGACTCACAAGATTTTTTTAGATGCATTTATTATAATGATTTTTTTCTCTTATTTTTTTTCCTATTCCTTAATCATTGGTCATTCGACCATCCGACATCTTGCTGCCCAGTATAAGTTTGATTTTTTATATATTCATTTCCAAATGTTTTTTTTCTTATGTTTGTCAAAGCAGGAAAGTCTAGGTGGTCTGCATCCATTTTTGCTTGTTCACATAATTTATATCTAGGATCCTCAGTCATGCCTATCTTGTGGAGATGACTTTTTAGAGATAGTCGTGACAAGTGGCCTGGCGGAAGCAGGCTATTGCATCTCTTCTTGGTAGATCAGATGGGATCGGGTTTTCCATCAAACATCTGTAACGTCTCCCTTCCATCTTTTCTCTGTGTATTTTTTTTATTTCCTCGTTCACTACCATCCTCACCATTCGCCGAATTGAATCGTAAGATTTTGGATGGACTGGTTGAGGCAATTCTGTTCCTCTCTTGGCGAGACTATCTGCTTCCTCATTTCCTGGAATCCCACAATGGCTCGGAATCCACTATAGGACCACATTAGTGCCACGGAGTGTTATGTCGTAGAGGAGAGATTTGCAATCCAAGATAGCAATCAACAGACATTTACTCACGTCATTAATAGCGGGGATTGCTGCTTGAGAGTCGACGAAGAGAACAGCGCTCTGAACTTGCCTTTTTGATATTATTCTTAGGGCAAAGAGGATCACTTCTATCTCATTTGCTTGAAATTCGTAGCATCCTCACCTACTGCAACACTGAACTGAAACTCCCTCGAGTAAACTCCTGTCCCAGCATTTTTGACGGCTGATTCAGCTGATCTATCGCTATAAATATGAAATCCCTGCTATAAATATGATATCCCTGAGGAGGGTATTTTTGAGCAATAGTTTCTAGTGCTATTGCTCGTAACTCATAATCTGGTGTTCCTTTTTTATCCACCTTATGGAGGAGTTGCATCATGCTCTACCTTGCTTGTGTGATTGTGGATCGGGAACTGTGACTGTATAAATTGCTCCCTTTCTTCAAGCAAAGCCTTCACCTTTAGCATGAATGATTCTTGTGTCTTGATTGAGCTGTTGAGTTGTGACTTTGTATTTTTTCCAAAATTCTGGGTTCGTTCTTCTCATCAGCTCGTGAAGACACATTGCAGCTTGCTCACGCAGTTTTGAAAGGGGTTCTGCTGTGGTCTGCAGTTCCATAGCTGCAACAGGAGTTGAGCGCTGCGCACTCAAAATTAAACGCAGTGCTTTGTTCTGGTGGTTGTCCAGTCCAGATGCATCAGCCATAGTACAGATGACCTCAAATGCAAGACCCATCCTTGGTGGCCCCTCATGTCTTTCCTCCAAGGGGTTTTAGAAGCTTAAGCCTGTTTTCTCCCTTTTCCACCATATCTTCAATTTGCCTGTTCCAATTCATTTTGGTAATCTTATAAATTATTATTAGTGATTGAGATAAACTGATGTAATTTAACTTTTAACGGAAACGACAACTAACTGATTATCTGATTTCAGGTGATGACGTTTCCAAAGGAGACGCTGAGGATAGTAGCGGAAACATCAGGCGTAGGCTTGTTTATTATGATGATAATGACTCAGCACGTTCATAAATCATGTGCAATAGTAAAAATCCCTTTTTGGTAGTCAATCTTGAGTAGTCATATTGATAATGTCTTAGAAATTAAGTTTTTTTTTTTTACAAACCTCAGGTTGTTAATGATTTTTTTTTCTTTTAAAATTTATCAAGTCATATTTTTTTTAAAGATCATTGCTAGTATTTTATTAAAGACATCTATTGTAGAAATTCAAAGAAGATAATTAAAAATATGTATATGACAACTAAAGTGATACATATACATATTTTGATTTCAGTTTTGCTAATGTTAATTATTTTAAAACATCAGTGTCTAGTAATATTTAAAATATTTTATGTCGGTCTACTTCTTGATTGTACTGTAGACGGTTTTTAAATCTACTTAGTATCTTTGCTAAAATCAAATTATTCGTGCCAGTGTGTAGTATGTAGTTAGATTAGCGATTATCTAATCATAGCAGTGGTTATTTCATTTAGGCATGCGCATGTCTATGGTGGAAATGTGATATTATTGTTTATTAGAGTGAGACGGTTTTAAATTTTAATTAATTATTTATATTGTTACCCTTAAGCTGTATGTTTCGATTTATGAATTAAAATTGCTCAAATTTTTCATTTTTGTTTCATACTTCTTGTCTTCTTCAGTTTAAAATTCTCCTTTTGCTTTATAGCACTTAGCTGTCCTTAATTTATTTTATTTTATAAATGTACTTAACAGAAGAGCAACTATGAGCTGATGAAACATGATATTTTGATTTATTTTTGGTTTCAGTTCCTGTTGTGCGTAATGAATATTTTAATCTTTACCATTGTTCCTTTTTAATCATTATTTTGAATACAATAATGAGATATTAAGTAAATGTTATAATATTTTAAGCCTTGATATGCAGAAAAAAGTCATAATTTTGTTTATTTCAGACTTACATTACGTGTTATCCATTTTATTATTATTTCTTGGAAAATTATATTGATTCATGGCTAAAGTTTTCTTAGGTAATTATTTTTTTGTTTTTGTACTAATGATTTTTAAACTAAATTGGTTGTACTTCTACTACGGTTGATTACTAGCCTTAATCTTCTGTTTTAGTTATTATCTCCTCTTTTTACATCCCCTGGGATTCTTAGCTTCACATTTATTGTCTTCTCAATAAGATGTTTGGATTTATTAACTTACTTAAGGTTGTTTGAATTAATTTCAGATCTCCAAATTTTTTCTGTTCATCTATGTCACTTCGCATCTTGTCTAAAAATCCATATTGCTTTCCTGTGAAAATTAAATAGAATTATTTCTTCTGCTTGTTTATTAATCTGTTATCTCAATTTCATATTCTTAAAAAGATCAGAAAAGAGACCAATATAGTATACTAGGTATATACTCTTAGTCAATTTTTTTTTTTTTTTTTTTTGTTTGCTCGAAGTGTCTTCCTAATAACTTGCAATTTCTCTTTTTTTAGCACATTCATGTACAATTTTATCATCTTCTGCATCATAATATTGTATACTATTTTAGTTCCTTAAGAGGTTGATATTAGACTGATTTTTTTGTTTTGTTAATTTTTTTTCTATATACCTCACGATTTTTCCCATGCTTATTTTATTTCTCCACAATGCATGTATAAGGTTTTACATGTGAGAGAATGCAATATTCCATTAAATAGTATACTAAAAAATCTGTAACTGATCAAATATTGTTATTTTATCTCTTAGTTTACTGTCTTTGTTAATTAAAAACTGCGGGTTGGCGTTAAGATTAACCAAAAGTTTGAATTGCAAAGATTGTTGTGGAAAAAAACATACATTTAAAAAAATTAGATTTGTATATATAAAAATAATTTTTTTTTTTAAAGATCTCGGTTATTTTTTTGTTGGTTTTGATTTTCGGAGGACCTTAAAGCTTCTTCTATTAGATGTTATTGAAGTATTTATTGTCATGGCATATTGTTCTCTATCGTGCACACCGAATACAGTGATTGAAATGAGACACTGTATCTTTATGCTTCCTGTTTCCTTTCTCTACTATTGTCTATTTAATGTTTGTATTTATTCTTGTTTAAGACTTTGTTTTGATTCACTAACTTCTCATTTGGTTAGTTATTGTTGTGTTTTACCAAAAAAATAATGTAAAAAAAAAAAGTTGTATTTCTTAAGTAATAAACCTTTATAGAAATGTTTTATTAATATATGCCCTTAACTATAATTTTCTTCGTTGATGCCAAAGCATGATAATCCGCTATAATTCAATGTTTTAGCTTCAAAATGATTTTATTTCCAGTCCATTTTGAAATATTGAAACCATGGCAATGTGATGCAAACGACAATAGATAGTGAAGTCAATTTTAATATTTCCTTAATGTATTAAGATTTATCCCTAATTATTAGGGTAAGATATGTTTGAAAGTTTTCTATTGGTTATTAAAGCATATGGTCACAAAACATTAGAGTAATGGTTGCTATGGTTGCTGATGCATATTCAAGGTCATTAGGCATTATTACAATGAATGAGTAAGCTCACAAGGTATAGGAATGGATTCCTAAATATCTGAATCAAATGTTTTTTTTCTCTCATGTTCTATTTCTTGGAAATAATTTTACATATACAAATTAATGGTTTATTAACTGAATTTTCCATTTGACAGCCTTTTATTATTATTTTATTTTGATTGTTCTGAATTCATGTATTAAGTCTGTATTGAAATATTGTTATATAAATTTAAAATTTTACTTAATCCTATAAATATTTTTATGAAATAAAAATATATCAAAATCCCATTTGTCATTTTGGATTTTTTTTTTTCAATATTGCATAAACTTTAGAGGGTTTTTTATTGTTGTGTTGTAACTAATTAGTAGAAAATAATATTTATGTTTTGAATTACCAAAGAGTTGTTTTCTTTATTCAAGAAATTTGAATTAATTTTTGTCTGTATTATTGTAAGATGACATGATGTGCTGTGATAATTTAAATATAGGAGGTTTTAAGATTCAGTGGTGTTTTTATCCTGTATTTCTTTGTATGTAATTATATGTGTAAATATCATAAATAAATTATATGTGGATAAATATCAAATTATGAGGAATCCCATATATAATCACTTTCAAATTATGTATAGTTATTTCATCTGATAAACCTTTGAATAAGCAAGTTTTATTTGCCAAATGCTTAAAAGCACCTACTACTTCATTTACTATGCCTTTCCCATGTGAGGTTTTAAAACAATTCCTTTTCAAAAGTTACATCTTTCAATCTATCAACACCATACACCTATCGACCTAATTGGTGCCTGTGTATACCACTATGGTAAGACAGTGGATCCCTGGAAGGAACCAATGAAGCTTTGCAGACTTCAAGAAGTTATGTCATATATATTTTTTGTTATGATCATATAAATTATAATTAAATTGAAGAGAAAGATGAAATGAAAAAATAATTTTATTCTGGGACTAAGTTCCCCTAAGAATAATAACACAGTTACAAATTTATGTATCTTAGTCTGACATAATAAAAATACAAACTAATTCATTGTTAATTGTTATTTCAATTGTGCAATGGATTGAAATTAAACATTGTATAGATGCAAGTAATTTTACATGTTAGGGGAAGTTTGAATGTGGAGTAGGTGTTGGAACAGGAGTTGTTTGAAGGAATTTGTGGATGAGGATTGGCGCATGGAGGTAGGAAGTGAGTTCCATAAGGAAGCAGCACGAATGACGAAGGATTTGCTGAAGGAGGAAGTTTTATGGGAGGGAATATATAAGTCTATAGGTTGAGACCTAGTATTGAAAGAGTGGATAGAGGAGTGCCAAAAAGGAATTGTCGTCAACAAGTAGGATAAAAAGCCACTTCAACTCGGTGTACCATAGTGAAACATGTGAACGCCTGAGGATCCCGAAAATGTATCTTATGAAACAAGTCATGAGTCTTTTTAGTCTCATTTCCAGCCTGACAGATAGCCTTTCATACACCAAGCAGCCGTAGTCGAAGTGGGGGAATACAAGGGAGGTTACAAGGAGCTGTCTGGTTTTTAGAGGAATACAATCACGGAATCTTAGGAGTTGTTTAAGAGCAGTTATGGATTTTCAGGTAATCTGGGAGATATGATTATCCCAGGAGAGGTTCTGGTCAAAGTTTACTCCTAGGTTTTTGACTGTAGGGAAAAAATGGATGGGACGGTTATTGAGGTTAAGTAGAGGAAAGTAAGGAAGGGAGCTGATGAGATGTCTGGACCCGATGATAATAATAAGATATGTTATGTATCGACTTAAAATAAATAAGGATTAGCAGTCTACATATGGATTCAAGCATATTGCTTGTCATCAGGGTAATAATAATAATTCTCTATTCTTGTATCAAGAACTGAGTGCATAGTCTTGTTGCTTGACTAGATAAAAACCATTAACCTAATAAACCATATGAAACCTGCAAATCCTGACTATTTATAATCCTAATAATTTTAAAGTTACAGTCGACAATATATCAATCTCTCAATAAACTTTTAAATCTCTTTCAGTATTTAATGTGAGTATATGACATTCATAGTGAAAACTCTTCACTAAATTTGGCCCCAACTGTGCAATTTAGGCAGATGGCTTTCTAAGGGGAGCACCAAAGAGAAAAAAAAAAAAAAAAAAAAAAAAAAAAAAATGAAAGTGTCACACAATCTTTAAATTCTGTTCTATGGAATTTAATATTATTCCATGGAACCTAATGCTCCATAAAAAAATATACTGTTATCATTCATTTGTTTTAAGCACTATGTAATATACTTCAGAAAACTGGAATATTTTAACCGACTCAGGAAGAAAACTTTTGTAAATAGATTTTTGGAAACGTAGATGTAGAATACCTAGACTGCATGTTCCAAGCAACGCCATTAAGGAAAAAGTGAAAGAACTCCTTAACATCCTATACTCAATTGAGGCATAAAAGATGAGTTGGTCTGGGCACATTAGGAGAATGTCAGTCAACCGACGGCCTAAAAGGATACTTAGGCATGTAACATTGGAAAGGAGGAAGAGAGTTCGGACTGGAAAAAAGGTGGATGGGGGATACATGAAGCAATAGGAGTAGAAGACTACCATGACAAAAAATAAATGGAGGCAGGGCCTATTATGCTACAACATATGACTTTTAAGTGTTCTAATAAAGTTTTATATATATATATATATATATATATATATATATATATATCCCTCTCGTTTCTCGTTGACAATAATTATACTATGAATTAACAAAGCAACTATCCGACTTATTGACATTCCTTCCATGACTCTCATTCAGGGCACCTCTACCTATACTACAAAGCCTTCCTGAAGCTTTTATTTCTTAATTCCTGTTGTTCTCCTTAATTTTTTAGTACTGAGAGTTTGTTTCCCTCAGCTTTTCTTGGCAAGGACTGTTAGCTGGTTCCTCTCTCTTGCATTCACCTTTTCCTTTACAATGCCCCTAGTTCCCCACATTTACCTCCTGTATAATTCTTTCACTCTCCACATGCAAACTGTTTTTTTTTTTTTTATAAGAAACTATAGGAACATATAGTATCAAAATATGGATACTGAAGATTAAAAAAATTGGTGATTTTTTCTTCTTCAAACATGTTTCTCATACAAGTGGCCAATTGAGTAGAAATGGATTACTATCCGTTTTATATAGTGATAAAGGAAGTATGGATTGGAATCTTGAGGAGAACTTGATCAAGATCAGTCTAAGTCAAGCAAGGTGTCATAAAGAACTTAAAACAGTTGAAATAATGGTCACTTAATATTGATGAGTTCAGCGATTCCTTTTTTTTTAATGCCACAATTAGTTTTCCCTTGTTTCCACTGACTACCATTATAATCATATTGCTATTTTAATCCTATGAGAATTACAAGGCAAGGACAGTTTATTTTTGCATTTCTAGCATTTATTATATACCGTTTTATTGTCGTTTAATGTTACAAATATATTGTCCGTGGTATAGACCCCTTTTTATATAATTATCAACATCCGAAACTTTGTAAATACAAATACTTTGTAAATAGCTTCATCTCACCGTAATCTACAACTATTTTATTTACTAAAATTCGCGGAATTGGGGCGTTTTCAATCTGAAGATCGGCAAACTTAGTCTATTTAATTAGGTATTAAAAACTCCTAAATAATCATTTGCTTTCTACTTGAATCGTAAGATAATTTGATCACAAAATTGAGAAAAAATATGGCCTACAAAAATATTAGAGTGGCATGACCTACACCCCCAACATTTCAAAATTACGAGGTTATATAGGCCAAGCGGCCAAATATTTTTGTAGACCACCTTTTTTTTTCGATTTTGTGATCAAATTATTTTACGATCCAAGTGGAAAGCAAATGGGTATTTACGAGTTTTTAGTACCTGATACTGATGGATCTGCACTGGAAGCACGCAAACATGTCGGTTGAGCTGGGGTTTATTCAAAGGAATTTCAACTTGCCGTCCCAGTCGGAAGGGTAGCCATTAACTTTGAAGAGGAAGTGAAAGCCATTCTCTTAGGCCTTGAGAAATTGGTTGAAACGAAAGACAAGAAAGATGATTTATTTTTTGACTCTCAGGCAGCCATTTCGTCCCTCCAAAATGGATATAATATGAATCCAAATGTCTTTAAATGCCATCTGTATTCGGATCGATTAAAGAAAAATGGGACAGAAGTCGATTTCCAGTGAATACCAGGCCATTGCGTGCTCCACGGAAATGAAGCTGACAAACTGGCCAGAATAGATTCTGGAATAACCCAACCAGATATTCCTCTGGGCATGGATTTAACTAAAAGAATAATAAAACAGACCCTCCAAAGTTCACTGAAGGAGAAATATGCACAAAAAAATGAAGGGAGCGATGGAGTGGATTGCTGGAAGAAAGTGGGAGAATACCTTGAGACCTCCCTAGAGAGCAAGTCGTGGCATGCTTTAGAATGCTTACAAGGCATGATTTCCAATAGAAACACCTCCACCGCATCAATATAAAAGATATCCCGACATGTCCTCAGTGCTCATTGGATATTATGACAGGAGAATATCTTGATACATGTCCTGTATTACAGGATATAAGATGTTCGTTTCGTGAAATCGACAGCCCTTTTGCTAGGAGAGCGAAATTGGACTGCAAGAGTACGTATGGCTGATCAAGCAGGCGTTACTTAGGTATGGGAAAAAAATCCTAATTAAATAGACCAAGTTTGCCGATCTCCAGATTGAAAACACTCCAATCTCAAGAGTTTAAGTAAATAAAATATTTGTAGGTCATGGTGAGATGGAGCTATTCACGAAGTTTCAGGCGGATGTTAATAATTTCATAAAAAGGTATCATTATCACGGATTAACACCATAAGGACTCAACAGAGCATGTCTAAAAATACCCATAGGCGCCGGCAATGGAGAAGCAAGACTCTTTAAACCTCAATATTTTGTAAAATGAATGACAAGAAGATGAAAGATGAATGACAAGATGAAATGGAGACCAGATGTAACTAAAACAGACTGATTAATCGCCAAAGTTCCGCTGATGAGGCATAGTGAGAACTTGATTTAAAGGCAAATCCTGGACTTAGCATCCATAGGCACCGACACGGGGAGAGCAAGGCTTTTTAAATCTCAATATTTTGTGAAATGGATCAGAATTTCCTTGTTTTTTTTATATTTCACAGTCATTTATTTAAAAATAACTCAAAAAAGAGTTAAATAAACTATTCAATAGGTATTTACATTACATAACAGGTATTACACTGATGGCTGGATGATTTCATATATGTCATTTTAAACAGTACTAGCTAAAGAAATTCGTTGCCCCTGACAATGACGTCATCCCCCTTCCTAAAAAATTTAAATTTATTACTTAAGCTATTTTAAATTATGTAATATTTGAATTTCATTTCATTCAACATTTCTCTAATGCAGCTGCTTTATTGATAGGCTAAAATCAATTATTTTTTTATTATATTCTAACACTTAAGCAAGAGTCCCTGAAGATCGGCCACGCTTCCAATAGTTCCTAAATACCGTTGCTGATGGTTGCATCATTTAATTATTATTTATTATTCAAAAAACAAGTACAATTATATAATCTGGCTTTATTATAATAAAATATAATACATATACATATTTACAATATCACTAAATAAACATGATATGAAACAAAAAAATACCCATTCAGTATTACGTGCGACTGGTTATGAAAATGAACGTTATATGATATGGTCTAATACACATTCAAATGGTTGTTTTATACCAATTCCCTGCTTAAAAATATGAACACATTTGGTTTCACATAAATTTTAATTCATCAAACTTATTAAAAATGAAGTTAATACTTGAATGAATTCTAAAAATGTGAATGAGAACACTAGTTTTTAGTTCACAATAATTAAAATATAAACTTAAAAACACTTGAATTATTTTATGGATATGTGCCATTTTGACAGCAAGTTTCTAATTTGTCTGCAAAAATAAGTGTATGTTTTTATCTATTATTTTTTATAAATTAAATTATATATTTTTGGTAGAGCGCATAATAAATAAGTATCTTCAAAAATATATTTTCTTCATGATCGACTAAAGCTATAGTTTCTGTTTGGGTCTTCACTACTGAAAATTGTCAATGGTTCAAAGAACTCTCCTCAGAAACGCTCGATAAATTTTCCAATTTTTCATCTTTAACATTTGATGAACTTATCTTATTTCTAATCTCTAAAGCTTTGTCTTTTAACTTCTGTTGGAGGCTTTTACATTGGTTCGTTTTACTTGCAAGCCGTCTCCGCAGCTCTATCTCCTTATTTTTTAAAATTTGAACTTTTAATTCCAGCTTTTTATTCCGTTCATTGATTTTGGAATAATTTGTCAAGAGGACTTTTTCTTCCATGGAGATGTTTCCTGAGGATTCACTAGCAGATACGGGAGATGTATTTGATACACTAGCCAGTGCCTTTTCACGAATTCTTCTATTTTGATCCCATTTCCTCCATGAACTCTTAATAGCTCTATGTTCTTTTGCAGTCATAACAGCGACCTTTTTTCTTTTTTGATTTCTCATTTTTTGTTTGATCTTGTATGCTTCATTCCTTCCTTTATCTTCTTTTCTCTTTGCTCGATATCTTTTTGCACGTTCTGCTTCAGTCAAACCCTTAAAAATATAAGTTCAGCATTATAAATAGTGCAGGAAATGAAAAAAAAACAACAGAATTGTTATTCCGTCCTGAACGTGACGTTCACGAGTTATAGATGTTCAAGATTTTAACATTAACCTCATTATACGACTCTATTAAAACAATATTGAAAAAAAAACTACGTTAACTTAAGCATTAATTAGAGAAGTAGATTACGAATTATAAAACGTAACATTAGTTCTAGAACAGATTGTGAAATTCATGAGAAATAAGTACTTACCAGAAATGAAATTAATACTTACCATATTTTTGACGTTCCAAAAAAACTTTCATTCAACCAATGAGGTTAAAAGCAAAGCAATGATTGGAAAAGAAGATAAAGGTCTTCTGATAGAGGTTATCACTGAAATGTTTTCCATCCTTTCACAATGAAGAAATATTGTAATAACAACTATGTCACCAATGAGTTTTTTAAAAATAAATTCATGAACTTTTAGAGAACTCTTATTCTTTTTATCTTAAAAAAAGTCTGATAAGCAAAATATGTTCATACATCATAAACATACTTTCAATTACATTGTTTCGAAATGTTTACCACTCATTTTAACAGATATATATATATATATATATATATATATATATATATATATATATATATATATATATATATATATATGGTAGTTTTAAAATTCTATACTAAATAAAATACAATAACTTCTTTGAGGTTTTTTCTCATTAATCAACTTAAGGTAATGCCAATGAATATTTTCCCATAATATTTACTCTCATATTTAACTGGCATTAAGGATGAAACAAACAGATTTATCAGATGTTTGATAATTTTTTTCAATTAAAAGTTGGGTTTCTAAAATTTAAGGAAATAGACATCAACCAATGTCCACCATCGAAAAAAATGATAGAAAAAGAAATACATAGAAGTTCGAAAAATAAAATAAAATAAAATAAGGAAAATTAATGATATTGCTGGAAATATCCTTTGGGCAACATGATTTTTATTTTTATTTTTTAATCTCATATAATTGCAAATAAATTTATTGATTGTTAATTAATTTTTTATAAAATAAAAATAGATTCTGGAAGTGGTAATAATTATGGTCATTTTGAAAATTATTGTTATTAAATATGAAAGTTTTTTTTTTTAAACAATAATTGATAATGAATTATTCATTGTTAAATAATATATGTATTATTATTATTTTTTATCGAATTCCAGTTCAAAATTTAATATGAATGTGAAATTATTTTTTCTTCAAATAATTAGAAATAACATAATTTTTTTTTTAATGTGAAACTAATTTAAAATGTAACTAGTTCTTAAAAACTGATACTGTTTAAATTGTTAGGATAGAAAATCATTTAAGTTAGAGATGATTAAATTGTGGCAACATTGTTCTTAAATTTTGGAGCCAATTCCTGTAGCCACCATATTTTCTATCAAGTCCACTGCACTGCTTTTAATTACAGTTTAAGAATTTGTGTAAATTATAATGTTAAGTATTATAATGTTATAATTGGTAAGAAAGTGTAGCTGTTATGAGACAATTTGATAATTTATTATTTAATTTTGTGCTAATTCGATTGTTGCTTTTTTTTTCCATTCATAAAAGCCAGAATTCTGATTTCAATAGGTACCTTATTGTTCTATATAAATGTTTACACAAGGATTGTTTTAAATACAAAAAACTTTAAATTCTTATACAGGATGATTTAGTTCTGAGTAAATTTAAAGATTTATAACTCTGATCTTTTCTCACTCTAAATTATTTGCAAACAAAAGAGTTTTTGTGAATATATTAGTTTACTTCATCTATCTTCTGTTTTGGTCTATTTTTCAAGTTGGGGAATTAGTTGGGGTTTTAAGTTAGTGAGAAAAGAGAAATAAAACTTTTAAAAACATTTTGTATTGCACTGATCTTGTTTCAGGCCTTCATCAGGGATGAGAAAAGACAAAATAACAAAAAAATTATTATAATAATATATAAGAACAAGATTTATGTTATTTGTTAATAAATAAATTGAAAAAGGTGAATAAAAGACTAAAACATATAAGTATTTTATTTAATGGTTAGGTATGAAAATATAAGTAAAAAATTATGAGAAGGTGAACATTTTTAAATTTCAAGTAAAAGTATGAAGAAAATGTATTGTAAGTTACAACATAATAAATATTTCTTTTTCACTTTATATCACAAAATTGCAGCAGATAACATACATTTTGTTCTCATATCTTTTTATAATATTTTAAAAATAATTTTTTGGTTGTTATATTGTTTTTACTCTGCCATGATGAGGGCCTTAAAACTTAAGTCAAAATATGGCACAATATAAAATAAAATTGATTGATTTTTGTTTGTATTTTCTCACTGACTCCAGACTCCAAATAATTTCTCAATCATGTTATTTGCAATTAACTGTTTCTTCATTGTTCTATTTTTTATTTTTTTATTTGTAGAAGCTTTTTATTATTGGGAAATAATATAGTTTCATAATATCACAAAATATAGTTTTATCAGTTGAAATTATTTATAAAAAGATTAAGAATGTTATTCTGATTTTAAATCACTGCTACAACAAATGAGGAGTCTAAATTTTACAATATATCTGTTTAAAATATTATGTATTAGTGTCTATATTTTTGTAGTGACCCATTTAACTACAGAGGCCGACTCAGAAGGGACATCATACAGAGAGAAAAAAAATGAACACAATTTACAATTATAATAATTTCAACATCACAAACAGAAACGCAAATATATTTAAAAATATAAAACGATAACAGTTTTTATTGTTGAATAAAAACAACTTTTCAAACACTTTAAAATATTATTTGCATCCTTCCACTTTTTTTTATTCTTGCATTTATGCACTGCATAGTGGGTCGTCCTATTATCTGTTAAAACAGGACAGAAGACTTTGGAACTTGTATATACTGGTTGGATAAATGAGTTCGCAGAGGTTAGCAATAATGCAGTCACAAACAAAATGGAAATATCGCATCCTAACCCAGTGACGGATCTACAATATTCTGATATTTAACCAATAAATAAAGAATTTTTAGTGTAAATATTCAGAATTTTTAAAATTATTCATTGTTTTTGAGTACAAAGTATAAATACAAATTATTTGTTTAATACAATTAACTTTTAAATTAAAATAATAATAATAATATTTGCCGTTTGTTTAATTACTTTTTCAAGACAAATATTTTTTTTCATCTTCCAGGGATGGGGGCACTCCTCTCCTGAATCCGCTAATGTCCTTACCAATTACCAATACATCACATCTGCATATAATGTGGTAGCCAGTTTTATTCTCAAGACTGCAGTATGCCTGAGTTAATCCCAGGTTAAAGAGGTTTTTATTAAGCCTTCAGTGACCCATATACCTTAAAAGTATTCCTTTTCACAAGTAGGATCATTACACTTCTCTTTGGACAGATTCATTCTGAGAACAACTTAAAAGTGTTTGTTTCCTTGTATTCCTTCAATAGAGCTTGGTCTGATTTTCTACATTTATCTTATTATGTCTTTTGGCATAGCTGAGGCTGATGTCACAATGGGCATCTGTTCTGAGATCTTCCTTGCAAGGCTATCTAGCCTTTTCATTTCCTGTTTCTGAGTATCCAGGAACCCACTTAACCCTCACATTGTTGGTTAAAGAAAATTTACTGGGAGAAAAGTAGAACAGCCATTAACACATAGATGACCAAACATTCCAAAGAGTACCTACTACAAATCCAAAAATATTTTTTTCAATTACTAGAGAGATAAAAATATTTCAAAGTCATATACACAGATGTCTCCAAAATGGAAAATAACGTTGGCTACGCTGGCTATGTTGATGAAAATCAATGCCAACTCCTGTTTAGCTTACCAGAAGAGACCCCCATTTTTACTGGAGAAGCTATTGCAATCATGAAAGCTCTACATTGGATATCGAATTCCAATGAGAATAAATGGATGGTAGCTGTATAATCAAAAAGTGTCGTGTCAGCAATTGGTATTCCATGGCGAAGCAATTCCCTCGTTAGGGATATATTGAACCTATGGTGGCAATTGAAAGAAAGAACTATCAGTGTGGTATTTGCCTGGATTCCATCCCATTGTGGTAGCTTAGGCAATGAAAGAGCAGATCAAGCTGCTAATTTAGCGAGGAAGGGAGAGGTACAACCAAGACTGCAATAAATTATATCACAATAGAAGATTAGATACATATGACAAAAACAAAATTATTGGAAGATTGGAAAATTAAAGAGTCTAAATTATTAGAAATAAAAACAGTGCAACAAATGGGATAAAAGCATGAGAAAATTCAGAAGACAAGAAACCATATTGTGCCAAATGTATTTGTTGCTGCCTATTCACGCACAGTTGCCTTATTAGAATCTGACAAAAACTAAAATTAGCAACAACAATGAAGAAAATATTGGTAAACAATGAAGATAGATTCACTACTCTGTTCAAATGCTTAGTAGAAACTAAATATTATAATCAAGCATAAAAACTTACCACCAATGACCCTTTAGGGTTGAGATGAATTACAAATAAAAAAAAAAGTATAAAAACTTATCATTCTATTTTTAGCATGGAAATAATATATAAATAATAACTCTATTTAAAATTATTTCATTATGTTTTTAGACTGTTACAGTTAATAATTAATGTGTGTACAATATTTCTGTTCTTTCATTAAACTAAATAAAAACAAAAATGATCACAAATTAATCAGAATTTTGTATTATATTGAAGACTTGGATGCACCGATTTTGAAAGGAGGTGCTACTATGGCGATACTGCTCCAGGGCGCTTCTTGTCTTGTTAGGCCATTTTATGTTTGGGTTTATATACAGCTTGAATTTACATAACAAAATATCAAGTGAATTTTATTATTTTCCTAAGCTGTTCCTGATCTTTTAATTGTATTTATTTATTTCATTTCAGTAGTGTGCTTAGATGATTTCGAAATTCTTTAGATTTGGTTTTGAAGCCTCATATATAGAATAAATGAACGTCTGAGATTTTTTATAATACAATAGCATCCTCCTCTAATCAAAAATGTGCATAATTTTCCTTTTTTTTTTGTTGTATTAATGTTATCATTAAATTTAAAAAAAAGGACCCCTTGCAGTGGGAATCTCTTAGTAAGTTATTATTTTTTATAAATATAATATAATTTCAATTTTAATGCAATGCAGTGGTCTTGATTCTTTTGTATTTCTTATACATAAATCTTGTTGCTTAATGTAAATTATTTATCTGGTTCGGTTCGGGTGTGTTTCTTACTCTACTTATTTCTTAAATTCAAAAGTGTAATTCTTAGTAATCGAAATCTGCTGGGTTTAAAAACCTTGGCGGGTAGTGAACTTCAAGAAAGAAGCCACTTCACTTCTCTGACAAATCGTAAGTAAGTTGCATGTCACATTATTTCTTTTAATTAATTCATCTTTTTTTTCCTTTTAATTGTTTTCTCTTTAATATTGTTTAAAAAATTCATATTGAAAAACTGCTTGGTTCTTCATTTGGTAATTACATTACTAATTTTATGTGTCATAATGAGTGGTGGCATTAGGGCTGGAATTGGAATCCCAGTTGCCCCGGGGAACCCTAGACCTAGAGGGGTGTCTGTTGGGGGCTCCGATCATGAGGGGCGCTTGCCACTTGTTAAGAATTAAAGAAAAATATATACAAGACATATTAAAATAATTAATTTTAGCCTATTAATAGTATAGAAATAGTGAATAAAAAAAATTAAATATTACATAATATAAAACTGCTTAAGAACTAAATTTAAGTTTTTTAGGGGGAACATGACGGCACTGCCTGGGTGCCCCAGATGTCTAAAGGCTGGCATTGGTCATAGTCTATGTAGCTCATCTAATTTTATATCTATTAATTAAAATAAAATAAATCGGGAACACTTCTTTAATAAAAAGAAAATATTTTAGTTAACGACCAATTTACAAATGATTACGGACCCTTATAATAAGATAGATTATATTTTGTTTCTAATTTTTAAACTCAGCAATACATGGTATAAAATATTAATAATATTAGAATATTAATATATAACAAATATAATTAAACTGAACATTAATAAAAATAAATTAATTTAAATTTAGAATAAAATGTGTAACTTGTGTATGTACATATTTACTTATATGAAAATAAAAGAAATTCACCTATTTGGGGTCAATTATCAGCAACATGGGGAGATTGAGAAGTAGGGAATAGAATATCCAAAGCCAATCAGGTATATTACCCTATCAGCAACACTATAGTAGGGCACAGGGAAGTTGGCGAGGAAACAAAAAGGCACATATACAAGTCGGTATACCTCCCAACTCTCACGTATGGAAGCGAAAGCTGGATTATGCTGGACAAGCAAGTTAGCCGTGTGACAGCAGCCGAGATGAAGTTTCTGCGGAGAGCTGCTGGAAAGACCAGGAGGACCGCGTTAGAAATGAATGCATAAGAGAGGACCTGGAGGTGGCGGAGCTAAAGAACATTACTAGAAAACCGACAGTTGAAGTGATTTGGCCACATTTGTCGGATGGAGGAAAGAGATCCACCAAAGATTCGGAAAGCTCGATCCGCTGGGAGGAGGTCGAGGGGCCGCCCCACAATTTCCTATCAGGAGTATATACAGCTGATTGGAGAGAAGAGAGGCAAAACCCTCCAGGAAATGAGGTGGCTTAGTAGGGACCGAGAGGCATGGCTGCATTGGATAGAGGCTCCTCGACGCTAGTAATGGCACAAAGAGGAAGAAAAAGAAAAAGAAATAAAATAACATGATAATAAAATATTTTTGATTCTTTTGTGAGTATATCGTTTAAATGAATATTTGTAGAAACTGCCTACTTCTTTTATTCAAGAATTTTTAGAGACTATTGGCTTCCTAAAATGTGAGGTAGTTTGTGTGAAGACAACTTTTTGTGTTGTGGGTAATTAAAAATCTCGGAGAATGCTAGTTATTTTTGTATAATGAGAATAGTTGTTAATGATCTTCATACATAAGTTCTGCCTTTCCTCAATTTTTTTTTAGTTAGTAGTTTGTGCTAGAATTACAGTTTTGTACAAGGAAGTTTGATTTTGGAAAAAATAAATTTACTTATTATTATCACTTCAACGATTCCTCAATATTAATGTCAAATTTTATGTTAACATAGTTGTTTATTTAATCCTGTAATAGTATCAAAGTTAAAATGAATTAAATACAAATTAAAAATTATGAAGCAAAAATTGAAAAAAAAAATTACTGAAAATAAATAAAAAAAAGCAATAATTAGCATTGTAAAGCTTCAAAATATAAAAATAACCGGCCTATTTTCATTGATAATTTAGAAATTATTAGGCAGCCTCTATGATAGATTTTTACTGATCTTCAGTATATTTATTTAAGAAGTATTTCATTCCAAATAAACAATCTAGTATGATTGAACAAAGACACAACCTGAAGCCCATTGGCAAACTATTGAGGTTCTTACTTCAATCACTTTTTTTTATCAAGAGTATATCCTATTATTAGAGTATAACCCTCCAGTAATAGGGTACAAATTGATACATCGCTGTTTTATTGTTAGTGAAAAATGTTGTATGTACAATTTTTCACAAACAGTAGCGATATATCAATTTGCTAGACATGATCTTTTTTTTATGTAAAGTAATTATTTCTTTTGAAATGAAGCACATAATTTAAATTATTAATTCTTTCCTACTTTTAAACATTTTATCTGATGAATTTTCAATCTATGAAAATTAATTTTTTTCAGCACATACTTTTATCAAAGAGAACATTCCGTATAGTAAATTGTAAAATGATTGCATTCATCAACGATTTTATAAAATAGAATCTATCTTTAAATATCATATAATACTATATAAATATTGAAAAATCAAAATTAAGAACATTAGACAAATTTATTGATAAAAAAAGAATCATTTGAGAACAATTCTATCTATTGTTTAGTATACATTATTATATTAAAAATATTTGAATTAAATTTAATATTGAAGAATAATAGGCAAGACTAGATTTTATAACTTTTTGAGTAATGAGTTGTTTATTATATTTCCAGATTGTTAGCTGTGTATCGTGGACACACAATAAATAACAGGTATGTTATATATTTTATTTTTATTAAATTTATTTTAAATATTTGTTAATTTGACAGACATGTGCTTTATTTTCTCTGTAGTAGAGGAGAGGTATCCATGAGTGATTCCTTCATATTGCATTTTTCTTGCTCTATTGTGAATTATTACTATCTCCAGAATATTGATTAAATTATTACAATATTTCATAATTTTTGAAATAATGACTTCATTTTTAGAGTATGATACAGATGATCGGTCAGAGCAAAGTTTACCAGAGTAATTTATACAGAATTATAATTGTATATATTATAAATGTTATTACTTCGTGTATATAGAATAATAAATATTTATATTTCATATTATTAATTCCTGATCAAAATTCGGCATGCCCCTTTCCTATACACATTCAAAAACCTCCTATTCCAATTCCTGTTCCAAACAGTCAGATACCAGCTAACTATTAATACTATATATGTATTGTGTAGCAATCATATAATCATATGATAATATTGGGTAAGAGATAGTACATGCATTTCATACTATCGACGTAGGAATTTCAATACATATTTTTTTTTTTTTACATTTTTTTTTTTTTCAATTAAACTAACTTTTTTTTAATATATATACAAGTAAAGTTTTTTATGAAATGAACTTATTCTATCTCTTTTTCGTTTTTCATTTCTCAAAGTGTATGTTTACGTTGTTCAACCCTTATATATAGCTTTGTTCATAGTTTCAAGTGATTCGTTCATAGTTTTAAGTGTTTTGTTAATAGTTTTAAATGCTCTGTACATAGTTTTATCTGTATTGTATATCTCTAAGACTGCTTGTTCACCTAAGGTTTTCTTTTCTTTTTAGTTTATCTTATCAATTTTATTTATTGTTTCAAACTTTTAGGCCAATAGTATTCTATTCTTTTGTACAATTTTGTTATTCTAAAGGGACTTAGTTCCAGAAAAAAGTTTTTTTTTTTCTATCTATCTATCTATAATTTCTGTTAGGAGCCGCGCAATTTCAGATGCTGTTAAGAAAGCTTTACCATGGCCTGGAAGGGTAAGAGAGCTTCATTTGCTGCTCTGTCAGCCATTTCGTTTCCTTTAACGCCTATATGGCCAGGCAACCAGACAAAGTGAGTCATTGTTCGAACTCCAGGAAGCATTTTTATAAGATTTAAAATGTTAAATTCTTGTATATTAGTGCTGATATAAAAATCAATTGAGATTACTTTGGGAATATCAATTCAAACAACAATTGGTAGTAAAAAACTATTTATTAATATTTATATTTGAGTATTACAATACTTTGTTGTGTCATAAAAATTTACACTTAACCGGTCATATTTGCACTTACTTATTTAAATATATAAATTACTTTTTGTACAGCCTTAGAATTCACAGAGCAAAGACTAACACAGAATTGCCCTTGGAGAGAGCGAGTGATTCGATACCATGTTAAAGTTATTTAGCGAGATTCAGTTATCTTGTCCTGCTAAAGTAAAGCCTTGTATTCATTTCATAATCAAAACATAATAACATGGTTCGAAATCCCTCAGCACTCTTTTAAAAAAATATATATTACACATTTCCTTAGTCTACCTCTCGCATAATATACAATAGAGCATCGAATATACAAAATACACATCTAAATAAGTATGCAAGTAAGTTACAGTAGGCAATGTTATTGCATGCCTTCTTTTTATCAGGAATAACCAAATTTCAGAATTTATATAAAATTTTTACAATGAAAATTTAGATAATTATTGTTTAAAATGCTGCTGAGCTGTAATAATTTGTATAGACGATGCATTACTGTTTCATGATTTTTTTTTTGGAATATATTTTTAAAAAATATTTCTCATTATTTTTATTTTAACAGTCTCTTATCGCACCGTGTATTCCACCTAAAAGATTCATTTTTACTCCACAGAGACTTAAAATTTGAGATGTATTATAAGTAGGAATTGTGGGCTTCTATTGCGTTGAGCCCTATTTAGCGGAGAAACCATCTCCCGTTGGGTCGAGGATCCATGGGTAGTTGTTGGGACATTCCATGCAAGTGAAGAGCCTGATGGTTTGTCCTGGCAGCTCCCTGGTGGTGAGTGGGCATGGGTTGGGCAGGGAGCACTCTGGTTGTCCCTTTACATCACACTTTTCCTTCCATTCCTGGAAGTCTCTCAAAGAGTTCAATTCTGTGGGGTTCTGCATCCACTGGATGACCTGTTAATATGATCAGTTATAAATTATAATGATTCAAGAAGTAAACGTGATAATACAAGTAAATGTGTAGTAAGAGTATATTAAAATATGATAATCAACTAGTGAAGGTATTACCAATAATCATTCCAACATCTTAGTCTTGGATGGTTATCAGGAGAGATTCTTAACTAGTGGGTTTGTGGGGGTCAAGAGTTTTTGTATAATGAAGGTATTTCTATTTTAGCCGTCTGCTCAAAATTATCAGGATAATTTCATTAGTTACATAAAAAGGAGTATTAAGAATTTTTCAGAGGACTTTAGGTTGTAAAGATTGGAAGCATAATTCCATATGACATACGGTTGATATAAATCAGATTGTTGCAGTAAATTAAAGGTTTGTGCATTTGTCAAGCCAATGTTATAATAGTCTACGTGCAGCTTCTTATTGTTTCATTCTTGTACAAGGATTTAGGATTCTTACCTTGAGTTTGTCAAGATAAAGTCTATGTAGATAACGTTGATAAATCTATTCAGCTGGGATAAGTGGGAAATTATTAAATTATGATATTGTGGATGTACAACTTATGGTAAAGATTATTTGATTGGATTCCTTGAGATTTATTTTAATTTTCCATTTTTTACACCATTCTTTAAGTGAACTGATGAGTGAGTTATGGATGCAGCAATTGGACCATTACCAGCAGTAGGACCTAGGATATTACCTTGAGGTACACCAAAGGACCGAGAAAAGAGAGTGAGTAGGCAAACTCATGATTAACTCTGAAGATTATGGCAGTGAGGTAGGGATAGGATATATGTAGCAGAGATTAATAGTCAGAGATTCCTACACAGTACATACTTTGATCCAGTGTGGTGCATTGTAAATATAACAAAGAAAAAATGATAATTACCTGAAGCATAGTTACGAAATAGACGTCATTCCTATCCAACATTTCTTCAATGAACTTGATGAGTTCGTCCTTGAATTCTTTCTTGCTCTTCAACCAGGAGGCGTGGAAGTGGAGACCCAATGGAGCCCTGTTGGTGCTGAAATGCCTGTTGAAATTGTGCCTCAGAAGACGAGCAAACTGATCACCAGTCTGGATGTTGGAGCAAGAGTCGACCATGTGACAACCTGGAAGAGATTCATCGAAGGTTGGATCGTCTCTCCTGTCGAGTTCGTTCATGACCATTTCCCAGATGGGGTGAGACCTTGATGGACAGTTCTGAGCGTTACCGTTACACTTGTGTGGCATTCTGAAGTACAAGGTGTACGGCCAAATTGGTACACGGCCGAGGGATGCTGTGATGGAAGCGTCGTAGACAAAGTATTGATCGGCCATCATATCGAACTGCTTGTTTCCACCCACACGGAGGTATGGAGCTCTGACTCCGATGATGGAACCATCGGTGATGTTGGCGAACCTTTCAACGATCAACCTGGCACCGGCCATTTCAGCGAGCCAGTCGTCGTAGGAACCTCCGGTCCAGTATTTGGGTTCGTCCTTATGGGTCAGAGAGAAAACGGCGATTTCGTTTCCTCTTCTGTGCAATTCTTGTATGGCAGCGTAGTTGGAGTACTTGTGGGACACGAAGAAAGTTCCCTTGATCTGGCAGCCGTTGGGGTTCTGTCTCTGGCCATTGAAGATTTCGTCGTACAAGTCGATGTTATCGACGTTGACGGCTCCGTTGAAGGTGATTGTGATCATCTGTGGGACCTGGAACAAGAAATTTTATAATTTTTACTAAGGAAGGCATTAGACATCGAAATATGGCAAAATCAACATATACACACTATTAAACCTAAATACTTATCTAAAAAAAATAATGAATTCGGGCATAAATGCACATTAATCTTTAACTAAATATTCCTTCTCGAAATGTTTCTCAATTTGATTTCCAATTTAAAGCGATATTATAATTTTTTTTTTGTAATTTAAAAAAAATTAACAGAATATTTTTTGGGTGTCCTATTATCTACTATATAAAGATTGAGATATTAAATTTTGATAACTTAAGATACATTTTAACATTTCACAAACTATCGGAAACAAGAATATGTAAATCGTCTTGGCTAGTGTTCTTTTCCTATTTGTGCTTGTTATAAATGGCACATTTATATATACATCCGCACGATAACTGCTTACGGAAACTGGTCAATCAATATACCATGATATGAAGGCACGTAGGTTAAGATGGGAGGGGTAGGTAGCTCGTAACAATCCATCTGGAAACCTCTACTTAACAATAGACGGCAAAATACCTCATGGAAGGCCAAAAAGCAGATGGATAGATAGAACCATTAAAGATGCAATAGAGCAATGAACCATTATTATTTTCTTGCAACAATAACTGTCCAAACGGAATTATCAACTTTTTAGTGTTGTTAATATTTTTTGTCGTGGAATATCATGAACTGGATGGATGATTCCTTACCTGGTTTGGTTCAACTGCTCCTGGGATTTTAGTTCCATCAGCAGAGCAGAAACAGTCTGGGAGAAGACATTGGGTCAAATCACAATCTGGTGCTCTGTTGGGATCCAATTCGACGGCTGCAAGAAAGCAAGAATCATATTATATATATAGTGCACACGTATATAATAACTCGCAAAATTGTTTCAGAATCTTGAAATTTAGAATGAATTTATTATACAGAGTTGATGAAAAAATAACGGGGGTTTTCCTCTTTGCTATGTTTTAAAACCAATTATGTATATGAATAAATAAACAAAATAAAATGATTAATGAAGTATGCAACCAGGAGAAGATTAACGCGTTCTCGTTGCTTCAGAAAATGACTCCATGTAAATCTAAAAAGGCGATGGTTGGCCTTACTTATGTTTTTTAAATAGGAACATTAAATATGTACATTCGCAAAGATAATTAGGAGACTGCCAGCACCTAACTCTTGACTGTCATGTCTTCTAGCTCATACTAGTGTTTCCAACTTCAAATCTATATCTTTTCGTTTATTTTCTTACACAGTTGTTCCTAGATAAAAATATTTAGCTTAAAATATGTTTCATTATTTTTATTTTCATGTTTAAAAAGTAAAGCTAAGAGAGGTTTGACAGTTTTGTTGTTGGCAGCCTACACCTCAAGTCCCCACCAAACATCCTAGAAGCACAATTATTTAAAGTTTTTACCTTTACGAAATATGAATCTTTATTTATTAGTTTAAAAGTGTAGTCGCAATCTTATACTCGTTCTTTATTACTTGAACTCTAATACAATTTTAATTTATGTCCTTTTTTTCCTCTTGCAAGAATCTAATTTATGACAAAAATTTTATATGAAGAGTTCAAATCCCGTTCGTGGGAATTAATATCACTAAAAATAAAATCTATCTTTATAATATAATACAATATTTTTTCGGCATAAAGATCCCTTTTTCGGATCTCAGGAGCGATGTATTTTGAAGAATGAGGTATCAAACGAAAGGGTATTAAATGGAGCAGTGACGAATCATAGTAGCATCCACCTTAAACTTAAGGAAAAATTTATGAATGAAAATAAACTTTAATTAAGAATTACTTAAAAAGTATACATTTTTTTCTTTAGACCCATGCTTATTTGAAAATTTACTAAATTCCCTTCAAAACGAAAAAAAGTTTATCAAAATGGGGCCATTATTCACAAAGATACAGCCTATTGTAATTAACAAATGTTTGGGATTATTAGTTTGAATGAACTAATGTGATTCCACTGATAAAAAGACAATTAGTTTTTCTTTCTCATAATAGATATCATTCACTTATTTTTATATTATACTTTTAGTTGTTCACTAACCTCCGCATTATTCGCAAGGGCTAAATAGCGACTAATAATAAATTAAAATTAATAAGTGCGGGTCCGAATGGACTGCTTAGACGTTCGATTCCCGCATGGAGACAGTAACGTTCCCACTAAGAGATTCATAGGGAGTTGAGCGACCCCTGTGTCTTTCGCCATAGCTCCTGGTCCTCCAGGTTGGGGATTGGGTACAGGGTTGGTAATCCGCTAACCCATAAAACACTGGGTGGAAGATTGACAGTCGTCAGGAAAGTGTCTGATGAAGAGGGAGTGAATTGTGATCGCCTCCGGTTAGTTAACCTGCTTCCTGGATATCTCGAAGAAGAGATATCTATACGATCACTTCTGTCGTCTATGATACCCCATAAATCTGCTAAAGAAGACTCGTAAGAAAAAATAAATAAAATTTATGGCATCAAGAATAGAAGCCAATGTGCATTTTTGAAATAAAGATTTGATAATTCAGTAACTATCAAAACCCAGCATTGTTTTTACATCAACCCAATATATATATTTTTTCTGGAATACTTACTACATGCGTTTTCATCGGATTCGTCCTTGCAGTCTGGCTTGTCATTACAAAAGAGATCCTTGTCGATGCACTCTCCGTTTCCACAAGAGAGTTTACCTTCTGGGCAGACTGGTTCGTCTGTCTTCAAGATTGGCATGACCTTTCTCGGTTCTGAGTAAAAGCCATAATATGTTTAAATATTTAAATTATATACATATATCTTAAAAAAAAAAGGAACTAAAAATTATATTTCAGTGCTTCGTTTGTGTGACCAACTTTTCGTAAATATATATATTTTAAAACCTATTTTATTGACAGTTATCTAAAAAGAATTGTCGCTTTCTGTTTATTGTATTTATTCTTTATTGTTGGAAGTAATGAAGGAAATGAAAGGGAAAAAAATTATGATATTAAAAACACATGAAGAAGAAATAAGCATTATTCAAGAGAGAGTCGCACACAGAGGTGTTATTTTGTAGAGATGAAAATTATAAAAGTGAAAATAGAGGAAAGATGTGTATGTAATAGTGAACCTCTCTCCATCCTTCAAGAGAAGCTGTAATTATATGTTAAAGAAAATCTTTGCTTGTGGCGCACACACATAGAAACACATTCCGGGCGTTATATACCCTTCATGCTTGTTACTTTGATGAACACATATATAGAAAAAAAAAAAGAAGGTCTTTTCAGCAATTGTTAATAACATAGAACTATTAGCTGGAATGTTTCTTAACTCTTTTACTAAGCTACCTCTTTGGATTATGTATCGATTAACTAATCATTACTGAATGACATTCCAGCTAAGAGCTATGAAGGAGAAACATGTTACTTCAGAGAAGAAGGTAACACATAACATATAAGAAAGACACAATAAGGATTGCTGTATCTACGGAATATATGGAAAAATAATTTAATTTAATTTAATAAAGTTTAAAACCATTGATTTCATATTAATATAAGATTTTTTTTTTCATAAATTCCGTATAAAAATATACATATAAAAAGGGTTGTAAATATTAGTTTGTTACATAAAAAAAATTAAAAGAATAGATACCACACAACGGACAATAAGAATTTATTTATTTAAAATTTAAATGATATATTTTGAAATTGCATTTCATATTGTCCTTAATGTGGCATTTCCCTTAAAACCAGAAGGTATTTAAGGTACAAGAAAAGGTAAAGTAATGCAGTAAAGAAGAAAACATGCAGATTGAATCGATTTAAAGAGACCAATTTTAAACACAATCATGCAACACACATGCGATAACTGTTACGTATTAGTAAAACACAAATGAGATGAGAGAAATTAATCAAAGTACTACTAGCAGAAGCAACACAAAAAGAAGCCGAGGACATAGAAGATGCTAAGGATATGAGGAGATGAGGAATGTAAGAGGCTTGTCTACTAGTACATGCTATTCGCTTCGAAAGAAGCTGCTACTAATTCGTCGTAACTGCTACTGTCACGGCGACTGTTAAAGCCAACATTACTAAGTTACTGTTAACACGCACAGAGGGCTTCGCTCTTGTACACCAAAAATTCAGAACATTTGTTGTTTTTTTTATTTTATTATTAATTCGGTTTAAAGATTAGTGTCTTGTTTTCAGTTGTTTACACAGAGTATTGTCTGATTTATCATTCTCGGGTTCGAATCCATCCTGGGCAAATTGAAATTCCTCACGAAATAAATCACGTAAAGGAAAAAATGATGAAATTATTTTTGATGTCCCAAAAAAAAAGAAGAAAAATAACTTGTGTGAGAGGTTTCTTTTGTAAGAGAGGCTCGGTTTGGTTATATTTTTAAGGACCGTTAAAAACAAAAAGAAATATTTCAAATTAAAAAAAATTCCTTAAGTTTATAAATTTCTATCATAATTTGAATACTTTCTCAATTAAATAGAAATATAATACAAAGCACTCCCGAAAACATTTTTATTTATCTTTTATGTTTAGGATCCTTAATTTATATATATATATTTTTAATTCCTTAATGAAAGTGTAAGTGGGTTAGGTTTTTTTAAATGTTATAATTCAATAAAAAAAGTGTATTATCTACGTGGGCCCCATCGTTAAATCGGATCCTTGGGAGGCCAATGCATTTTTTTTAATCGTTTTTGGCAGTTAATACAATTATTTGAAATTAAATTACTTCTTATTATTTTTCAATTTTTAACATGATTACTTTTTGATTTAAACTATTGGTCGTAACTAAAGAAGCAACCACATCAACACGGCCATTATGATAAGTTCACTAAAAGAGGAAAAAAAAAGTAATTTATTGATAAAAATATTGTTATACAATTATATTTTTCTTATATTTTATTGAGAATTTTAAAAAGGACGGAATTATTTGATTCTGAAAATATGGTGTACATAGCACATAATACCTGATGTACCTTTGTTTAAATTTTTTTGTTTATTTATACATTTTGGAATATTTTACGTTTAAGAAACAGTGCAATTTCAATAAACCTGCTTTGCTTTGGATAAGCGTATAGAGGTGTTTTATAATGATCAGTATATATATATATATATATATATATATATATACAATAAATAAGTTGTGAGTCGCGGTTTGAGTACTACTAAATAGATAGTATGAGCACTACGGTGTGTTGGATTTATCTCAAGAAGCTGTTAACTAAGGACCTTACCCTAACAAAGCCCACCAATTATCTGTCAAGAGAATATTTTGTAAGTCCAGATTTTGTATAAAAATCTTATAAATAATTATGTGAAGCCAAAAGCTTGATATTGTTATTTTAATATCTTTTTTTTTTTTTTTTTGCAAGGATATAGGATAGTTTGATATTGTGCAAAGTGAAAATGGTACAGGTACTTGGTACATCTTGCAATATGTGCAATCAAGCGTGCTCATGTGCGTGTTTTTTGTTTTAAATTAATATACGTTTCCCCAAAATCATTTTCAAAAAATCTGTCTTTCTCCAGAGTTTCTGTTGAAGATTTTGATTTCTCTTTCTCATGGCCTAGTCACTTACTGTCGAGTCGATCGCAGTTGGTCACTTTACCCTTCCAATCGCATGTTTGCTTTTCAATGTCGAAAGCCAATCCTGACGGGCAACTGATTTGTTTCATGCCCGCTTTGGTACACCTGAGAGACAGAGTTCAAAAAGGTGTTCTTATGAATAAGAAAAATATAATAATAAAATAGCATGAAGCGGCATAGAGCAGAAAGGCTCTCTTATAATAAATAAAATAAAAAATTACTCAACCGTAAAATTTTCCATTTATAATTTCAAAAAGTTATACTCTGATACTATGGAAGATTCAGAAAATCAAAATATTTGTAAACGGGATCATAGTGACTTAACTAAAAACAAATGATTCTGTGCCACATTTATTTATTTTTTTGTCAGAATCATTATTTTCGAAATGTGATATCTAATATCGAATAAAGAAATTTCGGCATTGGTAGCTGGTATTCATGTTTTACAATATTAGCATAATAATAATAGTGTAGAACATTCAAGTCACTCAAATAATATTCAATAATTAGGCACAAATTCACTCATCATCAGAATCACATTTCCCACAAATAAATTCACATTCCTTCTCCCCCAAAAAAATCAGAAAAATAATCAAATAGAATTTATGTGATTCATTTATTTCAAAAGTGATGAACTCTTTTCACTTTTTATGGAAATTGAGTTGCTAATCCAACGATTCCCTTTTTTTTCGATTTCGAGCTTATTTTTGGTGATTTTTTAAAATAATGTTATTGTTATATTAATAAAACCATATATTTGATCACTATAGTCTTGCTTTATTTGTTTTTTTACATTAACGTTTCAGCCATTAGGCCATTATCAGGTGGGAAACGTTTAACAGATAAAACAATCATCACAGCCTAAATACATTTGTTAATTAATTATTTTAATTTAATACTCCATTTTAATAATTAAAAATCATTATATACTGAATTTCCCTTGTCAACTCCATTTAACTGGTCAAACACTAAAACCTTCCTATATAAGATTATGTTTATTTCAAAACCATCTTTATGTAAAGCTAAACTATTTAATAAATATCACATTAAAATAGAATACATTCACAGCCCTATTATCAATTCATTTTTTTAAAATTTAATTTTAATGTAATATTTATTAACTAGTTTAGCAATACATAATAAATAAACATTACCTTTTTAAATAAACATAACCTTATAGAGGAAGTTTTTAGTGTTTGACAAGTTAAATGAGGTTGACCAACTAAATTCAGTCCATGATGATACTTAATTATTGAAATAGAGCATTAAACGAAAATATATTTTTTTTTAAACTTCATTTATTCACCAAAACCTGTCATAAGCAATGACAGTTAGCGGGTCTGCTGTCGGTAAGTGTACAGGTAGTGGCTTGATCGGCGTGATGAAGAGGAGTGCCCAGCGGCATCCCTCCCTGTATTGATTTTAGCATATTTTGAGCGAGGGAATCCATCCAGCTCCTTTTGAGCCTCCTAAGTGTGTTTTCGGTCATGTTAAATGTAGCCATACTTTGTGTAAGTGTGTTACTATGTCCATGTAAGTTATTGTGAAATCGCTTGTGGTGTGTCCGTATTTGATCGTTAACTGTTGGCATTTGAAGGTCTTTATGTAATGTAATGTTTGTGACGTACCATGGAGCTTTGGTTATGTTTCGGAAAGTTTTAGACTGAAAGGTTATAGTTTTCGTATGTGGGTCGTTTTGGCTGTCCCGTAAATTTGTGAAGCGTAGGTCCATATGGGCTTAAGTAGATAATTGTAAGTGTTCAGTTTTTGTTTTAAGTTTAATTTTGAACGTCTAGAGAGAAGTGAGTATAACAGTCGTAGTCTGTGGTTTAAAGTTTTTCTTTTTTTGTTGATATGTGGACCCCATGCACTAGCGGATCCAGGATTTTGGGGGGGAGGGCTTCAGCCCGAAAGATTTTTTTTTCATATATATAACGATAATTAATTTGAAAAAAAAAGATATTAACTACCTATATGAAATGGTGTTTAAGTGATTCTTGAAGTCCTAATTAATGTAATTACACGAACAATAATACTTTAAGAGATAATTTTTAATATTTTTTTCTATAAAACATGGTTATATTTTACCGTTTTTGGAGGAGCTTCAACCAGAAAGACTCCCCGTAAATCCGCCTGTGACCCCATGTCATTCTTCTGTCGATTGTCAGTCCAAGATATTGTATTTTTTCTTTTTGAGGAATTTCGGCATTGTCAAGGTAAATAGGAGGGTATGTTCCATGTGGAAGAGTGAAAGTGATTTGTCTTTGTTGAGTCGAATTTTCCAGAGTTTGCACCAATCGTTTAGTTTTGTTAATGTTGTAAAGTCTGTGAGGCGTGTGTTGGGTTTTTATGTCTTGTTAGAATAGCTGTATCGTCTGCGTAAGTCGCTATAATAGTTAGGAATGTAATTAGGCTGTGATGATTTTTTTATTTGTTAAAGGTTTCTTCCCTTGATAATGGCCTAAGGGGCCTTGTAAAAAAACAAACAAATAAAGTAGGACTAAAGTGATAAAATATGTGGTTTTATTATTAAAATTAAGATGAAGTCCTAACCTACAAATTTGAATACATATAAATAATATTTTTTTTTAATGGTTACAACATGGAAAATCTGACGGATGATGTCACTATTACCAATACTACGCTTATTTTTTAAATTTATTTTATTTTCCCGTATTTAACATATATTTTATTTATTAATGTATTTCTATTTTGTAGAAAGCTGCTCTGCTCGATGCCGCCCCATCGCCTTACTACTTACTTTCTAATTCGTTACAATTCTTTACATTTGATTTCCAATCGCAGGTCTGCCGGTCTATGTCAAATGCCAATCCGTTGGGACATCGGACCCCGGCCAGCCTCGTCTTCCCGTTTTCTGCACCCTTATCGCACCTGGAGCAAGTCACACACACACATGTACGCATCCACATATTCGCCCAAGAGGGGATTATCTCGTGGAGGTGGGATAAGGTGGAGGTTTCGGTTATAAGGGGTTTGAACAATAGATATTTTCGCGTCAATATGTACCATATTTCTTTAATAAATGAACATGAATAAAAAAACCAAAAAAAAAAAAAAAAACATACATATTGTTCATTAAATTTTCACGTAAGAATTATCCCAACGAAAGAATGACAGTACCTAGATATTCGCGTGACAAAAGTTCTACATCAGGGGAAAATTTCAATTAATTAGGACTTAGTATAAAATATTTCAATGAGAATTCACCTTTGGATTATATACTAAATTGGTAGCAGAAATAACTAATAATAAATAATAATATATTTTATAATTAGTCGTTATAATAGTCTTCGAGCATTAGTTCATTAATTAATTTTCATTCTTGTTCTTCTGAGACACTATTAAAAAAAAAAAGGAACAAGTACAAAGGAGGTACGGAAGATAAAAATGTTTGGCTCTACCCATCCGATCGCCGTCAGTACTTCCTAGCCACCTTTCTGTACCAAATCATTAGAACTCATCGATACTCCAAATATTCCATCCAATCTCGTCCCACTAGATCTCGTACTTCCGACCTCTATCCTCATCCTCACCGAACTGCTGCGTTTGACAAATCCTTTGCAATACAAGCCGCCTCCCTCCGGAATTCCATCCCTGCTGATATTCGACACGCTCAATCAGTTTCTTCTTTCAAACCTCTCCTCTTTAAACACCTACTCCTTTCTCAATCCGACTGATTACGAAATATATCTAAGAGAGATATCTAAGCACCCCCAGAGACTACCTCAATTTATTTAGGTTATTTTAGTTTCTCATATATATGTACAATTTTCATGTTCTTTCCTTTCTCTTCTTCAGTATTTTTATTTTTAGTCAGCTCTTATTGTAAATATATATCTAATTGTAACCACACAGACATAAAATCTGTATTTATAATTTGTTCTAAAGGGACAACAGTCCCAGAATATTATAATATATTTTTTCATTTCATTTCATCAATGTTTTTTTATTCTATAACGAGTACACCAGATCAGGATTTGAGTAGTTTTTTTTTATCTTGGAAACCACTTGTATATCATTGGTTGACTTAACCAGCCATCTTCTCTCTATTTTGTTATTGTTTGTGCCTGTTTATTTTGATGTTTGGCAGCATTTTCGTTCATTCTATCCATTCATCTAAGTTTTGGCATTCATTATGGCCTATTACTGTGGAGAGCCTATCTGGATTGTTGGATACTAGTTATATGCATCGCTTATCTTTATCTGCTTCCATTCATGTCAGCATAGACTGATTAGATTCTGTTAAAAGTCTGAGAACTTTTCTCTCAAATCTTTCAAATCATCTTTCTAGAGAGCATATTAGTGTCCAAGTCTTGCAGCTGTATAGCAGCAGTCTTTATTAATACCCTTTAGTTCCTTATTTGAGATATTTCGGGAATGTAGTATCATTAGAATTGAGGATAAAGTTGTATTTGGGTTTGTTATATCCTTAATATCAGATAGTTGGTTATTTATTGAGATTATAACTGAGGTATTTGAACCTCTCACTCTCTCTCTCTCTCTCTCTCTCTCTCTCTCTCTCTCTCTCTATATATATATATATATATATATATATATATATAGCTTTATCCATCTTTTACCATCAGGTCGATACCAAATTCAGCTGCTGACAGAAGTATGGGTTCAAGTTATTTACAGCGATGCTCTATATTTAAATAATAATTTTAATTTGTGAATTTTATGTTGAAATTTTATTTTAACTTATTATTTGCTCAAAGACTTTTTAGCGACATAGTATATGGAATCCTTAAACTTCTGACCATGACCAAAACCTAGTTTTGTTATAAACAATTTTTTCCTCCTCTCCTATTCGGCTGATAATACATTAAATTTAGAATTATCTAAATTTTCTTACTTAAATTTCCTACAGCCTTATACTACGACTCAACATCTATTATATATAGAGAGATAAAAAAATACGATGTAAGGGATTAAAAGATATGAGCGCCTTCATATTTTCTGCTTACTAGACCCGCCGTGAAGTTGAGAGTTCTGGAATTGCATACACAAAATCCTGCTCATCAAACATTACACACATCTATTAAATATTTTCATGCACTTATCTATATTTTATAAATATATTTAAAATATTTTTGATGTATTTAAAAGAAATAGTTCAAGTTAAAAAAAATAGTAAAATATTTATAGAAATATAATAAATAATAAAGTTTAAATTATACTTAATTTTTTACTAATTTAATCTTATGAATATTGAATTATATTTTTCTGTTGTTTGAACTGTATTATCTATTTTAATTTTAGTTTTTTTTCACTCATAGAAACAATTAATAATAGACTCAATAAATAAATGAATAATTGAAGTTATTAATATTTAATATCTATATTAATATTTAATATTGAACTTTTCCTGTAAATGAGACTTAATGTGATTACAGTAAAATTTTACTGTACTTAAAATCCCGCCAAGTGTTACCTTACGACGTCTCTGCAATCTCCTGTTACCGTCAGCCTGAAATATTCATCTGGGGGCCTATCCTTACATAGTTCGTCAACTGACTGTTCTTCTTCCTCACCTTCATCGTCTTGTCTCTTAACTCGGATTGCTTCAGCAACTACAAAAGAAAATAATAATTGTATTATTTACAAATATATTTAAAGTAGGGTGATTTTAAGGAAACTAACCTCTCAATCTAGAACACTGGTTCAATCCATGTTCATTTTTGCGAAATAAGAATAGTAAATTTAATAATGTTCAAAGTTTTATTTCCTCGAACGGATATAATGAAAAAATGAAAGTAGATTTTTATTATCCTGGAACTGTTGTCGCTTTAGCACAAATTATAGATACAGAGGAAATGCCTGTGTGGCCGTAAAATTAAATTTACAACTCTCATTAAAATTAAAATATTGGAAGAAAATTAAAATAAAAACACTAAATATATACAGATATATGTATAATACAAACATATGAAAATAAAATAAAATATCTATCTACGTTAAAAAAATTAAGGAAAATGTGTGGAACATGTGGCAAAACAAATGGGAACAAGGAGAATCAAAACTAAAAGAAATTAAACCCCACTGTTTAAAATGGGAAACCTCGCACCGACCATCTCGAAAAGAGGAGACATCCCTTTGCAGACTGCGAATTGGACATTGTGAGTTCTCGCACTCCTACCTACTAACAGGACTTGATCCTCCGAACTGCGAGAACTGCAATGTCCAAAGGACAGTAAAGCAAATTATTCAAGACTGCCCTTCATTTGAACCTACAAGAAAAAAGTTAGACATGGCACATAGTCTAAAACAAAATCTACAAGACAGTGAAAGTGCAGTCAAAAAAACTTTAAGGTTTTTAAAAGAGATAAAACTCTACAACAGAGTGTAATTTAAAGGCGTTGCCAATGACCCTACAAGGTAGAGGCAACAAAATATCAAATAAATAAATAAATAAAATAATATAAACAAAATCAATTCTGGAGGAACTTAAAAAGTTCTCTTATTTACTTTTCTTGATCAGACGGGTTGGGAAAGAAGTAGGTGCTTGAAAAGAAGAGATTTAAATGAGGAAACTGATTGCAGCATGGAGACGGCTTGAATTATAAAGGATTTGTCAAACGCAGCAGTTCGATGAGGAGGTGGGCAGAGGTCAGAAGTACGGGATCTAGTGGGACGGGATTGAATGGAATATTTAAATTGTAAGCTGTGAAAAATATAGGAAGGTCGCTGCGTTCTGATGGCTTGGTATAGAAAGGTAGCAAGAAAGTACAGACGGCGGTTGGATGGATAGAGCCACTTCGACTTGGTGTAATACTGGGTAATGTGCGTATCCGTTGAGATTCTGAAGACAAAACGTAATGCGCAGTTCATTAGGCGTTTTAGTTTGGCTTCGAATTCTCCCAAGAGTCCGCCGTACACCAGACAGCCATAGTCGAAGTGGGGGAACACAAGGGAGGAAACCTTATGTACATTATGTTGGACTTATATTGTTTAGAAGGATGACCTGGGGGCCACATTTAAAAATTAAAATAATGACTTTTCAATAAACGACTGAAATTACTGTACATCCTTTTCCCTATTCACCAAAACAGAAAATTAGGCAGAAACTAAATTCATATACTCAGTAATTAAAATATTTTCAATCCAAAATTTTAAGATTAATGGGAGACGCTCTCTGGTGTGCACAGGCGGATCTACGGGGGTGGGGGGTTCCGGCTGAAGACCCCCAAAATATTGCATCCATGAAAATACTATTAACAAACTATTTATAAAGCGTATTATGACAAAAAAAAATCGTTTAAGAAATTAGTTTTGTCTTCGCGAAGTAGAAAATGTCTATATATGTCAGAACCTTGTGGGAGGCGTGACGCAAGCTATTGTAACATACCAACTGCTGCGAAAGGTGACTCCGACACTGACAGTTAAGGGAATAAGGAATTTCTTGGAGCTTTTTCACCTGGAAAGGAATAAGGAACGCGGCAGGATCCCAACAGGATATCAACTGGAACGTTATCTTGCTTTGGTTTTATCGTCTCGCTATAAAGTTACATTAGGAATATTATTTTTATAATCCACTTAATTAAAAGGAAAGTAAATATATTTTCTTTTTATATAAAAATGTATTTGAGTTTTTTAAATCATATTTTCTCATTGGGTTATTTTTTTAAGTAAATAAATTAATATGATTATTATGGAATGTTCGTAATGCAAATCGATATATTTTTTCTCTCGATTTCTTTATCCACAACTGTCACACATATAAGTGACAATTAGCCAATGATATGAAGAATTATTACTTTGGCATTACAGGTTTAAAAATGATAGTACCCAGTAGCATTGATCAAGTCTAACGATTCATTAAAGGAGGTCTCTTATCCAGCTTCTTTTCAATCCCCTTCTAATAGGCATGTTGTTATATCCGTGAAGTTTATTATGAGAACATGAATAAAGAGTACAAGCATATATTTTCATCGATAGTTTTAGTATGCCTAAATAGAATTCTGTTAATTATGAGAAAGCGTCTGATATTAATCTTAAAATGTTTTGATTTTTGTAATCTTTTTTTGTTACATCATAAATCAGTGTGATGGGTCTCTATATGGGCTTAAATAGGTATGTTAATGTATTTTGTGAGGAAAATGGGAGTACAGTCATTTCTATTTTATTTTTTATATGTATTTCTTTTTATTTTAAGTTTCATTGTGTACAAATCGATAAATAGATCTAATATCTGAGGATATTAAAAGAGGTAATGATTTGTTTATTTATCATTTCAAAGTTTGTTTATTTATCATTTCATTAATTCTATTATACAATCATACATTCTATTATAGTTCGATGAAGACATTGCCACGGCTTTTTCGTTTTGTTATGTTCGAAAGTACACATTTCTAAAGTTCAAGGCTTCGAAATCGAGATGTCTTTAAGTGGTAAAAGGTTCTTTTCACAGCTCTCTTATCCGTTTCAAATGTAAAAAAAAAGAATCATGAAAGGGAAACTCCTACGGGTGAGAACGTTCCGTCAGTGAACGCTTGTAAAACGAAATGTCTGGTTTTCTACCTCTCTGGCTTTCTCGCTTTCACTAAATGTTATCCTTGATTTCACAGAGAACAATTGTTATATTTTTATAGATCAAATATACAGGATGTTTCAGGGTTAAGTGGCCAATCTAAAAATATTTATTGAGGATCTCAAAACAAGAAAAAAATTTCCTATGAATGTATGTCCTTAATCGCTTTGTTTAGAAGATATTCACACATAAATCTTTTAATTGTTATCAATTATTTACGTTATATTAAGTAAATAAAACTTATTTATTTGTTCCAACAACTTTATTAATTTAACGTAAACATTAAATTCATATTAAATTGTGTTCAAAGTGATTTCCTTGGAAATTAAGACAGGCTCGGCAATTTTCTTCAATAGCAGCAGTGGCAGAACGGCACTGGATATGTGTTACTGTTTCACCAGATTCAATTATCCTTCTTCGTAAGGAATTAAGGTCATTGACCAGACTTGAATGTTTAATGTCAAGCCAAACAAAAAAAAATGCAGTGGTGTCAGGTCTGGAGAGCGTGCAGGCCAAGCAACTTGTCCTGCACGGCCAATCCATTGATTGGAATAATTAACATTTAGCAATTGCGGACATACCTTCACTTTGAACAACATTTAATATGAATATTAATGTTTACATTTAATTAATAATGTAGTTAGAACAAAGAAAAAGGTTTTATTTATTTCATGTGACGTAAATAATTCATAACAACGAAAATCTTTAGGTGTGAATATCTCCTAAACAAAGCGTTTGCGGACATACCTTCAGAGGAAATTTTTTTCTTGTTTTGAGGTGATTACTTCATTTTTGCAGTTTGGCCACTTAACACTGAAATACTCTGTCTACATAGGCATAATTAAACGATAAGTATACATTAGGTTTATGTTGTGTATTCCGTACTTTGAAAATATTAATACAAATCTAAAAGCTTCATTAGAACAGTAGAAGTTATACCAAAACTTAGGTAGTTGTTCAATTTACAAGCCGACTCAATTTTTGATAGAACATGTGGAAGTCAAAAGCTATTTTCCAGATTCCTACTAATTGACAACAGTGAACAAGCATATGCCCATATGCAATATTAAAAATTATATATATATATATATATATATATATATATATATATATATATATATATATATATATATTACAACATGAGCTCAGTCAAATGCTTGCACAACCGTTGATTAAGAAACAGTACTTTCTTGCAAAATATTGAACCCTAGATCCTCCATGGGATGTAGTGGTGACATATTATGTATCATTGTGCTGAATATGATAGTTACAGGCAGAAACTCATCTCTGCAATCCTCTTCAACGGAGACCAATGACCGCCTTCAAATGAAGAACTGGTCGATAAATACTAGCTCTCAAAATGCGATATATTTTATTTATTATATATATATATATATATATATATATATATATATATATATATATATATATATATATATATATATAAATTCTTTGGATATTATTTTATGTATATTTTTTTAAATATTTACATTCCTACTTTCTTAATATAAACTGATAAAATTAATATGCATATCGTTTAAATGTTACTTTAGTACATGCCATATAGTGAGATGTTACGCTTTGAAATTCATATACCCATTTTAATAAAGAAAAACATTTTTTTATTTGTTGGGTTGGAAATTTTTTTTTTCAGTTTGAGAAAAAATTTGTATTCTTACAATTAAAAAAAAAGAAGGGTAAAAACGTACTTTAACCAAAAATTTCTTGAATATTTTATATTATTATTACGTAATGAAATCAGTAATTACAATATGATATTGGTAAGTGTATTTCCAAAATTTAAATTTTACAGCAAGGACATAACGATCCATGATGTGGATTTCGTTAAACTTATTTTTTCTGAGCTTATTGGCCCATTTGACATGAAACTTTTTCAGGCCATTTGTATGCAAAGGTCGCCTAAATGTCACAAGTAGGTCCACTTTCGGAGTCGACATGTTTCGAATTTTGTCGAAATTGAATCGGTTATCATGAATTTAATTAGTAAAAATAATATTGCCAAATTTAATTAATTAGTTATCCTTTATTTTGAATTCATTTTTTAAAAAAAATCTGAAAAAATGTTTACTTTTAATTTTTATTAAATATTTATTAAATTTCCTATACATGCACGTTTTTCTCCCTTCCAATTTAGTTTAAAATATTACTTTATTCACATTTTTTTTTTCGTTATTTGTTTAACTATACGTGCCAATTTAATGTATTTCTAAGTTTACTAAAATATTCTGTATAAATAATTGTGTGTGTTTTTTTTGTTGTACTTATGGCCAATTGATAAATAAACGTGTTCAGCCGTGGTACTCCATTTATGATGACAACGGAGACAATTCTTCAAATGAGAACTTATCATGAGTCACGTCATATAAATCTTAAGGAATTAGTAACAATAATTAAATCGCACATTATAATTAAATTTGTGTTCCTCGAAGAAGTTCTGTAAATGAGCTTAGCTACAGAAACATGCATTTAAAATTTAAATTTTGCCAATTATGAAATTCGTCTGAAATGGGGGTTCGCATATTCAGGTTCGACTACACCCAGGAAGAGTTATATCACAAACAGGTTGTCCAACATGTTTTAGAAAGGCGCATGACAATTAATCGCTCCTTAGATTTTATAATCTAGTTATTGTCTGGAAATTCGGGGCTTCAGGTCCTACGGCTATTCGCCTGTTATGTGACTGCATTCTTTCCCCACGTTACGCAACGTTGCGAAAGCCTTTGTCGCCTTTCTTCTCTTGAACAGATGATTCGACAAATGAATTTGTCTTTTGAAAGGTCCTGCGCGTGGCAATCGCATGCGCACAATGCGCTTAACTCGACGGGTTGCACAACCGTTCCTTACAGCCTTCTCGCAAATAAATTTATGCTAATCGTTTCCCCGCTGCGCAGGAGAACCTACCTTCGCACAATGTTATTTAACTCTAAACCGGTTTTTTTTATCTTTTTTTTTTATTAACGCAATTACACTTTTTTCCTTTTATTTTCTTGTTCTGAGACTTTTCTTCTTCTTCTTTTTTTTTATGGTTCAGTTATCTTTCCTTTTTACCTTTGAAAAATGATAACACTTGGGTATTTTATGAAGATTGAAAAGGAATTTAGTAGCCTTTTATAGGAGAAAGTAAATAAATAAGTGAAAGTGGACTCCATTGTAAGACATTTTCGTGGCAGGGAGCTTATGTAAGAAGTTGAGGAGGGGGTGACCTCGTTGAGTTCTGAGGTCGCCCTCTTCCCGGCAAGGAGAACGGGATGCCTAGCCAACGGTACCGGGAGCCCAGGTCAGTGATTTCTATGCATCAGGAGAGTATGCGTCTCGGAGACTTTAACGCTCAAAGAAAGGGGAGCGACTCAAACAGTGTCAGAGACACGCTATAAAGCGGCTCAATACGGATTTTCATTATTTGACACATTATGTAAACAAAAAATGTGTATGTATTTATATATACATGTAAATGTATATATTTAAAAAAAAAATGAAAACAACGTAAATGGCTTTATTTTTTATAAGTCATTAATAATTATTCCAGTCGAAAAAAAAAAAAAAAATAGTAACCACGATTTGGTTCCAAAATTCCGCTCCCACTCACTTCCTTTCCGAATTAGGTTAAAAAAAAAAATCAATACTGAGTTTGATCTTATTGAGATCGTACATAGGCGCATGGCTTTTTGCCCTACATATGTTATCTTAGATACAACTAAGTATATGCTTGATGGTACTTACAGATGCCGAAGACTAGAAGGATGGCGGCAATTCGTGTTGCCCACTCCATGACTGACTGCTTACTGAGGGTGGTGCGGGGAGGTGAGCAGTTCCTAGGCGTCGATGGTGGGGGATATGCTTCACTTTCACTACCGCCAGAGTGTGCGCGCTCTCTTTTATATACCTATGACGTCAGCCTCCCCAATGTGTCTGTATTTTTTATCCTCTCTTGTTAATATATTCAGATTAAACTTAATTCTTCTTTTGATAAGATAAAGATAAGGATAAAAAAATCCACGAAATGTTTGTTAAAGTCTGTTATTACTTTTAAATATGTATACTTTTCACTCTATTCAATAGCGAAATTTACATTTTTACAAAAATTATGTGAAAACATTACTACAAATGGTCTGAGTATGGAATCCCACTAGCAAAGTAATGGTACATGGTACTCAAAATAGAATAAAATGGAAACAGTTACCATTCTCTTCATACTCAACCTTCGCCTCACTGGAGGAAGTTGTCTTTGCAAGTGTAATATGTTTCCATAATTTTTTTTTTAAAGAAAACTTTTGTTTTTGTTTATCCAAACCTGTCTCTCAGCCTAGGACGATAAACGGATCTGATATTAGTTGAGATAGTTGGTATGTTAGGCATGAGGGAGGTCAATATCCAATGTACGTTTTCCTGGGTTAAATTTCTAAAATAAGAGTCTAAAATAAGAAAATGTCTGCCGTCTTCAATTTTTTGGGCCCGTGTTTATAATTGTACATCCTTGTTTCCACTTCCCTGAAAATTGTCATGAAATTTTATTCTAATCGTGCACCATGAGCATGTGTAAATACGGGCATTCGTCAAATGTTAAATTCACCTCTGAAATCCAACGTTTTCTTATATATTTATTTAAAATCTACCCTGCCTGTTAGGCAATAAGGGTGTTTGCCGTAGTGGATAGCACGATGGTGGATATCTATGCATACATAAGTTGCTATCTAATGCCATAATCAAAACAATTACATTTTTTTTCTAGATATGCACACAGCTTAATTCAGCTTCTATACTTCACCGTCCTGTTTGCTTCCTGATGACCTTCTGTCTACAGAATGAGATGTGGATTGGGCTTATTACTTTTTTCACCCGTACACAATGGTCTTGTAGTACAGACGGATCATCTTACATTAGCTAAGAGAAATCACTCACCATCAGAAAATAGAGCCCTATCTTCCTCAGCAATTTGGTCCTTAGTGCCTCAAAGGTGGTTTAGACACGTAAGACATGTTTGGTGGTCTCCGGTATTATACAACTTAGCGGATCGATGTTCTTGCCATATCAACGATTATTGCTTGAAAACCACCATTTTGAAATGACATTGAGAAACAGGACATCTCGTTTTGTCAGTGTCAACCATCGCCGGTTCAATTTTCTAATGAATCTCCTGAAGAATCCTCTTCCTATTGGAATAATCTTCTCACTGAAGGAGATAGATAAGAATACTTCCGAATACTGACCTGCAGTAGAGCCTTCCGCTTTACAGTGGACTAATTCAGGTAATCTAGCGGGACAAAAGCCGAAATATCGATTGTGAATATTTATGTGGAAAATTACATGACCGTTTATACATTGGTGCAGTTAGGAAAAGGATAATTAGTTGGAACAAAAAACAAACAATATGAGTAGACATGATTCGAAACATTGAAAGTAGAGAGCCATTTATCCAGTCGCAGGTAACGCATCGAACGCTTAACTTCTGTATGTAAATATTGTGCTTATTCTGTTACCTCATTTAATTTTTTAACGTTTTTCAAAAAATGAATACGATTTCCAAAGGACTTTAAAATATGAATATCAATGGAATGAAAGTTTTGCTATTTTTGAGATAAAAAATTAAATATTCCACTCTTACAAGTTTTATTATTATTATTATCACGCCGCTATGACTCGATGACGAGTCTTGGCCTCCTCCACCAGCTTCCTCCAGTCATCTCTGTTCTGTTTGTTTGTTTCGATGTCTAGGCGCAAAACATCCAGGTCATAAGCGCCCGATCAACTAAATAACATCATTTAATACTATTTGGATGATTGGTACAAAAAAAAAAAAAAAAAAAATAAATAAAAAATAAATAATAAAATAAAATAAAATAATAAAGAAATGGATTGATAGAATAAAATAAATAATTAAGGATAATAATAGACATTTATAGGTAATAAGATGTATAAAAAATGTATAAATAAATAAACTTTAAAAAATAGCAGTAGAATCAAAAAAAAAAAAATATAAATAATATAATAAAATAAAAATAAATAGATAAAAAGGAAATTAAATAAATAAAAAAAAAGCCAGTCAAATGTGTTTTTTAAGTCTTTCACTATCCATAAACTTGATGACTTTGGTAACCATTTCTTCCTGATTTCCCAGGGACGCTGATATATTCTGGGGTATTCCAAAATCTTCTAATCTTGCGGTGTAAAAAGGGCATTCCTCCAAAATATGTCTTATAGTTAGTGATTGGTTACACTTTTGACATCGGGGGATAGAATCTTTTGTTATGAGGTGGAGGTGAGTCAGTCTAGTATGTCCGATCCTCAGCCGCGTGAGGACGACCTCTTCTCTACGACTGCTGCGTCTGGAGCTGGTCCACGGTTGCACCTCTTTCTTTATTGTTTTTAATTTGCTAGGTGCGCTGTTGTCCCACCGTCTTTGCCATTCTTGGAATATGGTTTCTCTCAGAGGTCGTGCAAGTTCAGATGGTGTCAAAAAAACTTTACCGCGGCCTGGAAGAGTAAGAGCTTCCTTTGCTGCTCTATCAGCCATTTCATTTCCTTTAATTCCTATATGGCCAGGCGACCAGATAAAATGTGCCGTTGTTCCAACTCCATGAAGCATTTTTATAAGACTTAGAATGCAGTGTATCCCTGGATGGTCTGGATACATGTTATTCATAGCTTTCAGAGTACTTAGGGAATCCGATACAACAACCACATATGCAACTGGCTTCTTCATGACGTATCGGAGACTCATTGCTACGGCGTTAATCTCTGCTGTGTAAACACTACAAAGATGGTGTAATTTATATTTGTAGGTAGTATCAGGAGTGACAAAGGCTGAAGCAGTAGATGTATCTGATTTGGATCCGTCGGTGAATATTAGAAGATGTTCAGGTAACGTGATGATTATTTTTTGGAATTTTTCTTTGTAATCTGCAGGTAATGTAGTATCTTTGGTGAATTGGGTGAGTTGGAGATTTAATTTAGGTTGTATATAGGTCTGTGCGGCCATCTCTGTTCTGTGCGGCCATCATCCAGCTCCTGACTCCCAGGACATCCCTTGAATCTCTTGTCACACCGTCTGACCATCTTAGTTTTGGTCTCCCTCTTCTTCTTGTGCCGTAGAGAGGTTCTGTCAGGATCATCCTAGGGATTACTTCATTCTCCATCCTTGCCACATGACCAGCCTATATCTTCCAATCTTCATTCTAAGAAATAAATGAAAAACATTTTTCTATAGACTGTAGGACTACAACGGCTCTAACAATTTTCATGAAACTTTCCTATAATGTTCTAATAATTCTCCTTTTAATTTTCGTATATGTACTAAATTCCTTGGAAAATTTAGGAAAAAAATATTATAAAGAAAAGAAAATGTTTTTTGGGGCTAACTCGCTAAGTATGTATTATATGGTAAAATTTATAATAAAACTTTTGAAAGTTAATTATTACCTTTAAAACAAAAAAAAAATCATCGGAATCAAACCAGTATCAGCGATGATACAGCTTATACTATTTCTTACACATGTTTTATTTTATTTCTTTCCTAACTATACTAGGTAAGGAAAGTATTGCGATCGAGTGAAATTTCCAACCTACGGTTTTCGACATATCAATACGTTTCAGACCGTTTAGCCGTTTTTTGAAAGGTAATGAAATTCCCTTCAAAACTATATAAAAATCGTTCATTTTGGACAACTATTAACGAATTTACAGCTGTTCAATTTCCAATGTAAGATTAAAGGTTCTCATATCTTGGTGTCAGAAAGGGGTGAATTAGAGAAAAATATGACTAAGTGAAAGTAAGAAAATCTGTTGCCCGCATCACGCAAGCTTCACTATTACCCCCATTTTTAACAGAAATTATTGTTTAACAAAATTAAGCTGTGTCATAAAGTTCTGGATCAGCAATATTAGAGGGTATTGTAATTTTTCACTGATCTATCTTAAGCCGGTTTACATTGCTTTAGTTTATCAAATAAATCGTACTCAAATCTTTTCTATCATCAATTTTCAGAAAAGTAAATATGATTCAATTTTTGTTTGTTTCTTGATGAACATATGTAAAGATATAAAAACTCTTCTGAAATAGGTAGAAAAGTCATGTGAGCGGACACACCAGATTTTTTAGTTATTATTTATTTTCGGAATTATTTTTCCATTAGAACGTATAATTACCAAGTTGGAGATAACATTTAATGTGCTTTATATCCCGGAAAGCAACTGAAAATAAAATATTTACATGGAGTTGGGATATGGGATATTTGCGCTTATTTATCAAGGAATTTGGAAAAAATAAATAAAAACACAATGTTTATTCGTAGAAAAAAACTAGTATACGCCTGGTAGGTCTGGTAGGTTCTAGAGCATTAGACTTAATTGGGATTACGTAAACACCAGTCAAGTCATGTATTAGAACTGGTGTTTACTGGAAAATAAAACGTAACTTATTTTTTTAAAGAGGTCTTATAAAAGTAAATAAACGATGGGCGGGACTCGAATTTGTGATTTGAAGGAATTTTCGGTCCTTCAACCTTCATTCGGTTCCTTGATAACCCACATTCAAAGTCATTAGTTTAATGGAATACAATCAAGTGGTTTAGAATAACACTTTTTTTTTTTCCTTGATACGGAAACATGGTGACCTAAATATTAATTCAGGCATAATATGGCTTGTAATTTGATTTAATAAGGACCCCTTATATTAACGTATTTCGGTGATCGATATTCGTGTTTGATTAATTTAATATGAAAAATCACAATTTCAAATTACTTTGAATAAATCATGTACATCTCAAAGACAACGTAAGATAAATTTATTTATTAGCAATATGTTAATATGCTATGTATTATTTCCTTATTAGTTTTTTTTTTGTG